GGGGAGTCTGTGGTCCTGGGACGGTTGTTTCACTTTGGGAAGGTTCTAAGTGGCTTAACCTTTCAAGTTCGTTTGTTAGCCACTGTTGTTGAGCTAGTTGCTCAGAGCCCTGTTCGTTTTCCTGATCGTTCTCAATGTTGTGGTAGCGTACGTAGTAGTAGCTAAGAAAAAGCTAGTCCTTTTGTTAAGACTGCGTCTTGACCTTATGTGGAATATTAGTCGTCACCGTAGTTGACGACGTCAAAGGTTCGTGGTCGTCGAAGAGGACGATATCGAAGGGTTCTTAATAAGTCGTCAGCGACGATGAGGTTCTTAGTCTTAGTGGTTGTCTCAGATCGTGTACTAGGTTGTATCGAGAGTGGTATCAGATTGACTAGTTATTCCTAAGGTAGGACTAGCTTATGTTACATGGGCGAGCAGAGCGAGCCTTATATACAAAGATACGAATGCGCACAGACCAGTTTCCCGATATATCGTACAAGTTAGAGGTCCTGCCTCTTTAGGTAAGAGAAGAAAAAGCGTGTCATAACAGCCTTCTGGGCAGCGTAGTCCTCGTCCCAGTACAGCGCCGATTTGTCTGTTTCGCCCTCCTTCTCTTTCGCTATCGTGCCCTCCTCGTTCGTCTCCTTGGAGCCCCTCGTCGCGCTCACGTCACTCTTTGCCCAACCGCCCTCGAACTCCTCCTGGCAATGGTTGAGAAGATACTTACGAAACAGCCGGCCACCAGCGATCGGATTGCCCTCCGAGTTCCTGACGCCCTCATCCCGTAGGTCTTCGCTGATCTACTCTATCACTTTGTGACAGAGGCGCGCGTGCAGGCTGTTCCACACCGCCTCATCTTTCGCCCTCTCGAGCACGAGACGTGTGACCCGGATGAGCGTGCGGCCGTCCTTCTCCTTCTCACTCTTGTTCTCCCAGGCGACAATCTGGTTCGAGATCGAGCGGAAGTTCTTCGTCGTGAGTTTGTTCTGTAGTGCTCTGACCTTACGATCCACCACCTCGGGCGCGTCCGCGTCGACAGCAGTACCATTGTGAGCGGCTCGGCCGACGCTTGACGCGACCCAACGGTTCATCATCGCAGAGACTTGAGGCAGGGCAACGGGCTCCACGTTGTCGAGCGTCGCACTCGCAGCACTAGACTCGCCAAACGCGCTGTCACTGTGACTGCCGGTGCTTGTCATCTATGTGCAGCTACAGAGTTGAAGGCCAGGGACGCTGCTCACGGAGGCCAAAGTAGTTCGCTGCGGTTTTAAGGTAAGTAGTCGCCATGATGGGAGTAGATGCATAGCATAATGAAGAATAACATCCAATTCCATCAAAGCGGGGTTCTCCGATCTTACTGGAGGTTCGCACTGTATTATGGCTGGGTCGCATTGCATTTTGATTCAGGAGACCGCAGCTTAAGATCTTGCGATTATTGATTTTTACAGCCGATGCCGTACCTCTTACTGTGAGCGCTAGTTGTTCTATCATACGGCCTCTGCTTCTCGTCCGATCTCGATCCACAATAAGCTAATGGCTATGCTTGTTGCTCGAGTCTATGATTTCTGAGCTTCACCTAACCTCCGACGTCGTGCTCACAGATGCTGCGCAGCCTCAGACCAAACTGGGTTTCCAGCAGGCCCAAAAGATTCGGTATTGTGGGGTTAGATACAGTAGATGTTATGGGAAGGGAGACAGAAGAGGATGACGTTGTTAGAGTGAGCCACATCTCCCAGATAGGTGGTGAAGTGAGAGAGTTGAGCGTCAAATGTGAGGACAATGGGTTGAGCAGGGTCAGCATGGGCTCGAGCCTGTGGGAGGAAGACATTGAGAAACCAATCGGTATAGCTCGCTTTATCAGCCCAGTTGCTGTTGGTGGTCACCAGACTGTTCGCCGTGAGTGTGTTTCAGTTTCTGATAGTACGCCGGTTCTACGCACCTATAGCCTTCATCCTCTTCACACCATCCCTCCGAGTGAGCTTTACTTTGCAAGACAAAGCATGGTTTGAGGGGAGCAGTTCCGTCAGCACAGGTGACACCAAGAGATGTAACAAGTTGGAGATCGTCGCATTGGAGCCAACTCTTTGCCTTGTCACGAACAGCATGGAAATGCAGCACCTCATCCTCCTTTTGGCAGGCATCAAGCACTGTTCCAAGATCCTCAAGGTTGAAGACGTTGCACGGGGGAATACGCTGGTAAAAAGCACAGCCGTGGCTGTCAAAGTGAACGGCAATATCAGTCATATCAGCTTTACTAGGATGCGTCTTGGATAAAGCATCCGAGTCTGTTCGAGGGAGAAGTCCGGGAGGGACAGAAGGCGGAGGCTGCAAAAAGAAGGGTCTACCGCCGCTCGCGCGCCGTGTCAACTCTCCAACGGAGATAAACTCTCGGTCGGTATGCGTGCGCTTCACTGATAGGTCAAAGGAAAAGTATCCTTCATCAAGCCACTTCTGCATTACGTCAGCAGTGAATGGACCTGTGGCTTTAATGAGCAACTTCGGTACATCCTCAAATTGTAGACACTGACCTTGGACAGTTCCAGAACGATCAATGTAAGACCAGTCGACTTTGGATGGATCAGGGCTGGCGGAAAGGCCTGGAGGAGCGGGGCTACCACGAGGGGGGTTGGGGGGAATCTGGGGAATGTTGGGCTCGATGTTCAGAGTGATTGAATGGCCATCATTGGTAACATGGTTTTCGTCGAGAGTGGCCGCACCTATCGAACCCGCATCTCTAGTGACCATAAATGAACAGTCAACGGAAAGTACTCACCTTGCGCGGCAGAGCCAGCTGTGCTACTAACAATGTCTTTACCATCTTTGAGGTCGTCGCTCTGGCCAAGGTCGCTTGAAGAGTATGAACGGGAGGGAGTCACTTGGGTGGCGACATTAATCATGGCAGGGAATTGAGAGCGAGATGAGCTTGCCGACAGGCTGGGAGCTGCTGATTGTATCGAAAGAGAGCTCGGAAGGGATTGAGTAGGCGATGAAGAAACATAGATAAGTTTGGGGGAAGGTGGTACAGAGGACTCGTCATTTTGGATGATATCCGTGATGTCCTCCTCTTCTGCCGGCTTTCGCGGTGGGGAGGCGGTGGAGTTCGAAGAACTGGCGGTAGGAGTGATACTCAATGTCGATGTCAAGGCAAACGGAGCGCGTGAGGAAGTCTTCGATTTAGAAGGGCGAGAAGATACTTTCCAGGGCCATGTTGAAGTGGTGGCGAAGCGGTCGTGTATAGCGCTGACCTCCGGATGACATGTATTGGCGAGCCGCAGGGACTTCTCGCTGTTAAACTCGGACTTCTCTGCGATGTGTTTCAGCTTCCCGTTCTTCCCAAGCAGCGCGCCCTGCGTAAGCATCGGCATGGCACCGACCACCTTGGGCACATCTATCGCTGTTTCCTCGAGCAACTCCACGGCTGGCAAGAAGCCTTCCTCAAAATTCGCAGCGCCACACTGACCATGAGACGGCGCCTGCGAGAAGAAGTCAGCGAGATTGACGTCCACTTCCCTGTCTTTGAGCGACTTGTTCACGAGACGCTTGACGAGCCGGGACCGGTGCTCCTTGGGTAGATTCATAAAGTATGCCTCCGCATTACTGAGACTCCGAATCGGGAGGAAATCATGGGCGTCTGGGTTGACTTTCTTCTTTGCCTCTGATTTGGTCATAGATGCTGCAACGCTCTTCGCATACGTCGCATACTCTGCCGAAATGTCAGGAGCGCTCTCCTCACTTGGCTTCGTTCGCGGCAAGAGTTGTAGCTTTTTGCGCTGAGGAGGCGCCTCGGGAGTACCATTACTGCCGACGTCCTCGGAGGTCTGGATAGGATGCTGCTTGAAGGTATTTTTGAATTGCGAAAGGACGCCGACAAAAAGGTCACCGACCTTTAGTCTTTGAGCCGTCCGTAACGCAAGCTTAGCCAGAGGCTTTGCCCTCTGTGTGCTTATGAGGCGACCGGTACGTGTTAAGATGCCGATCGGGTGCGACATGGCCTGGGTAGAAAACATATACTTGTAAGGAACCCATTTTATAATAGTTGCCGAATGATATAAACATACAGCTTTTACAGCCTGGCGGCCGACCCACTTGCGATCGCGCAGCTCGATGACATCCTAAATGAGAAGAAAAGGTCAGCGAACCATCTTTCCAAAGCCACTCAGACGACTCTGCTGACCAAAAGCATGAATTGCATACGCGAGCTCAATTGCCTGTTGTTCGCAAGCACCTTCATGCGCTGGAAGTATTTATCCATATGCGCCTCCGCCTTCGGCGTATCCATGTTCTGGCCAGCGGTCGTGAGGAGGTTGCACAAGCTCTCAATCTCCGCTTCCTCGGGGTTCTCTACATTGCCAAGCAACTTCTTCACGCACTCGTGCATGATCCGCTCCGTTAGCATCTGCAGCTTGAACAGCTCTCCGATGAACTTGATGAGGCCGATACCCTGACGTTTCGCCTTCTGTGCGGCGTAATACTCATCCGAGTACAGCTCCAGCTCATCTATCGTGCCCTTTGTCTCGTTCGCGACCTTGACCGCCTCGTCCTCCACTGCCTTTGAGCGTGCTGCTGCAGCAGTTGTCTTGCGAGTTGCCCAACCGCGTTCGAAGTCTTCCTGGCAGCAGTTGAGGAGATATCTTCGAAAGAGCTGCCCACCGGTGATCGGCTTGCCTTCCGCGTTCTTGATCTCGTCATCTTGCACGCCCTCGCTGATCTGCTCCATCATCTTGCGACAGAGGCGCGCGTATGTGCTGTTCCATGACGCCTCGGCCGTCGCCCTCTCGAAGACGAGGCGGATGACCTGGATGAGCGTGTGGCCGTCCTTCTCCTCCTCGCTCTTGTTCGCCCATGTGATGATCTGGTCCGAGACCGAGTCGAAGTTGTCTACTGTGAGCTTGTTCAACAGTGCCCTGACCTTGCGATCCACCATCTCTGGCATATCCATGTCGAAAACAGCATCCTTGCAACTGCTCGAACTGGCCCAGTGATTAGCGGAGACGTCGAGCAGTGTGATGGGCTCCATGTTGGCGCAGCAGCAATGGGGTGGTCAAGTGTAATGACACCTTGACTGTTGGTGAACGTTATATGTCGGAAAATTGATTTTCTGGTTGCAATGAACTGTCGGTTTTAATGCGGTTAGACCATGACTGCAGGAGCCAATTGGTTGCAATGTTCCGGAGAACAGGTTGCAAATGGTCGGATTTGTGGCAATTACGTCTTGGTCATCGTACAAGTGACGGGCCGTTGCGCAGCCGTGTTTTGTCATATCTGATTCCCGACGCGAAAGTTTTTGACGCCTTCACCAGTCGCCTGAGAGACCAAAGTGCAGTCGAATAATGAAGCTGCGATTGAGGACGAGCATGGGGCGTCGGACAGCGAACGACGACGCATGACGGGGAGAGTCAGGGGGTGTTCGCAAACTTTCGGAACCAATTACCAGCCGTCGGAATTGTTGTTTTGAACCCCGCCGCGTCACTCGTTCTGAATCTCTCTCTTTTGGCTGCTGCCTTGGGGTTATCACAACTTACATTAATCTTAAGCAACATCTCGATCGCACCTTTCTTTGTCCATGCGCCTTATCGACTTGGGTCGACTGCGGCACTCGTCTCTCCCCTTGCTGATATGTCTCACTTTACTAAACTTACCTGGTCATTCTGGAATTCCTCGCTGCCTGCAGATGCCCCACGGAACCATTCTTTAATGATCTTGCGGCGATTCGAGGAAGCCCGATGCTGAAGCGCTGGTGAGTGTTATCGCTAAACGCCTTAGGATCGATCCCACACTTGCGACGGCTGATATAAAACTGAATAGGAGACTAGCACCCTTCTTTGTTGCATTGTGGCCCATGACCTCATCAACTTTATGCAGAAGTAGTACGCTTGCTCAACTTGGATGCTGAAGCGCTGACTCTACGATAAGATGGCGCCTCCAAACTCCAAATGAATCCTTCCACCCCTCGTTCTCAGACCATGGCATCTACCACCCGAGCTTCGTACTCTAGATTTGTCTTGGGTCCCCCCGAGTCGACAAAACGCGCTCTGGTTTTACACGATCTCACTTGCTCCTCTCAGACGATGAAGCATGTGGCTGAAGGACTTGCATCACATGGTATAGCCTATCGTACATCGTTCTATTGAAAACGAATAAGCTAACGCCATTATCCCAGGATATCTCGTTACAGTCCCTGACTTCCCTGGGCATGGCTTCGCGCCTCGCCAGGAATCCTACAGCTGGGAGGACATGATGGAGTTCGTAAAGTCGCTACTCCATGAAACCACGTATGACCTCGTGGTAGGACATTCAATGGGCGGCCTGCTAGCGCTCCGCGTCCTCCACCAGCTCCCTATTATATACGCGACTCGGCAGCAGCCCTTGCGGGTCGTCATGGTTGACATCGGAATTTCCCAGAGTAAAGAGGTCGTGGAGCCGTTTATCACCACGTTCAGAAGTCTTACAGAGCATGCGCCAGAACCTAATCTTTACATGAAGTCGTACCCGCGCTGGACTAGGCAGGACGCAATGCTTCAGGTCCTCGCGAATGAACTGTGTGACCCAGAAGTGGTTTACCCGTTACTTTTAAAGGTAGGCGCTACTCCATGACTCATATATAGTATCAAGCTTCATGTTAACGAGCACGAAATTAGCCAGATCCTTGGGATTTCACCCAGTATCTCGTCGATATTCCACCATGTGTCCAGCCTACTTTCGTGGTGGGCGACCCTGAGGTTCGCGGACTATGTCGTGTCAGCGTTCTCGACGGGTATCCTAACTTCAAGGTTAAAGTTATAACGGGATCCTCGCACTGGATTCCGTACGAGTTTCCAGAGGAGGTAGTACAGGCTGCGATTCAATGAACGCGGTAACTTATAGCCTATCACGTTATGATCTAACCCGGCTTATGACACTCCGAGCGCCTTTGTGTACGGCCACAGAGTGATATCACTTACAAGTTTCTTTTGAATTGTCATCACTGAGAAATTCACTCCCCCGTTTGTCGCATTTGGCCCATGTTCCAATGAAACTCGGCTGAAGTGCCCGTACTTGAAGCTTGAAGCTGCAACAGCCGAAGACGTGCCCGTGATCAAGTCTGAAACACGTCTGACATACTAGAGCACTCCGAGATCGGACTTCTTCTCGTATATTTATACCCTTGCTCACAAAACATGGCCTCTAACAGCCTCCAACCCGCCTCAAGCATTCCCCTCGCCCACCACTAGCTATGTCGTACTCCTCTAGACATGTCATAGGCTCCCCTGAATCAACAAAACGCGCTCTACTTTTACATGGCCTCACCTGTTCGTCCCACGGAATGAAATCCATTGCCGAAGGCCTTGCATCGCACGGTAACGCCTATCGCAAGGTGATTTCGATAGATAAACTTACCATATTTTCCCAGGATATCTCGTTACAGCCCCCGACTACCCCGGACATGGCTTCGCGCCCCGTCAGGCATCCTACAGCTGGGATAACCTACTGGACTTCGTAAAATCGCTGCTCGAGGAAACCACGTATGACCTCGTCATAGGCCACTCGATGGGTGCCTTGTTGTTGCTTCGCCTCGTCCACCAGCTCCCTGCGGCCTACGCGGCCCGAAACCAGCCCCTGCGCGTCGTTCTGATCGAACCTGCAGTTCTGCTGGGGAAGGACACGCTGGAACCCTTGATCGGCATGTTCAGAAACCTCACGGAGAAGGCGCCAGAGCCGGAGTTTTATGCTAAGTTGTATCCTCGCTGGACGAAGCAGGATGCGATGGTCCATGTGCTCGCGAATGAGCTATGCGATCCTGAGGTGGTTCATCCGATGCTTTCCAAAGTGAGCATCACGCTATGACTTGCGTTGAGTAGCCTCCTAACGAGCGATGCGTCAGCCGGATCCATGGGACTTTAGGGAATATCTTATCGATATTCCATCGTTTGTGCAAGCCACTGCCTTGCTGGGAGATCCCGAGGCGGGCGGACTATGTCGTCTCAGCGATTTCGACGATCTTCCGAACCTCACTGCCAAGATCATCCCAGGCGTCTCGCACTGGGTCACATACGAATCCCCTGAGGAGGTAGTCCAAGCTTCAATCCGCTAGAATCGAGCGCGTTCGAGCGTGATCACACTGCGAGTTAATAAGTATCATAGTTTTTCGTCGAATTGTCATAAATACAACTACTGGTACAGCCAGCGACTAGACCGACATGTACATGCCAATATAAATGCGTAATGCACGTTAAGAATGAGAGAGGTCCCAGGGAAAGCTAGTATACCGTACGTGTATGAAGGCGCTACTCCAGCTTAAGCGAGGGGGGCGAAGCCGACCTGGTTGTTGTCGAAGTCGAACGCGGTGTAGGTGTTCGACAGGAAGACGTCGCCGAGGATCCAGAAGCCCTGGCCGAGGTCCTGGCCGACGATACCGCCGACACAGTCGCTCGAGCCCTGCGAGGCGGCGCCGAGGTTGAAGGTGTCCGCGGAGACGGGGAAGTCCTGGCCACCGATGGTGACGGTGACGTCGGGGATGGAGTCGCACGGGACGGTGTAGTAGCCCTCACCGAGGGTGCTCGACGCGTCCTGGCCTCCGATGGCCTCGTAGAATGAAGCGACGTCGTCAGGGATACCGACGATGAGCGTGGTGCCGGTGTCGGCGATGGCGTCGAACTGGCCAACGCCCTGCTGGCCGCCCGAGGAGACGCCGTCGGCGGTGATCTGCCAGTAGCCCTGCTGGGTGACGGGCGCGTAGGTGAAGTCGCCGGACACGGCAGACTGGTCAACGCCGCCGATGGTGAGCTCGGCGCCGGACGAGGTCAGCTTGAAGCCGAAGACGCCCGCGTCGGTCTGGCCCTGGGAGACGAGCGTGTTGAAGACGGGGGAGGCGCCGTAGGAGGAGATGGCGGGGTAGGCCATGCCCATGAGGCCGTCGGCGGGGAACTGCGCGGACTCGAAGCCCGTCGAGTACTGCTGTGCGGCACCGAGGGTCTGCTCGGTGGCGGTCAGGCCAGCGAGGGTGACGGTGTCGGTCCACTGCTCGCCGGAGACGGTGGAGCCGTCACCGTACTGGAGCTGGAAGGTCTGGCCGACGTCCTGGGAGTCTGAGGACTTGGAGGGGTCGTAGACGGTGTGGCCAGAGCAGGTGTCGTCGCAGTCGGGGCCGGGGAGGAAGAGGTCAGACGAGCCGGTGTCGAAGTCAACTGTAAATATTTTCGATCAGCTTCTAGTGAAGGTGAGGTAATGTGTAGAGTACTAACCGGTGTACTCGACAGCGGGGGTACCGACAGAGATCTTGCCGTACCAGAGCTCGCTGCTGTCGTCGGTCAAATCAACGGTGCCGGTGTCGCGCTTGCCAGCGTTGACCTTGGCCAGGGAGTGAACCTTGCCAGTGTTCTTCGCGTAGTTGGTGAAGCCGCGCTCGTATTTACTGTAGCCCTTTTGTCAGCATTGGACGTGTAAAGTGCAGTGAGGCGACTTACGCCTTAATGGACTGGGTGTGACGGTTAAGAGCAGTCAGGTTGACGGTGCCATCAACGTTTAAAAGTGTCGAGCGTTTCTGGATAGCGATCTTGTTCGACGGAGCGCGAGCCGCCGGGGCAGGGGCAGCATCGACCAAGAAGGGGAGAACAGCGATGACGGTGGCGAGAGTGAAACGCATGGCGATATGGGACGCGAAGTTGAGACAAGTCGTTAGACAGAGAAGTGCTGCTGAGGTCTCCACGCAGATTCATCCTTGCCTATATACGTTTCTAGAGAATCAGGTTGCATGTGGAGGAGAACATAGCCGGTATGCGACTGCAAGCGACCGGTGACGCAAAAACCGTAAACCACGCGGGTCGTCAAAGGATGATGTAGCATGTCAGATGATTAGCGCCTAATGTGAGCGTTAGGCGTTTGCTGTGATCACCACCGAGTCAATGTCTATCTTGTGGACAGCAGCAACCTAGAAACACACCCAGCAACGTACTCACCATTAAACAACCGAGTTATGCTTGGCGGTGTGGTATTCGGTGAAAAGGCCACGCGTCCCAGAGAGATAAGTGAGGTAACGTCGAGTCAGTGTCGCAGGGCAGCGTGCTACGAATCTGCTCTTGTCTTCGGTTGAAACGTTGACCATGGACTTCCCGCGGTTCAAGTTGATTCTCGACTTTCATCGCGCCCATCCGTGTAAGGGCTGACAAATTGTGGACTGCCTGGCAAATTCGTGGAAAATTACGATTGAAGTATGACACGTATGAGACGAGCAAGCCACACACCCGCTAACTTCTGCTGCCTAGCAGCAGCGAGAAAAAAGGACTGTTACCGACCTCGGACAACACGAGCCAATACGTCGAAGTCGAGCAGCGGCAGGCACAATCATTCATACTTACCGCTTTAGGTATCCAAGAAGTCGTCGTGCCGCGCCCGCCGCGTCCTCATGACCCCATTCTAAGACTTTCTCCAGATAAAGAGCACATTTTCTTGCTCCACCTCAAGGCTTGGTACGAGCACTTGGGAGCATCGTTGGCGAGAGCCAAGTCTTTGCAAGTCTCTCTGTGCGGCTGCAGGATCAGCACGGGCGACAGCTTTCGACGACACAGACCGTTCTCCTTGGCGCGCGTGGGCATGGTATTGTCGTTCCTGAATTATGACACGAATGACGAGCAACGCGAGATAAGGCATATAAACACGGCCGCCCGGCGCAGATGGCGATTCGTGATTGGTTTCAATACGTTGAGCGGTCCAACCCTTGTCGGTGCCTGAGGACGACGGCCGAGGGCTGTTGAGGCGATGAGGGGACAGAATTGGCCTTCTTCACCTCGAGGGACGACTCCGACAGCGCTTCTTTGAGCCGGCCGGAGCGCCTCGAGCAGATGTTGAAGCGAAGAGCTGGGTTTCGATGCCGTGGTGCGAGAAACATGCGAGAAAACGCAGTCGGATTCAACAAGAGGCGCGATAATGATGCATGGCAGTAGAAGGCGGTAGAGCACATGGGAAGTTGCGCCGACGCGTTGAACACGTGTAAATCCCGGACTTTCATGACGATATGGAAGCCAAGTTACAGCGAGGTTGAAGCAATACCGGGAGAAGGAGTACCAACAATCATCGACTTGGTGTGGCCATGGCTCCTTGTGATTCTGTGTGCGCACCTTAAGCCGGTAGAGCAGGTTGGATGAACGTCGGACTGGGATGACGCGGAAGGAGCGCTGGTCATCAAGATATCACAATTGCGATTGAGAAAGAGGAGGTTGGTTGAGCCTGGCTGAATAGCGCTGAATGTACACGTTGAGCAGTGTCAGTGAGCGCCACATAGCGCGCGGGCAATTCGGGATTTGGCGCGGACGTGTCGGTCCTTGAAAGCGATCAATGCATCACTAGCACTGCTTGGCCTTTTGATCATGTACGCAAGTTTCTATCGGGTGGACTTGCTTAGCGCTAATTGTAAAGCATCTTGCTTTCAGTACAATTCACAGAGAGACCACTGAATTGAGTGTTTATCTTGTTGGTATCATGTCATACCCAGGATCAAACGAGAACGAGAGCTTAAATTTGGACTTTCAGTTCAACCGTAGCTATATTTGTATCATCAAACATCCATCTCATCGAGATTCTTGCACTCAGCTCTGTCCCAGGTCAAGGAAAGTCAGTTCGAAGTCATTGTAGACAGTTATTATACAGTGCCAGACAAAAGTACAGAGTTCAGTGAAGGGCATCACCGTCCGTGATTCGCGCGTCCGTCACGACACATTACCGTAAACTGTTCAAATAATTCCCAATATGATTGGAAGAGACAGGGTGAACATGCCCGTCAAGATCACTGGAGCGCCTTGCTCAAAGCCTAGTCTAAGTTCTTCACATTATGGTGACGTTCGTGTGTTATCGTGTAAATGCCTTACCTGGATGCACCGCTGCTGTTGCCTCCAGACGTCCTAAAGACACAGCAAACGCATAATAAATGAGCATTAGAATCTTCTACCGGCAAGTAACCTGGACATTACGGGCTGCTAGTAGCCGCAGAGGTAGAAGTCGGCGACGGAGTCACAATGCTACCCAACGGAGTAGCGATAACTGCAGCAACACGCGATATGTCAGTCCCAACATGTACAGTCAGCTTCTAAACGACGAAGGACGAAACTTGAAACTGGACGCACCAGAAGAGCAGAACGAAGCCTGATACGCCGACGCGGAGCTGTACCCGCTCTGGCCACCCGCTCCGGGGCCGTTGATGCACCCGTCCGAGACGCACCGGCCGTTCGCGATGTCGGAGTTGCCGTTGGTGGTGAGCAGCTTGCAGAGGCATCTCAGGTCGCTGCTACATATGGGTTATAGACAATTGATCAGTTTCGCGCTTTCGCGAGTAGAGCACACCCGCATGATGAGTAGCCTTGTGCGCGGACGGAGGACTTACTCCGCGCAGTCGTGGTCGTCGTCCGCATACGGGAGGCAGCTGAGCGCATAGCCAGCGGGATCGTCGCGGCACGTTGGTCCGTCGTCACGCTTGCGCACCATGGCCGTGATTGTTGCGGCCGGGGCCGACGCTGTTGCGCTAGCCGTTGCTGGATGGAGAGAACGAGTTCGATGGTTGTGACCATGACACTGATAGAGCATCGGTAACTGTTAAAACAGATTAGCTCACCAGAGGCCGCGGCGGAGAGGACGAAGACAACGAGAGTGCTGGTACGCATGACGGTTCAAGGTCTCTGGACAGAGGGCGAATGGGTGGTATTGACAGCCCCGGCGACGCGAGGTCTGCTTTTATGTGGCATGGATAGCCTAGAGGTCATATGTGCGCCAAGGGCGGGCACTTAGAGGCTGTTCAAAGAGGGCCTACATTCATCATCTAGTCAGTCACGACGGAGACTTGGGGCCGCTTCTCCATGAAGCAGGTATGTGCGCCAGCCTGGCTGTGCTCACGAGTGAGACATAATAGCTAGTTGAGGCCTCAGGCCGACCACTGTTCCTGTGATTCGAATGTTCAACCTTTGTTAGCGCCTGTCTATTTGCCTGTAAATGAAGGGCCCAGGCTCTGCTGCGATCATTGGGGGGAAGTGAGTCGATGGCAAGCCTTCAGTGAGCAAGGCGAAAGCTGTCAAACCTTTGATCGTGGCAGTGCAGTAACGAGCATGCAGTTGTTGACATCTCTTTGTCCTTAGAGAGGCGGGCCCTGGCGGCCCGCTCGACACTTTCACCAGTGGCACTATGGCAGAGTCTCGGTGCAAGTCTGCGGCTTACTACTTTCCCATCGTGTATCTCAAGGTCTCACTAACCGGAAGTTAACAGTGATCATAGAAAATCGTCGGCATTATGGACAGTTCAAAACCATTAAAATCTGAACATATAGTAACATTCAAAATGTTGCAAGTACTGTACTTTTTCGACCAAAAGTTCGCGGGGCGGCGTGGGAATATGACTACCAAATACAGCGTGTCCCGCTTTTTAGTTCGCTGGTGTTGGTGGTGCGGGACATAAGTTCGTTTCGAGTTTGTTTTATAGGAAAATGAGTGCGTGGTGGGTATCATCGCCTAATTCCGTACGCTGTGGTATATTGACGAGCTGCTGGGATGACCGTACTGGTTGTGCACAAGTGAAAGATTGACACCCATTTTAGCCCCTATTTACAACATGTCCCGCATTTTAGTTCGCAGGCTCTACTAAAGCGGGACAAACCGACCAAAAGTTCGCGGTGCCAGTCCGGATGGGACACGGGACGAACTTTTGGTCGAAAAAGTACAGTAGTCACGGTCTCGGCCGCATACTTAAAAGTGAGTAGTAGTAAGATAAACGTCCACAGGGCGACCACTGTCCATCCATGCCACAGTACCCATACACCCCCAAATTCGCTGATAGCATAACGGCTACTACCGACGGTCTCAGCACCTCCCCCCGACCATCGACACCATCGTCGAATGCGAATACCCCGCGTTGAATCCAGCGCCGCCGCCGCCCGACTTGCCGCCTTTCTTCCTCTTCTCCTCCTCCTCCCTCCGCTTTCTCCGCTCAGCAACGGCCTCCGACGCGGTTAACCGCCTGTGGTACGCCTTGGGGAGTGGCATGGCGAGTTCACCGCGCTTGGCGTCGTACGGCTTCTGGGCATGATAACACTTCTCGTCGGTGCAGGGGGTGCGGAGAACGAGCATATGTGTAATGTCATCTAGCTCGACTTTTTTGAGCGGGTCGGGTCTGAGCGCGACAAGGAAGAGCGGATGGAGAAAACGGTCAATAGCAAAGGGAAGAAAACAGATGAGCTCAAAGTGAAAAAAGAGCGACAGGGAATTAACGTCGTTGGGGAATTAAAACGACGTACCGTCGTTTGCATTTACGCTCACAGCGTTTCTCCGACTCCCATGGATCCCGGCTGTGTCTCCCCGTGTGCGCCTTGCTCTGCGTACATTCATCTGAGTTGCAGTCCTTTTGGTAGAAAGGGAGGTTGGGATGCTGCGGAGGCGTCCATCAGCATACTCCAGATTCAAGCCAACCACACATGGGACTGGGTGCACGCACAATGTACTCACGTTTTCGGGGATTTCAATTCCTTTAAGCAGCATCCACGCCCTTCTGGCGATCGCTGGATCCTCGATGGGGAGTCTGAGCTTCGCTTCCCGATTCCGTTCCGCCCTGCACAAGTTGTTGAGAAACATGAACTCGCACATTTCTAGACAGTAAACGTAGTCTGCGTGGTTGGCTGGTGAGGAAGGATGCGAATGGAGTTTTGGGAGGCAGCGAGCTGGGGCTTCGCATTGAGCATTGAGCAGACTTTTATAACTCGTCGGAAGGCGGCTGTTGAATATGAATCCTGCGTCGCTAGTCTCTGGCCTACACACTCTCTGCTGTGACATTTCGGAGTTGCGAAATGGAGTGGCGGCAGGTCGACCGGCAAAAGGGACATTCTATTGTCCCTTTCTAGGGTCGATTTCGGGCACCCAGCTCCGGGACGAGGGCCAATGGCAGCACAAGTACTAGTGCAGGGTCGCCGGGAAGTGTCGCTCGGACCGCCTAGGTGGCGCTGAGGGTTATTGTGCTTGCTCTTGTGCTCTTGTGCGTATCCGGTGTACACACGTTGATGTGTCATTTATGATGGTGCGGAAACTCGTCACCCTGAGATACTGGCCAAAAACACCGAGGCACGAGGCAGGAGCAGACGGTCCCAGCGTAGGGACAGGCGCATGTTGCTTTGTGGCCATGTGCCACTGCTGCAACCAAATGAAGAGACCATTCTTGTTGTGCAGCTGTGTACAGCCCTACGGGCTAGTGACGCTAGAAAGCATAGACAGCATACACCGGTGGACCGCGGTGTTCGTGCTCACAGCTATGTATTAAGGTGGTTTGAAACGACTCGGAGCCACCGACTCGGGACGCTGTCCGACATGTCCTCCCTGGTAGGGCTTGAGGCTGAATCTGTGGCTGGTGGTGTTCTTGATCGAATTAAAGGTAATTCCACGCAGAATATACACAGCTTGAAGCCAGGGTTCAAACGTTCAAGATCAAGATGGATGGTGGCTCCAACCAAGTAATCAGGTTCGTCGGAGTTGATGGTGGGAAGCTGTCAACGCGTCGCGTCGGCGGCTATTTCTTCCGTTTATCGGGCGCTAACCTGGGCTAAAAGCTTGCCTGCCGACGTACCCACTGTTTGCAACTCGGGAGCCATCTAGATTCTGGGTGAAGCAACGGTCCTCCTGATACACCCTAGGGTCAGTAAATGTTTCACCATTGTGACGAGGTTCGAAAGGTGATTGGCTGTTTACCCAATTTTCCACAAGCAACTCAAAAATTGCCCGCACCCAAAAATGCTCGTCCGGCTTCTTTCCGCGTTGACGCTCGCCTTGGTAAGGAATGTCCAGCGTCTAACTCAGGCCTTTCACTCACCAAACACGTCCATGACTCGTCGATCTAGGCCCTCCTCTGGTACCGCAGCGGTCGCGTCCTCCGCGCCAACGTCCTCAGCGTTCCGCCGCTCCCCCAAAACTACTTCCAAGGCGGCGACTGGCAGACCCACTGCTCGCTCGTCACCAACGACGCGCACGATGAGCTCAGGTACTGCGAAGACATCACCTTCTGGGACCACTTCGACGCCAACGGAACGCAGACAGATCGCCACGTCCTCCTCGGATGCGACCCGAACCGCAAAGCGTAGAACACCGTCATGGGCCCCCTGCGCGATCCGGCGCCGCGCGGGCACCTCTTTCTCTATCCGGCGCGGAGTGGTAAAGCCGCAGATTCGAAACTGCAGAAGCTGAAGCTGGTCGGCCACCCGCCGCACCACGACTTCCACCCGCTCGGGCTCGAGGCGGCACCCAGCCGGGGCGATGGGCAGCCTTCGAACCTCTTCGTGGTGAACCACGCGCGCGACGCGTCCACGATCGAGCACTTTCTCCTGGACCCCAGCAGGCCGGACGAGGCGCGGTACGTGCGCACGCTGCGCTCACGCTGGCTCGTCGCGCCGAACGCGATCGCGCTCACAGGGCCGAGCTCGTTCTACGTGAGCAACGACCACCTCCTGACGCGCCGCCTCCCCGGCCCGCTGGGGCGCGTGCTGCCGCTGCTGGAGACGGTGCTCGGCCTCCCGCTAGGCTGGGTTGCCCATTTCACCATCGACGAAACCACCGGAAGCGTGCTCGAACACGCGCTCAGCGCGCCCGGTATCCCCTTCGCAAACGGCATCTCGCTCTCCCCCGACGGCCGCACGCTCGCCGTCGCATCCACATCGACCGCACAGCTCCTCTTCTACATGCGCGACCTGTCCACGAACTCCCTCACGCACGAGGACACAGTCGCGCTCCCGTTCCTCCCCGACAACATCGGCTACGACGACACAGGCGCGCTCCTTGCCACCGGCCACCCGCACTTTCCCTCCCTCGCCGCCGTCGCCTCCTCCCCCTCCCCCTCCCCCTCCAGCTCCTCATCCTCCCCCGTCTCTGGTGACGCAACAAGCCCAAGCTGGGCAGTCTCCCTCACCCACCTCCCCGCAATGAACCTCGCCAACCCAACCGCGTTCGCCAAGCGCATCTACGACTCCCGCGCCCCGCTCTCCGCGTCCGCGCTCGTGCCCGCCGCGCCCATGGCGTACGACGTCGAGACCGTGTTCCAGAGCGACGGTACATCCACCAACGGGATCGGGATGAGCTCGTCGTCGACAGCGCTCCGCGATCCTGCGACGCACAGCGTGTATGTTGTCGGGCTGTATGGCGAGGGCATGCTGGTTTGTCGTTGAGAAGGGTGGTGGAGGGAGGAATGACCTCCCGACCCCAACCCGAGACTTTCTCCAGACAAAGAGCATATTTTCTTGCTCCACCTCAAGGCTTGGTACGAGCACTCAGAGGCATTGTTAGCGATAGCCAAGTCTTTGCAAGTCTCTCGCTGGGCGGCTCCAGGACCAGTGCGAGCGACAGCTTTCGACGACACAGAAGATTCTCCTTGGCGCGCGTGGGCATGGTATTGTCGTTCCTGAATTATGACACGAATGACAAGCGCCGCGAGATAAGGCATATGAACACGGCCGCCCGGCGCAGATGACGATTCGTGATTGGGTTGAGTACGTTGAGCAGCGCAACCGTTGTCGATGCCTGAGGCCGACGGCCGAGGGCTGTTAAGCCGATCAGGGGACAGAATCAGCTTTCTTCACCTCGAGTGACGATTCCGACAGCGCTCCTGTAAGGCAGGCGGAGGGCCTCGAGCAGAAGTTGTAGCAAAGAGCCGGGTTTCGATGCCGTGGTGCGAGAAACATGCGAGAAAACGCAGCCAAATTCAGCAGGATGCGCAATAACGATGCAAGGGCATGGTCTGGCATGTTGGCATAGCACATGCGGTATTGCGCCGACGCGTCGAGCACGCCTAAAGCCCGGACTTTCACGATGATATGGAAGCCAGTTCATAGCGAGGTTGAGGCAACACCGGAAGGAGTCGACAAACTATCAGCGTGCTGTTTGTCTTTATACCAGGCTTGTGATTTTGCGTATGCTTCTGAAGCCAGAGGAAGCTGAGATATATATATGATGTCTTGACGAAAGCCTGGTGTGCTCGTCTAGTCAGTCTCTTAGGAGACCTCGTCACGTACTCGGTCGGAAACTTCGCCTCCCCTACGCTCCATGCATGCCACTAGTAGCCGTCCAAGTGTTTTATCGTCCAAACGTCTTTGATTAGTCGTCTGTGAGGTCGCCGAGCTCAAGCATCCATGAAGTTAGACGCAAACGACATCACTTGGCCTTGATAGTATGAGACCCATAAAATGTGACATCGACTTTCTGAGCATGACAGGGTCGTTAAAGGCTCTTTGAAGAGAAACGTTATAGTTTGGGGTCGATGGAAAGCGGTTGAGAAGTTGAAAGTAGATTCTGTGTTTGCGTCTACTGTGACGCCATCATGGGCTTGTGCCTGGCTGGCAGTGCGGGCCGAGCTAGCGATGATCTAGTCAAGCAAGTTAGATTTGGCACTTTTGTCCGTTAGTCTCCTTTGCCCGCTCATCACTCCGTCTAGCTTCATCCATCCCCTGGGAGGTTAGTCTTTTTAGCTGCTCTTTCTCACTTCATCGCCATAGACTTATACTTGTTATCCACCAAGCACCGCCAGCTGTGCGAAGAGGCCTGGCCCCGTCTGTCTTAATCTCCGCCTTCATCTCTCTCCTCCACCCCCTTTCCTTTATCCCCACCACCTCCATTACCACTACTACCATCTCCTCCTCCTTACACCTCAACACAAAAGTACCACAGGGCTACACACGAGTCGATGGCCACTAACGCGGCCGCACTCACCAAGGCGCACACAAACTCGGACGGGACGTTCACCACCATGCTCGGCATTGGCCAGGGCGATCCGTCACCTCGCATGAAGATCGCGGTGCTCACTTCTGGAGGAGACAGCGCCGGTATGAACGCCGTCGTGCGCGCTGTGGTCAAAGTTGGGATCCTCAAGTGCGTTCCTCGAGTCCTTTGTCTTTGGCGTATCTGCTGACGATCGTCTTTTGTCTCGTTTTCTTGATTATGATCTCTTGAATCTCTCTGGTACACGCGTTTACCGCCGTGTTTGTGTCCAATACGGTCAACTGCTATGAATGGATGCATATATGCGCTACGATAAACGTGCGTGAACTGATTATCCCCCAACCGCGTCTCGCGGGTATCTCCCACCAACCAAAAAACCCACGTCCACGCGAACCCAATCCTCCCTCCCACGTGCACCCTCCTCTTCGACAACGGCGATCGAACAGGGGCTGCGAAACCTGGATCGTGCGCGAGGGCTACGAAGGCCTCGTGCGGGGCAACGACCACGCCGACGGCTCCTACCCCGAACCACCCACCGTGCCCGAGGCCGCCTCGGAGGCGCATCACGGGCACCCTACGAACCTGCTCGCGAACCTGCGCTTCGGCGACGGCCTGCTCCTGCGCGACGGCACGGGCGACCACCGCGGTGCGGACGGCTCGGGCAACAGCACGCGCACGCTCGCCGGGCGCTATCTCGTGCGCGTCGGGTGGGACGACGTGCGCGGGTGGTTCGCCGAGGGCGGCACGCTCATCGGCACCGCGCGCTCGGCGGCGTTCCGCACGCCCGAGGGGCGCACTGAGGCCGCGTTCAATCTCATCAAGGAGGGGATAGACGCGATCGCGGTCTGCGGCGGCGACGGCTCGCTCACGGGCGCGGACCTGTTCAGGGCGGAGTGGCCGAGTCTGGTGCAGCGTCTGGTGGACCAGAAGCGGATCACGCCCGAGCAGCAGGCGCGGCACAAGCATCTAAGGATCGTGGGGCTTGTGGGCAGCATCGACAACGACATGTGCATGACGGATCTGACGATCGGCGCACCGACGGCGCTGCATCGGATCTGCGAGGCGATCGATAATATCAACAGTACGGCTGCGAGTCACTCGCGCGCGTTCGTGCTCGAGGTAATGGGTCGGCACTGCGGATGGCTCGCGCTCATGGCTGGGCTTGCGTGAGTTTGCACTTTGTGTTACTCGCCTGATTTCTCCCCCACAAAGCCTTATTGTTGATATGTATAGTGCCGGTGCTGACTTTATCTTTATCCCGGAGCGCCCGCCCGATGCGAAGACATGGGAGGACGAGATGTGCGAGACGGTCCATCGTGTAAGCGACGATGGTACATTCCATGCGACTTTTCGACTAACAGGCGTCCAGCACAGGGAAATTGGCAAGCGCAAGACGATCGTCATCGTCGCAGAAGGCGCGATCGACGGCGACCTGAACCCCATCAGGGTCGACAAAGTCAAGGACGTGCTGCGCGACCGCCTCGGGCTCGACACGCGCGTCACGACGCTCGGGCACACGCAGCGCGGCGGGAGCCCGTGCGCGTTTGATCGTATCCTGGTCAGTGTCTATTTGAAGTTCCTATCGAGATGACTCTGCTAACCGTTTACCGGCTTTGCGCGCATAACAGCCCACGCTGCAGGGTCTCGAGGCTGTGAATGCGCTGCTGGAGGACACGCCGGACACGCCGTCGTACATGATTGGTGTGCGCGAGAACAAGATCACGCGTGTCCCTCTTGTGGAGGCGGTCAAGATGGTGAGCGGTGCCCTGCTATGCGAATAGGGACTTTCAGCTGAGACTGGCTTTCAGACGAAAGCTGTGGCAGAGGCGATCAACAACAAAGACTTCAAGAAGGCGATGTCGCTGCGCGACCCCGAGTTCGCGCAGGGCTTGGAGGGGTTCACTGCGACTGCGTCGCTGTTCAAGGAGAAGCAGCTCCCTGCTGCCAAGGTGCGCTTTTTTTCCTGCTGTGGTTCTGCTGTTTTCTCATGTTGTTTGCAGAGGATGCGGATCGCTATCATCCAGTAACCTGCTCTCCCCCTTCTTAATCTATCATAACTGACTTGCGTTAGCATGGGCGCCCCCGCAGGTGGCATGAACGCTGCAACGCGCGCTGCCGTCCGTCACTGCATGAAACAGGGGCACACGCCGCTCGCGGTGCACAACGGGTTCCGCGGGCTGCTCGACGGGTACGTGCACGAGCTCTCGTGGCTCGGCGTGGACGGGTGGATGTCGCGTGGCGGGTCCGAGCTCGGCACGAACCGGTTCCTGCCTGACCAGGACCTCGGCGGGGTCGCGGCGCGGTTCCAGAAGCACGATATCGACGGCCTCCTGCTGATTGGCGGGTTCGAGGCGTTCCGCGCGCTGGCGGTCCTCGAGGAGGGGAGGCAGTATTATCCGGCGTTTAGGATTCCGATGGTGCATCTGCCGGCGACGATCTCGAATAATGTGCCGATGACGGAGTTTAGTCTGGGGAGCGATACGAGTCTGAATGCGCTGGTGGACGCGTGCGATGCGATTAAGCAGAGCGCGAGCGCGAGCAGGAATAGGGTGTTTGTGGTGGAGACGCAGGGGGGAAAGTGCGGGTATCTTGCGACGCTCGGTGCGCTGGCGGTATGTGTCTGAGTTTGCGCATAGGGAGGTTTTGGATGAGGCTAATGAGCGCGGTAGACGGGTGCTGCTATATTGTATACGCCCGAGGATGGGATCACGCTCGATACGCTCCGGGACGATGTCAAGTTCCTCAAGATTCGGTATGGGCTGGACGCTAAAGGGCGGTCTGAGGGGCGTCTGGTCATCAGGTATGGCCCGTCATATTCTTGCGGATAATTCAAGCAGAGATAGCTGACAACACTCGTTAGGAACGAGGCGTCGTCGAACGTCTATACGACGGATATGATCACCAAAATGTTCAAAGAAGAAGGCGCAGACCTGTTCGACTCGCGCTCTGCCTCGCTGGGCCACACGCTGCAGGGGAAAATCCCGAGCCCGATGGACCGCGCGCGGGCGGTGCGGCTCGCGCTGCGGTGCATGTCGTTCCTGGAGGAGCACCACCAGGCGCTGCTGGCGGAGCAGCAGAAGCAGCAGCGGCAGTCGCAGGATGGGATGCCGACGGTCGCTGCGCCGCCGGAGAGCGCGGCGGTGATCACGATCCAGGGGGCACAGGTGGTGTGGGTGCCGGTGCAGGAGATGGTGAGGGACGCGGATATGAAGAATAGGCGGGGCAAGATGGAGTGGTGGCGGGGGATCAAGACGCTCGTCGAGGATCTGGTTGGGCGTGACCAGCTTTTGTAGAAAATTTAGTGGGGAGTTGGGTGTTTGGTACTGAAATTGGGTGTTATAGACTGTACTGTACTGGGTTGTGCCTGGTGTTATTATTATTACCCTGCTCACTGTAACATACGGAGTCCTCGGAGAGTATTTGTGCTAAGACCAGCGTGATGTGGCAGGTGACCGGAGTGTGAAATAGTTCCCACGGGCGAGTTGTTGACGGGGACGCGTTTGTTTGTTTATTCTGATTGTTCGAGTTCTTTGTCCGTTTCGCAGAGTCGCAGCAGTCCCAGTCCCGCTCCCCCGTCTGCCCACGACGCACAACACCATGTCCCCTCGTCCCCCTCTCCCCCAGCGCCACGAAAATCCTCATCTTGGTAGCTGTGAGTCTTTCAAGGGGACCTACTCACTGTTTATTGACGACGTCCAATCTCACAGTGGGCACGGGTGCTCTCCCCCCTGTAAAGTACCAGGTACTCGATCGCGATGGCCATGAAGTCTTGGTACGTCTTCCTCTATGTCTATTGGTCTGTCAGTCTGACACTCCCTGCCTCTTAGGTCGGCCGCATGAAGATCCCAACGGTCCGTTCCCTCTCGTCTACCCCCAAGCGCCCGCTGACCCTCCCTCCCTACCCCTTCCTTCCGCCACACTAGCCCTCCGGCCACGCCTTCATCCTCCGCCGCTTCGACACCGGCGCCATCAGCCTCACCACCATGTTCCGCGCCGCCTACCCGACCGCGTCCGAGCTCGACGAGAAGAAGGAGACGAACTGGGTCAAGGAGACGTACAACCTCGCGGGGAACAACGGCTCTGCCAAAGAGCCCGCGATCGTGCGCCTCGCCGGCACGTGGGTCTCGCCCGACGTCGCGCTGCACGCCGACATCGCGGGCGTGTACAAGCTCGACACCGTCCTCCCCGAGGTCGCGAACGCCGTGCCCGACCCGTCCGGTATATACCGCAAGAGCACCAAGGCGAGCCCCGTCAAGGGCGGCGCGGCGGCGAGCCCGCTGCCCACGCCCGCACCGTCGCTCACGCTCCCGACGCCCAAACGCCGCAGAGAGTCGTCGCCCACGCCGGGCGGCGGCGGCTTTTCCTCGCCCGCGGTTGCTACGGAGCTGCAGGGCGGTGGTGGGCTCCCGCCACCACCGCGTCGCTCGGCGCGCACGAAGAGCCCCGCGCCTGTGCCGCTGCCCATGCCCGTGCGCTCGCCCACCAAGGGCGCTGCGGCGCTCGTGACCCCGTCCAAGCCCGCGAAGACGACGACGGTGCGGAGCAGCGTGCGCCGCTCGGAGGTGTTTGCGTCGACGCCGGGCGGGTCGGACGAGACGGTCGTGGAGGAGGAGGAGGAGCAGACGGAGACGGTGGAGATGGCGCGTCCGAGTATGGCGGAGGACGTGTCGGAGCAGCGCGCGCTTATTGAGCGGCTCAAGGCCGAGCGCGGGCGTGGTGCGGAGGCGGAGGCGGGTGAGGATGCCGATACGACTATGATGAAGCGGGCTAGAGAGGAGGAGGAGCTGGAGGGCGATGAGGGCGGAGAGCTGAGGTTCAATTTCAAGGAGCCCGAGACGGAGGAGAGGCAGATCGCGACGAACAGGCGCGTGGGCAGGTTTAGCCTCGAGCCGCAGCAGAAATCGTTCGCGTGGGGCGTCGCCGCGTTCGCAATTGGCATGGGCGCGATGTGAGTGTCCTTCTGTTACTTCATCGTTTGCGAACGCGGTCTTATTGCTGAATGTGCGATTCTACAGGTCGTATCTGCCCAACTTCCTGTGATCCGGTCCGATCTGATGTCTAATGCCTATGCCTAATGTCTATCGCCCCATCTCCTCGTCTCTTATCTCTCTCACTCTCTCTTTTGTGTGTGGCCTCCCGAGTTGACCCCCTCCCTCCCTGTTGTGTTGTTCTCTTAATCCCTAGTCGGCCTGTCCATAGTGCTCGCGACGCGTCCTCTGCTGCGATACATTCTAGTTTCTTCTGTTAGCCGAACCTGTGCGCCGACGCTGGCTGATGACGATGATGGATGATCGCGGTTCTTTCATAACGTATTTCATCACATAACGTCTCTCGTCGTCGTGCCTCGCCTTGACTTACCCTCACCTTTCTTTCTTCTTCTTGCTTTGTCCTGTCCTGTCCGTTTGTACATGTGATGTGATGTGATGTGATGTGATGTCCAGCTCTCCTTGGAGGTATATATGCTCAATAACGACATTCGTATCTCTATGCTCCATGCTCCGCTGGGGTCGTGCACGTTGGTAGATAGGTAGAAGTTGACGTGAAGAAAGCTGGACATCGCACAATGCTGATAGTCGCAGACGCTTCTCTCCCTCCGCCACCTCAGCGACAAATCAACATACCCTCGCCATACAGCCCGACAACGTACACGCTGTGCGTCATGGGATCGCGGAGCGCCGTCGACGACGAGCTCATCCCGATCCCGTTGGTGGATGTACCGTCGCTCTGGAACACGGTCTCGACGTCGTGCGCCATGGGCGCGGCAGGCACGAGCGCGGACGCGGAGAGCGGGGCGCGGGAGTCGTAGATGCGCTTGGCGTATGCGGCTGGATTGGCGAGGTTCATTGCGGGGAGGTGGGTGAGGGATACGGTCCAGCTTGGGCTTGTTGCGTCATCAGAGGGGGGGGAGGAGGAGGGGGAGGGGGAGGAGGCGACGGCGGCGAGGGAGGGAAAGTGCGGGTGGCCGGTAGCGAGGAGCGCGCCTGTGTCGTCGTAGCGGATGTTGTCGGGGAGGAACGGGAGCGCGACTGTGTGCGCGTGCGTGAGGGAGTTCGTGGACGGGTCGCGGGTGTAGAAGAGGAGCTGTGCGGTGGATGTGGATGCGACGGCGAGCGTGCGGCCGTCGGGGGAGAGCGAGATGCCGTTCGCGAAGGGGATACCTGGGGCGCTGAGCGCGTGTTCGAGCACGCTTCCGGTGGTCTCGTCGATGGTGAAGTGGGCGACCCAGCCTAGCGGCAGCCCGAGCACCGTCTCCAGCAGCGGCAGCACGCGCCCCAGCGGGCCGGGGAGACGGCGCGTCAGCAGGTGGTCGTTGCTCACGTAGAACGAGCTCGGCCCGGTGAGCGCGATCGCGTTCGGCGCGACGAGCCAGCGCGAGCGCAGCGTGCGCACGTACCGCGCCTCGTCTGGCCTGCTCGGGTCCAGGAGAAAGTGCTCGATCGTGGACGCGTCGCGCGCGTGGTTCACCACGAAGAGGTTCGATGGCTGCCCGTCGCCCCGGCTGGGTGCCGCCTCGAGCCCGAGCGGGTGGAAGTCGTGGTGCGGCGGGTAGCCGACCAGCTTCAGCTTCTGCGGCTTCGAGGTCGCGGGTTTACCGGTCCACGCTGGATAGAGAAAGAGGTGCCCGCGCGGCGCCGGATCGCGCAGGGGGCCCATGACGGTGTTCCACGCTTTGCGGTTCGGGTCGCATCCGAGAAGGACGTGGCGGTCCGTCTGCGTGCCGTTGGCATCGACGTAGTCCCAGAAGGTGATGTCTTCGCAGTACCTGAGCTCGTCTTGTGTCTCGTCGGTGACGAGCGAGCAGTGGGTCTGCCAGTCGCCGCCCTGGAAGTAGCCTTGGGGGAGCGGCGGGATGTCGAGGACGTTGGCACGGAGGACGCGACCGCTGCGGTACCAGAGGAGGGCCTAGATCGACAAGTCACGGACACGTTTGGTGAGTGAAAGGCTTGAGTTAGACGCTGGACATTCCTTACCAAGGCGAGCGTCAACGCGGAAAGATGCCGGACGAGCATTTTTGGGTGCGGGCAATTTTTGAGTTGCTTGTGGAAAATTGGGTAAACAGCCAATCACCTTTCGAACCTCGTCACAATGGTGAAACATTTACTGACCCTAGGGTGTATCAGGAGGACCGTTGCTTCACCCAGAATCTAGATGGCTCCCGAGTTGCAAACGGTGGGTACGTCGGCAAGCAAACTGTTAGCGCCCGATAAATGGAAACAATATTTAATAGCCACCGACGCGACGCGTTCCCACCTGTTCCCACCAACTCCGACAAACTTGATCATGTACTTGGTTGGCCGGAACGACCATCCCTGGATGACTGGGTCAAACCTGCCTTCACACCGCGTACATTCTCCTTGGAACCGTCTTCAATCCGGCAGGGAACACTACCAAACGCAGATTTCGCCTCGAGCACTACTAGAAAACGACGCACTGCGTCGATGGTTCCGACTCGTCGTTTCAAACCGCTGTATTACATTGTCCAAGCTGTGTCCGATCTATGGCGACTACTCCGTGACTGCCTTGCACTACAGGCCCGTCCACAGCTGCAAGACAAGACTGTCCTCCTCGTTCGGCTGCAGCAGTGGCACTTGGCCACAATGCAACATCCGTCTGTCCCTGCAGTAGAGACCGTCTGCTCTTGCCTCGTGTCTCTGTATTTTTGGCAAGTGTATAAGGGTGGCGAATGTTCAGACCATCATGGCCGAAGGAGGTGTGTACACCGGAAACACACAAGAGCACAAGAGCGAGCACAATAGCCCTCAGCGCCACCGACACGGTCTGAGCGCGATCGCTTTGACACTTCCCGACCACCCTAGTAAACTGCTATTAGCGCTGCCATTGGCTCTTGTCCCGTAGAGCCGGGGGCCCAGCATCGACCCTACCAATGGACAATAGAATTAACCCTTTTGCGCAATTCCGACATGCCGCAGCAGAGGAGAGCTTGGACCAGAGACTGGCGACGCAGGACTCGAGAGCCGTCATCCGACGAGTTATAAAACTCTATGCAATATGCTCACTCCGATCCCCCAGCTCACCATCCCCTTCCGACTCGATTCAACGCGCATATTTCTTCGCCAGCCAACCACGCAAACTGCTTTCACGGTCTAGAGATGTGCAAGTTTATGTTCCTGCAGAGTATTTGCAAGGCGCCTCGGAACGGTGATTCCGTACTCCCCATCAAGGATCCCGAGGTTGCCAGAAAAGCGTTCAAACAATTTCGAAATATTGAAATCCCAGCGGGCGTGAGTACATCATACGTTTCTGTGACGGATCTATGTTTCTGTCTCGAATTTAGACTTTGTGAAGCTGACAGCGGCCGCCTCTCCAGGATAAGGATCTTCCTTTCTACCAAGATGACTGTTACCGGTGGGACTGTGCGCAGAGCAAGGAGCACACGGGGAAACACAAAATATCGACTGAATTCTATTGCGAAAAAATCTGCCAGAGACCGTACGTTTTCCTCTCTCTTGTACTTGGGTTGCTCTACGCGCTGGAAACGCCGCTTTCAGAGCCGATCCGCTCGTGCCGGTCACCATCATGCCAGACGGGGAAGTCGAGGGAGAGGACCGAAGTTGCCTTCCTGACTGCACCGACGAGAAATGCTACCACGATAACGTCCCGTACGACGAGGAGTACGACGACCTCGGTATGACCCTCCCCGAGGCGCATCGCAAGCGGCCCGACGAGCATGCGTTCTCGCTCAAAGTGCGGAGGGCGCCTTGGATGTATGGCTGGAGACCGCATTATAATGTTCATAGTCCTGCGCGTGGCAGGAGGTGGTGACCGCTAGCGGCCATTTTTATTACATTTTATTTTATTAGCCAGTCAGTGGTTGTGTTGATGATCATGATGAATGTAGGATGGATCGAGCGATTGCATGTGTCAGACGTTTTTAGATTTATTGTGCTTATATTCAGATAATTGCGCGCATCATCTAGTATGATACCTAGCCATTTAATGATTAACGATTCAGACGCTTGCCCACAATGTTCATTGAACCCATCCTACTGTGAGGACAAATTGGATCCGAGTAAGTGCTAGTGAGCAGTAGCTGCATCATGATTTAGACTGCCAGACGCGACTGGTTAAGTTTGATTTCGACAAGAGGCACTGTTCTTCCCGCAAATAATGATGAAGCTCCAACGCAGAATGCAGTGATCTCCTACGGTCTGAAGTAAATGCCGGTGACCCAATGATCTGAGCCCCGTTGCGGCCGAGCTGAGCTCGAGATGGACTAGTTCCTGCTCGTCTCCCGTAGGCAGACCTTTATTCAGTACGGAAGATAGTCGTTCTGCAGGGTTACTGCGTCGCGGCCGAGGTTGTTCGACCCGACGGACCGCGGTAGGACGGGTGTGCCGCGAGAGCAGACTGAGCCGTGCGCAGGCATGCCATATATAAGCGCAGACCAGCTCCCATTTGTGATTATTTATCTCTTGTGCTCGGGCATGTCCTGTTGCTGGTGAGGTCTTTACCGAAGCACAATCGTTACTGATTGCAAATTACACATCCGAACCCGTCCTCCAGCTTCAGCTGGTTGCAATTTTTGGAACCTCCGCCTTTGAGCTTTGTCCTTGATAGTCTCAGTAGTACATAGTAGATAGGACTCTCCAATTCAATGATTTATTCATTTTTATTATTTGACTGGTCAATGAATGTCGACAGCTAAATATGTGTGGCCGACAAGAAATGCGGTGCTTCGCTATGGTACAGTTGAATATTGAATGTTTGAACACTGATGCAGATCGGTGAGGACATGAACAAAATTAGAATACGCGTGAACTTTTGTCTGCTCCATAAGACAAAGGCAATAACTGCATTGAACGTCGCCATAATCTAACGAACCTAGATTGAACTTCGGCCAGGGCGCTTTAGCTATATTTACAGGGTTTCTGTCGACGTTATTCGAGCTTTTATAGCTGCGTTTACACATGCTTATGACCGTGAAGTAATATGCAAATCACGGGCAGCAACGTCTATGTTGACTTCGTATGCCTACCTCCTCACGAAAGATCTGGGACGTTGTTGCGTTTTGATATGAGAGAGATCCAAGAATGCAATGTATGTTTGATTTGAAAGACCGGGACCCATGGCTCGGTGTTAAGTTATTTTGGGCCCACTGAACTCTGGTTAGTTACTCAAGAGAATAGCATGAAGAAAACAAAGCACTCAGACTATATTACAAAATAGTTATTTTTATAACTTTAAAAAAAAGCCCAAAGCAAGCCAAACGCTCAATGCTAACAGTCTATTCAAGAAGGATTCAGTCTCTCCTGCTCGTCGACGTAATGCGACATAGTCCACCGAGTCTCATATTCTCCCTGTTCCAGACGTTCACGTAGCCGGGTCAAGGCAGGTCCGTCCAAGCGTTCGCGTAGCAGTCGGCCGTGTTCGCGCTTCAGACGCACAAGGAAGGTTGCGAAATGGAACGCTGATAGCGGGTTCGCAAGGTCGAACAAGACGCCGTTGCGTTCTGCAATCCTGATGCGCTGCAGCAATTAATGGCATGAAATCTCAGTTGAGTGCATGAAACATAACGAGCGACACTCACTTGAAAGCCATCGTAGACTTCAGCCCAGGCACACGTGAGCACACCCTGGGTACCATTTGTGACCAGGCTGAAGACGGGAATGTTACTGAACCCCATGGCGCCAAAGAATGCAGCGCCAGATGCCGCACACATCCGGTGCTGGTGTTCTCCCACATGAGAGATAGCCTTCTCCGGCGGCGTGTGGTTCGCGAACAGAAGCGGGAGCTCTAACGAGGAGACCCTGTTCGAGCTAGCCGATATGCCACTGCCATCAACACTAGCACCATCCTTGGTATCTGCGGAAGCAGACGGAGGAAGAGACGGTGGGCGCGTAATGTGCTTCGACTTTAACGTCACTTCCGGTAGTCGATGTGATCTCCCGTTGGATGCAGGAGGAGCTAAGAGCATACTTAGGTCCACAGTGTCAAGTTTCGTTCCGGAGACGATCCCCGCAGATCGGACATTGCCGTGGAATAGGTTCTGTGCAGCCGCAAACTGACGGTTTGAAGCAGCAACATCGCAGACGCCATGGTAATATGCCACTTCTCTCCGCGCCGCTCCTTTATGGACCAGGGCAAAAGTTTCCGCAGCACGTCGGAGAGCTGGAGAGGACTGGCTGCTAACGAAGTTGGGCAGGGAAACTGTCGCGACGGCATCACAGAACCCGCTGATTGGATCTGTAGAAGCTAAGTCCCGTACGTCACATGGCTTTTCAGAAACATCAATAGGCAACCTTCCGAGAGTCACCGCCGCAGCGCGCGACTGGTCAATCATGGCGGAATTCTCGTCGTCTGCAGACTCTCCCTGGAGTCCTTCCTGGCCACCCATGCGATCGAGCATATCTTCTACGAGATTCTTGACCGCGGTATGATGTTGGGATTGATACATCATGTACTGGTGGCCAACATGCAAGGCGCAGCGTAACCACTCCGGAATTTCGAACCGGTCGGCGAACGCACTCCTGGGTAACGCGATAGCGGTCGCTGATCTTCATTTGGGCCGGGGGAAGATTGGTAAATGTATACCGAAGATATAGCTCGAGGGACTTACAGCAATTTTGAGGCTTCGCCTTGCGTAAACCTCGATATCATGGCTTCCCATATGTGCCCGCAAGCTGTGGGGGATGCATGACGTTGTGAGGTCTCATGCTGCAAGCCCGCCTGGCCGCAGACTGCCAATATGTATTCGAGGTTGGTGCTGAGTTCCGCAGCGGCAGTATCATCCAGGGACTCGATACTCTCTTTGGGCACGAGTTTGCAATATGATTGCTTCATATCGAGAAGTTTGCTCCTGAGATGGCTATATTCAGGTACGGTATCTGTAAGAGGAACCTGGATAACACATGAGACACAAATGAAGTATACGATGTCAACCGAGGCTTACGCACTGAACTATCCCAATTATTGCACCATGCGAAACGAGTGAGTGATATGTATGATGCAGGTATGGTACCTGCTTCCATCAGAGGCAGGACCGACTGTGTAGTGGCAACACGGTCCCAGAGCCAGCGAGCAACAGTAGTGTAAGGTTGATTTGTATTTGATGTGCCTGTTGTGAGTCTGGCACCGAGATCAAGGATGAGAATCGGAATAGTCAGATCACTCACTCAACATGTGTATAACCTCCGCAAGGGAGGGATGTATTCCGTACTACCAGAACATGTCAACATCCATTAGAACACATAGTAAAGAAACCAACCTGTTAGGCAAGCTTTCGACATCTTCATCCGAGGATAAGTGTGGTGAAGGCACAATCAGCTCGCTAGAATGATAAAGTCAGCGTATTTAGGAAGAAAGGAGAAATAGATGCTTACGGGCTACTAGCAAGGGCTTCCTTCAGCCATGCACGCAATGATGCCGATTTATCCCCTTGGTTGCTGACTAGTCTCACATGTTGATCGACATAGTCCAAACGCCACTCAAAGCGCTCCACCCGCAAGCTCGGTTCAAACGACAGAGCACGCATCGAAGGCTCGATTACCGCTAAAATGTATTGAGCAAACTCCATGGTCGAAAGGGAAGAGCTGAGATCAAAGCAACCCGCCGCGGAACTGGGCTGTCTCGACTGATTACGTGCTATGTTCACCAATGGCTACACATGAAACATGTCAATGATGAAGAATCAGAGGAAAAACGCACGAAACATAGCTCACCAAGGAATCTTCTGACACGGTGTTGCTTGACCACGCGAGCAAAACTTGGATTACAGTTGAATCGCGTGAGAACGCGACTCCAACGATTGGTTCGCTCAGGCCCCATGCAAGCCGCTGGTAAACCGCACTGCGCAACACAGAAATAATGATCTCGTCTTCAGCTACGCAGATGACGGGGACAGAGGGTCGAAAGCTGCGGTAGTCCGCGAACAGAGAGTAGTGGGAGCTGGGGTCGGTATTCTCGCAGGCTTTCCAGCTCGTCTGAAGATGCGCCGAACTCTTTGATGTATCACTAAAATGGGCTGTTTGAGGGGTGTGTTGGCGGTGCGGCTTACGAAGGTCAACTCAGGTAGCGAGAAACTGCAAACAGGTGTGATCTCACAGAGTCATCGCATAACCCCGATGCTGAGGAGACAGAGCGTTCTACCGCACCCTCAGAAACATTCCGCATCACTAATAGAGATGCTATGTGAGCCAGCGGATGGAAGGAGGCTAATCCGGCCCAATCTGGCCTGCATGGTCTGGCTGTCGCAAACGTTGCATTCTCACTGGCCAAATTGTCGGTACGTCGGGTTTTGTGTAAACGAAGAGTCGACGCACATGACAAAGAGGTCTGGGGCAGAAGTCCGTGCTACATAGGTAACCACACTAGCAGGGCTAGCCGGATCAACGATGATACTCTCTAGAATGTCTGCGGGTTGGACGTAATGTTTAATTGCGTCTGAGCAGTGAGTTCCGTTTAGCATATGAGAAGTTACTTGAGTGGGGCCCGAGAGAGAGGGTGAAGGGGGTATGAGGTTTTTGCTGCGATGTGGAAGTGAATCATGGCAAAGAGGGAGATATAGAACGCTGGAGAGGTCGAGGTCTGCGGCCATGAGCTCGACGTCCACGAACAAAAGAGTCTAAAAGAGTCTACTGTACGTCGAACAGACACGAACATCACAACAAATGCAAACTCTCCCACGCTTCATGCACCTGCCAAGTTGAGGCTGACTCGGAAAGCATAATGGGATAAGAGCTCAACCTTACCCTAAGTGTGAATAGTGGAAAGAAAGGACTGAAAAGGGCCTAAGGCGGGACGCTGACATGGCCGCTGCTGTGGACAAGATCAAGTAGTGCTGAAGGCAAGGTGACGGTGTCTGTGTGGTGTGAGATTAGACGCTGCAGCGAGTGTTAAATATAAATTACCATCGTTCGATGCCATATACTATTCAGTTGCATGTGTGAAGCGTAAATATCATCGGACAGCATGAAAAAAGGCACAGCAGATGGCAGAACAGGATAATCATAACATAAAGTGAGCTTAGAAGCGACTATCCATTTAAGAAGGACCCTGTATTTCCTGCTCGTCGACGTAATGCGCCATAGTCCACCGTGTCTCATATTCTCCCCGTTCTAAGCGTTCACGCCACCTCGCCATAGTATGCTCGTCAAGCCGCTCGCGTAGCAAAGCGCCGTGCTCACGCCTCAAACGGACAAGGAACGTCGCAAAATGGAACGCCGATAGCGGGTTCGCCAGGTCGAACAAGACGCCGTTGCGTTCTGCAATCCTGATGCGCTGCAATAGTAACATATAAGTGTTGGCCAAGGGCATGAGACAGTGAGTGATACTCACTTGAAAGCCATCGTAGACTTCAGCCCAGGCGCACGTGAGTACGCCCTGGGTCCCATTCGTGACCAGGCTAAAGACGGGAACGTTGCTGAGCCCCGCAGCACCAAAGAATGCAGCACCCGAGGCCGCACACATCCGGTGCTGGTGCGCTCCCACATGAGAGATAGCCTTCTCTGGCGGCGTGTGGTTCACGAACAGGAGCGGCAGCTCTAATGAGCAGGCAGCGTTCAAGCTAGTCAAGCTGTCGTCAACATCCATATCGGCTTCATCCTCGCTATTCGTAGAAGAAGAAGAGGGTAGAGAAGGTGGGCGCGGAATGTGTTCACGCCGGAGCGTCTCCTCTGGTAGCTCGTAGTACCAGTCGGTGGGGCCAGGAAGAGCTGAAAGGACACTAAGATCTACGGTGTCTTTCGTTTCTGGTGGAATCCCGGCGGATCGGACATAGGCACGGAATAAATTCTGAGCGGCTGAAAACTGAGGGCACGAAGCGGCGACATCGCAAACGCCATGCCTATATGCCACTGCCCTTGGTGCCGGTCCTCCTCGTAGCAAAGCAAAGTTTTCCGCAGCGCGTCGGAGGTTCGGGGAGGCCTGGCTAGTAACGAAGTTCGGCAGGCAAAGCGTCGCTACATAATCACAGAAACCATCAATCGGGTCGGTAGATGCCAAATCCTGTACGTCGTACGGATTGTCGCAGACATCGATTGGCGTTCTCAAAGTCACCCCTGCTGCAAGTGACTGGTCGGTCAAGGCGGGTTCCTCATCATCTGTGAGTTCCTGAGTTTCTTCCTGGTCATGCATGCGCTCGTATATGTCTTCCACAAATTCCTTCGTTGCGGTGTAGTGCTGGGAGAGATATATCACGTATTGACTGGCGACGTCTGAGGCGCAATTTAACCACTTTTTATTCTTCATATGGTCAACGAATGCGCTTCTGGGTAACGCAACTGTGGTTCCAGACCTGCATGCGACAGATGATAAGCTGATAAGAAAGAAGGTATGCCTTGAGGTACGAACCGAACATTCGAGGCTTCGCCTTCCATAAGTTTCGAAATCATGGCTTCCCAAATGTAGCCGCAAGGTATGGGAGAAGCGTGGCGTTGCGATATTTGACAGAGCGATTCCGCTTGGTCACAGGCCGCCAATACATACTTGAACTTGATACTTAGTTCCGCAGCCGTGGTATCGTCCAAATTCTTGATATCGTCTCTCGACATAGAATTGCAATACGTTTGCTTCATATCGAAAAGCCTGCGTCTAATATGTCTGTGCTGGGAGACGCTGTCCGGAAGAGAAGACTGAATAACGAATGAGACGCAAATGGGAGATATTATCGATTGATTCACACGCACAGAGCTGTCCCAGTCGTCGTGCCATGCAAAGCAAGTGAGGGATACGTATGATTCAGGTATAGTACCTGATCTGATAAAAGGTAGGACCGATTGCGTGGTGGCAAGGCGATCCCAAAGCCAGCGAGTGATAGTTGTGAAAGGCTGGCGTATGTTCGAGGCGCCTGTTGTGATGCTAGTGGAAGATTAGGGGCGGGCTTCAGAGCACCTAAACTACTCACTCAGTATAGTTATACCTCCGTATGAATATGCCATCTTCCGGGCTAGTCTAGCATTTCAACACTGGTTTTTAGACGCATCACTAGCACCAACCTGCCAGGCAAACTTTCTATGTCTTTATCTGAGAGCAAGTACGATGATGCTTCAATAGGTTCTCTAACTGGAGTCAGCAGCTCCGCGCAAGAAAGGAGAACTAGCACATACAAGGGATCGGTAAGGGCTCCTTTTGCCCATGCTTCTAATGACGTTATTTTATCCCATTGTGGGCATCCCAATTCACCATGTTGACCAATGCAATCCAAGCGCCACTGGAAGTGTTCAACCTGCAAGTTTGGTGAAAGCGTACAAGCATGCACTTCATGTTCAACTATTGCCGATATGTATCGGACGAACGCCGTGGTTGATAAATGAGAGCTCAAGTCAAACCAACCCTTTTCGAGGCTAGACTGCGCAGACTGGCTGCTCGCAATGTTTACCAAAGGCTGTATAGCAACAGATGGTAAGGTTAAACGGCCAATCAGCAGCGTATATTTGAGCGATAGCGTATCATGGCTCACCAGGGAGCCATCTGATATGGGTTCACTTGGCCATGCTAGGAGAGTCTGTACTGCGGTTGACCCCGAGGATGAAGCAACCCCAACGATCGGGGCGTTCACTCCCCAAGCGAGCCGCTGATACACCGCACTGCGCAGTAAAGAGACGACGTTGACTCTCTCAGCTACACAAAGAACGGGAACTGATGGACGAAAGCTGCGGTAGTCCGCGAACAGGGAGTAGTGAGACATGGGGTCGGTGTTCTCGCAGACTTCCCAGCTCGTCTGAAGAGGCGCCGAGCTTTCCGAAGTGTCACGAGAGTGGGCTGTTGGAGAAGCATATTGGCAATGCAGCTTACGAAGGTCAACTCAGATGGTAAGAAGCCGCAAACAGGTATGATCTTACAGAATCATCATATAAGCCGGACGGTGACGGGACAGACTGCTGTGCCGCGTCTTCAGAAACATCTCGCATCACTAACAGAGAAGCTATGCGAGCTAAAGGATAGAAGGAGGCTAAGCCTGCGTAGTCTGGTCTGCATGGCCTAGCTGTTGCAAACGTTGCATTCTCACTGACTCCGCTATCGGTATGAGCATGCAAAGGCAAGTAAGTGAAGAGTCGACGTACGTGGCAAACAGGTCTGGAGCTGAAAGCTGTGCAGCATATGCTACCACACCAGCAGGGCTAGCCATAACACCCAATACATCGGTAGGATTCACGCGAGGGTCATGCTCGCCTTCAACCTGGAGGCAAAATTTGGTTGTGTCTGAGTATTGAGTCCCGTTCAGTACAACATCAACATGAGTACCTGGGTGGACCTTTCGAGATATGATGAAGCGGGTATAAGGTTTCTGACCCGAGTTGGAAGTGCATCGTGGCAAAGAGGAAGATAGAGAACGCTGGAAAGGTCAAGGTCTGCGACCATAGCTCATGAGGTCGACACTCAGACTGCAAAGATGTCCATGCTGAACAGACGCGTGATGGTCACAACAGAAGCAAACTCTCCCACACTTCATGCCCCTGACTCGGCTGAATTTTGGAAGAGTTGTACTAGTACTGCAATTGAATGAAGATCAAATGAAGATGAGAGTTCGAGCACTGTGGCTAAACATGAACAATACTAAGAGAAGAAGAAAACACAACTAAATGCCTAGCAGGCAAGCCGCTGACCTGGCTGTTGCTTCGGACGTGTTCAAGGCAAAATCACGCTGTGACATTGAATGTTGAACGTTAGATTAATATTGTTCGGTACTCTATATGGCCCGGCTGCATGTAGAAGTTGTACGTAAATTTGGACAGCGTTAGGAAAGCAAAGCGAATAGAACGACGAAACATAACACAAAGAGGGTTAGAAGCGCTCCGCGTCAACGGTGCATTCAAGAAGGATTCAGTCTCTCCTGCTCGTCGACGTAATGTGACATAGTCCACCGAGTCTCATATTCTCCCTGTTCCAGGCGTTCACGTAGCCGGGCCAAGGCAGGTTCGTCCAAGCGTTCGCGTAGCAGTCGGCCGTGTTCGTGCTTCAGACGCACAAGGAAGGCTGCGAAATGGAACGCTGATAGCGGGTTCGTGAGGTCGAACAAGACGCCGTTGCGTTCCGCAATCCTGATGCGCTACAGAAATGGCATAAAATCTTAGTTGAGCACATGAAACATAACGAGCGGCACTGACTTGAAAGCCATCGTAGACTTCAGCCCAGGCACACGTGAGTACACCCTGGGTACCGTTCGTGACCAGGCTGAAGACGGGAACGTTGTTGAGCCCCGCAGCGCCAAAGAATGCAGCACCAGAAGCCGCACACATCCGGTGTTGGTGGGCTCCCACATGAGCGATAGCCTTCTCCGGTGGCGTGTGGTTTACGAACAGGAGCGGTAGCTCTAATGAGGAGGCCGCACTCGAGCTAGCCGATTCGTCATCGTCAATGATACCAGCCTCGTTCTCGCTGGTCATGGAGGCAGACGGAGGAAGAGAAGGTGGGCGCTCAATATGCTCAAGTTGGAGCGTCTCTTCTGGTAGTTCGTAGAGCCCATTAAGTTGGGGGCAGGAGGAACTGCGAGGAGGCTGAGATCTACGGTGTCTTCGGTTTCTGGCGGTATCCCGGCCGACCGGACATAGGCATGGAACAAGTTCTGAGCGGCTGCAAACTGGAAACGCGAAGCGTTGACATCGCAGACGCCATGCCAGTATGCTACGGCCTTTGGTGCTGGTCCTTTCCGTAGCAAAGCAAAGTTTTCCGCAGCGTGTCGGAGGTTCCGAGAGGCCTGACTAGTAACGAAGTTCGGCAGGCAAAGTGTCGCTACGGAGTCACAGAAACCATAGATCGGGTCGCTCGAAGCCAAATCCCGTACGTCGTAAGGGTCTTCACAGACGCGGACAGTCGGTTCTCCCAGAGTGATCCCTGCTCCTATTGTTTGGTCGGTCAAGGCGGAATCCCTGTTACCTGTGAGTTCTCCCTGGGCTCTGACAAACTTCTTCGTTGCCGAGTGGTGCTGGGATAAATACACCCTGTACTGGCAAGCAACGTACAAGGCGCAATCTAACCACTCAGCGTTCTCAGAACGGTCGGCGAACGCGCTCCTGGGTAACGCGATGGAAGTTGCACCCCTGCATTTGGTCATTCTAAAGCCGTCGAAGGAAGGATGGCGGGAGACTGACCAAAGATTCGAGGTTTCACCACGGATGAACCTTGAAATCATCGCTTCCCATATGTAACCGCAAGTGGCAGGAGAAGAGTGACGTCGTGAAGTTTCGAGGTGCATTTTCGCTTGATCGCAGGCTGCTAATACGGACATAAAGTTGGCGCTTACTGACGTTTGCGTTCGACCTTGCCAACGCAAAATTTAAAAATAAAAATCCCCAAAAGGCAGCTGCGTCCACATGTCTGGGTCTCGTAGTCATAAGTAATCTCCTATTCGCCTCAAATTCGCCTCGTCTACTACAAAACTGGGGATTTATAAACCACCCACACCATCTGAGAATACTCGCCACGTTTGATGAGATAGATCAGTCATAGCATAAGTCAGGAATGACGATTCATGGCCTGGTAAGATACTCAGTCGGTTACGGAGGTAGTCAATATTAATTACCAAGAATTGACTTATAATTATCAGTCTGATTGAGTCTAAGCTACATGTTAGCCACGTGTTGGCTTGGCGTGGACATGATCTATTTTCATTTATTTTTTTCCGTTCGGCAAGGTCGAACGCAAACGTCAGTAATTCCGCAGCTGTGGTATTATCCAAGGACTCAACACTGTCTCCCGAACAGGAATTGCAATACGCTTGCTTCATATCGAGAAGCCTGCTTCTAAGATGGCTATACTCGGCTACGCTGTCCGGAAGAGGAGCCTGAACAAAACGTAAGATACAAACGAAGTCTAAGTTATCAACCAGGACCCACGTACAGAACCGTCCCAGTCATCGCTCCAAGCAAAGCGAGTGAGAGATATATACGATGCAGGTATAGTTCCTGATTCGACGAAAGGGAGTACCGACTGAGTAGTTGCGAGGCGATCCCAAAGCCAGCGGGTAACTGTTGTGAATGGTTGGTTTATGTTCGAGGCGCCCGTTGTGATGCTAGGACAACATTAGAGCGGGCTTAGGGGCGACTAAACCACTCACTCAGCATGCGTAGACCTCTGAATGTATGCAACATCCTCTGGGCTATTAGAATGGTTAATATCCGATCCAACACCTAGACATAAACGAACCTATCAGGCAAGCTCTCTGGTTCTTCATCGAAGGCCAAGTGTGTTGATGGCGTATTGGGTTCACTGGCACAGAGAATGAATTTGGCAACTTCGTGGGGAAAGGGGGTCTGGCACCTACGGAATACTGCCAAGAGCATCTTTTGCCCACGCATACAATGATGCCGATTTATCCCGATAGATGCTCGCTAGTCTAGCATGATGATCAACATAGTCCGAGCGCCACTCAAAGGGCTCGACCTGTGAGCTGGGCGCTAGCAAAAACGCATGCGCCTCATGCTCGACCATGTCCGAAATGTATCGGACGAACGCTGCTGCTGCATTGGGAGAGCTCAGATCAAACCAGCCGGCCCCAGAGTTAGCCTGCCTTGATGGATTGCTTGCAATGTTCACCATTGGCTACACATATGACCAGGAATCGAGACTCAAATTAACGAATACACTCAAGAAAACGAATTATGGCTCACCAAGGAATCCTCTCGGGCAGGTATACCTGGCCAGGCGAGTAAAACCTGAACTACAGGTGACCGGGGATATAGCGTAACTCCGACGATTGGCGTGCTCATGCCCCACGCAAGTCGTTGATACACCGCGCTGCGCAACAAGGATATGATGGCATCATCCTCAGCTACGCAGACGACGGGGACGGAGGGACCGAAGTCGCGGTAGTCCGCGAATAGGGAATAATGGGAGATGGGGTCGGTGTTTTCGTAAATTTGCCAGCTGGTTTGAAGAGGTATTGAGCTCTCCGAGGTAACACGAGAACGGGCTGTCCGGAAATCAGACGAGTCTGACGTGGTTTCTGAACCGTCATGCCAGGCATCGTCAGTGGCTCGAAGGGGTAGCTACCGGGGATCGATTTAGTTGAAGTGAAGACCAGTATAGAAGTGGTGTCACGAAATCGGTGCTTACCCTAGACGCTGTTAGGACAGAGCGTCGAGCCGCATCCTCGGAAGTAACCCGCATCACCAATAGTGATGCTATGCGAGCTAGGGGATAGAAAGAGGCTAAGCCAGCGTAATCCTCCCTGCATGGCCTGGACGTTGCAAACGTCGCCTTCTCACTAAACACGATGGTCAATACGAGTGCCGCATGAGCATATAAGCGTGTGAGCATGACGTACATCACGAATACGTCTGGCTCAGATATCCGTGCACCATATGCAACCAAACTAGCGGGATCAGAGGAAAGTCCCTTGAGACTGTCCAGAACTTCTGCAGAAATCGTGAGGGGTTTCCGCTCGTCTATGGCCTGAAGGCAATGTTAAGTCGCGTCTGGTTTGCCTACATCGCGACGACAGCACCTTGGTAGGGCTCTCAAGAGATGATGAAGATGGCAGAAGGCATTTGATGTCTTGCGGGATGGAATCATGGGTAAGAGGAAGATAGAGGACGCTAGAGAGGTCAAGGTTTGCAATCATGGAGGTCACCGTCAACAAGACTAGTACTGTGTTAGGTCAAACGGTATACTGTTCGCGTTCTCAACATGGACACAATAAACCTAAGTTTCTCACGCGTCACGCTTCGGGCACAGACCCCTATTGGCGACTGTACCGGCGATTTCGGTTAAGCCTGATCCCATACCTGGCACCGTAAAATCTCCGACTTAAAGGTACATATGAATCATGGGGATAACCAGGTTGACAACCTCTGAGCTACCTGGGTGCACATCGGGCTACTTTATACGCTGGTACTACTGGCATGATCCAACGCGTGCTCCATACTCCACTGAGTCGACAGTTCCTTCTGTACGATGCGGGTGACAAGATGCGACGCAGCAAGGTTCTCGGTCGCCTTGGCCTGAAGACCTGGGACAAGATGTACAGCCATATAACACAGGCAGGAGGCGAAGTGGGCACAAGACAGCGGATTTGCCAGGTCGAAAACCATCGCATTTCGTTCGAGGATCATAATATGCTGTCAGATGATGTCAGGCAATTGGGAAATGAAGCGAGTAAGATTTTACGTACCGTGGGGTCGCTAAGGTTATTAGTGTCGCGCCGAGCGTACGCGCACGACAGCACTCCGTGCTGGCCATTAGTAGTAAGGCCGAAGACAGGTTGTTCCAGAATACCGGCGGCGGCCAGATAGGAAGCGGCGGCGTTCAGATAAAGTCTAGTTTGGTTTGACCCTGCGTCATGTTCGCTCTGCCCCTTTTTGTATTCTACTACGAAGAAAGGCAGATGAAGGACGTTTTTGTGCTCTGGCGTGACTGCGTTTGACCCTTTAGTACCCTTGCCTTTACTTTTTGAGAACCCAAGGTCGGCTCTGAGGAGCTTGCGCCAATGTGCGCCGGAGGGGCGTATTCGGGACCAAGTCCAGCAGACGGTGTATTCAGACAGAATATATCATGAGCGAGATTTTTGCTCTGGGTCGCCATCGATGAATGGGATAGCACATCTGTCGACATGAGGGAATCTTGCGGGCAGATAGGGTCGTCTTTGCCCTCTGCCTCGTGGAAGAGGGAAAACTTGCTACGCTCAGCGTCCGCGACGTCCTCGAAGCCGTCCAAATTGAAAGCAAGAGTGACCAGAGCATCGCACTTAGCAGTGGAAGGATCATACTTCATCCTTTCCTTGGCTTCATCTGCGCATTTCGTGATATCTACTGACGATTGAAAGAGCTGAGCGGCCTGGGCATGCTGTTTCACGAACGCCGCCTTCTTGGTCGCATCGGCATCATTCAGCTTCTCGTGTCCCAAGTCCAGGTTACGTGAAGCTCTCCGGCGTGTTTTAAAGCGGTTGTGGAGTCCCGAGAATTGGAGACAAAGCTCAGCGACTTGCTTGACCACTTGCGTGGTACCTAGCGCAAGCTGACTTCTCGACATTTTGATAGTTTTCTCCACCCTTGAAAGTTGTGAGTGCCATCCGACGGCATATGGGAAGGGGCAGTGGGAAGCGATACGTACATAAAGCGAAGCTTCCCCATCTTCACCAACAAAAATACAGACTCGATCAGCCCATCCCATGGTCGTCGCCATTCGGCCTCGGGGATACCCTCACTCTTGGAGAGTTCTTGAAGTCTTCTGGTATGCGCGACCGCGATCAAAATATAGTCCCAGCATTCTTTCAGTAGGTCTGCAACGGCGGTATTTGCGAATGCTGCAGAGGCCTGTGGTTGCTGGGAATTCGACATCAAGAGTGCTCTGTGTACACAGAGATCATAAACGAGCGCTGTCATGGCACCCCTGAGATATTCCGGAACCTCGCTAATACTGCGAGGGTTTTGGATCTAGACGCTGATGATGAACACCATGGCGCCATAAAAGACGAGCCATAAGTGTGCTCACCGCCTCAAGCCACTCTTTAGGTATCACAAGTTCGGCGCAGTCCTTATATATAGCATATATTCGGGAGCGAAAAACTTCGGGCAAGAAGATAAGGTCGTAGATTGAATGCCGTGTGGTCGATCGGTCAAACAACCACCAGTCGCAGAGAAAATTTGGACCGTTCTGCTTTATAACGTCACCGCGCGCCCTTAGCGAAACTGATACAGGAATACGTGTATGAGCAGCGTCCGCTTTCGGTGGGAACTGAGACTTACACGGAGGCAGACCATCGCCCATTCGTCGGTTTGACGACCACCGCTCCAGTGTTCTCTCCTAGCTGCCCGCCCTGAGCGGTCGTGATCTTGTCTTTGGAATCCGAATCATAGGCGGATTCAGGCGACAATAGGCTCGAACTATGGTCGCGACACCAGTAAGCGTCTGATCAAGCGAATATCGTGAGACGCACATTTCACTCGCTGTCGGCGCTCTGGTGGGTGTAGACTTTGCGGTTTGTTTCCTCGATCTCGAGCCTCCTTGGGCGGGAAGGTTCCCTGCGTCCTCAGAGTGATCCGCGGGAAGGTTCAGCTGGGGAACCGATGGTGGAGCGCTCCTAGGCGGATTGACTGCCCCGGTGGTTCTAGCCCCCCTGGGAACAGTGTCCGAGGCAGTCGCTGTATCGCCTCTCTTGGTGCCCTTGGAAGGGACTTCCTTGTTGCTCGAAGAGCTCATGGACGCGATAGAACAGGGAGAGGGGCAGTATCAGAGATCATTCGAGACGAGGGCTGAGGTCCCCCATCGATGCAACGTGGATTGAGCCAAATAGGACTACACTGGCACCCACAATCGATGAACGCTACCAGGAAGGAAGAAGTCGCATGCATAGTGCGTGCTCAAAAGAGCACACGATTTACCTCGTGTGGTCCTATCAACACATGAGCTGTCGGAGTTGAGACTAAAATAAGGTAATATTGAAGTTGGAAAGTTGGCTTACACGTGGACGGACAGATACATCACTTTCCACGTAGAGGTGAATTCGGGATACTCGTATGGCACGGCTAATGCAGCTGAAATGCAGAGAGCTTACGGGCAAGATGTCGCCGCCTTTTGTTATAGCGTTGATCATGGCCTATCATGCACGATGGAAGTTATGAACAAGAGGGGATGTCCCAATTTGGCAGGTCGCCCAGCGCTAATTAGCAGATACGTTACAAGGCGCAACTTCACCACCATTTAACAGGTTGCTTGCACAACGAGAGCGCACATTGTTTGTTGAGTTTGTAAAATCAACATTTTCAAGTCGTAAATCGCCAAGTAACGTACAATATGCGCGATATAGGGTAAGATAAACAAGCAGGAAGGAATCTAATTTGCAGAAATGTGTACGAAATAAATGATGACATAATGTTACGAGTGATGCGTATTCCGGGAAGTGTAGAATGCCAAAGCGAAACAGTATGATAGTCCCAGGACCCGAGCGTGAACCATGCCGAGAGAGAAAGAAAAAGAAAAAGCTTAGTAGGCAGGCCACTGTTCCGGCTGCTGCTGCTGCTGGAGGCGAACATACTCGAGGGCGAGGTAGTACTCAAGCTCCTGCGAGTCGAAGTGGAAGTCGCCTTCAGGCATCGCTGTCGATACAGACGAGGGGATGTCGAAGCTGAGGTCGAACTGCGGCTGTTGTGATTGCTGGGGCTGAGCGAAGTCGTATGACTGGGCGGAGTAGTCGAACGCGTTGTTCTGATACCCATAAGATGGGCTCTGAGCCTGAATGGGGAAGGTGGAAGCGGAGTATTGGAAGTCGGTGTAGTTGCTGTTGTCGTAGACGCAGCTCGTTGAACCGGACGACGGCTGCTGGTAACCCTCAGGCATGGGGAGAATCGCTCTCCGAGGGGTCAGGGGAGTGTGAACGTAGGTGTTGTAGTCATATGTGGCTGAGGTGGGTTGACCATCCTGAGACCACAAGGCATCGAACATCGCGAGGCTAGTCGGGTCGATGGCAGCTATTGGGGCGGGGGTGTAGGTCTCAGGTGCGACAGAGGGTTTGGTCTCGACTTCAGCCAGTGCAGAGCTAGATTCGAAAGCGTCAAAGCAGATATCGATGGGGCTGCTCTGGGACGCAGAAGGCACGTCGAACGCGAGGAGCTCAGAGGTGTCCAACTTGACTTCAGGGGTGGGGGACGACGAATTAGACTCGTAGCCCGAGTCGCTGTCCTTGAGCTCGCAGTACCGGCGGAATTCGCGGGCATTCATCTTGTGGATGCGCTTGCGGTGGCGAATGACCGCAGACGGATCATTGAACGTCTTATGACAGACTTGGCAAGGGAATCTCTTGTCATGCGTGCTAGAGGAAGTTGATTAGATACTGTGAACATTCGAGCTAGCAAGTGTAGACTTACTGTTTGGCGTTAATGTGTGTATTGAGGTTCGCCTTCTGGAGCGTCGCGTATTCGCAGCCCTTCCAGGGACACTGGTGCATCATCTCACGACGGTGAGGCGAATGTATCAACATATGGCGCGAAAGATCAGCAGCGCGAGACACGTTCGCGCTGCATGTGGGGCATTTGTTACCCTTGATGACTTTAGTCTAAATAGTGGTCAGTATGAAGCTCAGTATGAAATACATGGCATGAACGTACCACTTTCTTAGCGTTGGCAGAGTGGAAGACCATTGTGGGGTAGGCTCGAGATTGGACGAGACAGGGGAGGTTGTATAGGCGACGATGGGCACGAAGGCTGGTAGATTGGATAGGAGTGTTCGACTGGATTGAAGACTGGTGATACGACGAGAGAAGAGTCGCTAAAAACGGAGCTCGGGAGGTGGGTGCTGGTGGGCACTGGCGCCCACCTTCCCCTCTTTATACCCAGTCCATGGTCAACGTCGAGCGTAGCATTGGCGGTGGATTGGTCTCCAACCCGTCTCCAGAAATTGCCGCCTATGGGAAGCGCCCACAGACAGTACCTGCCTCCCGATTGCTTGAAATCAAAAAGACCATACGCGGAGGGGTTGAAAAGCAATCAAGTGACATAATTGCCGAGGGAGGCAAGACCAATGGCAATACCCCCGGATTGCTTTCGAACTCCAGTTCGAAAAGTTACTGGATTCGCTGGAAATTACTGGGAAAGGTAATTTAGGTAGACAAAGCTCTACTTCGCCTTTTGTCTGACGTATGGCCGTCGGCCTTAGCACACCTTGACGACGGCGCTCTTGTGCTTTGACATCGTGCACGTGGCTGATGTCTTGTAGCGGCGACGCTGGCTTGAGCTCAAAGTCTGAGCGGTCGGAGCTATTGAGGACATAATAAGAAAATATCTAGCTTCTGTGTAAATGAATGTTTGAGAGAAGACCAACGCGCAGGTTGGACTCAGGATGGGGATAATGGACGGGTGCGATAATAGAAACGGGCGTTGGGCGGGCGTCAATATTGTGTTTGCACAAGTTTGCCACAGCCTGCCCCCTAACCCCACTCCAGGCTCCAGCGCTCTCTTTCTTCAGGTCCTCACTCACCTCCGCTGGCCAGGTACGTCTGTCTCTCGTATACATCTAAGGTTTATCAGTGTGACGTTATATTAACAGGTCATCGTCAACCCTACTGGATCCCGGTGCGAGTGTAACGCACCAGTTGCGTAACCTCCGCCAAACAGGTCACGAACAGAGAATCTGGCGCCCCATCGGCGATGGTTTCTTAGTAGCGATTTTTAGACTACACAATGCCGAGTGGAAATCTTGAAGCATGTTGCAAACGACACCGAGCGAAGCACGTTCGTTACGACATCGAGATGAAAGTTTGGAGTTTGTTGTGTTCGTCTTTTACAACGAAAGTGGACGGTTCGCTGGCTCGTAGGATCGTCTCGGATTCTACGGGGGCTTTCCTTTATCCACTGGTGAGTTGTGGTACTTCTTGGTTCTGCTCCTCTAGAGCAACGACTGATCGATGGATCATTCTCAGAGTTGAGAGCAGCAATATTGGGCTTCGCAGGCTCGCTGTCCACTTTGCCATAGCATTGTGGACTCGAAATTCCTCTCCCGGATCGATTGGCGCTGCACGGAGCAATCCGGTTTTCCAAAATCAAATAATCCAGGACGTACATATACCCGGAAGAGATGCGCGAGCATTCCCAGAAGCCGTGCGTAATCTTCCTGGAAGCGTCGCATGTACTACAGCCAATTTTCACTATGCGATGAATATACTATCTTCCCTTTGATGATTGCCAGTCTCTTGGGCAGAGAGCAGTAGAAATATGTAAGACAACGCGAGTACTAGGATAACCGTAAGAGATTGGACGTCAACTGGGGACGCGGCGCGACGCGTCTCGCGCGTAGCTTGCTCTTGCTCTCGTCGTCCACCACGACATCCACCCTAGTCTCCGAGCAGCCCTTGACACGTACTCAGCCAGAGGCTTCGTCCCCTGCACTCTTGGAAGAGGCTTGCTCTACATCCCTCTTAAGGCCCAAAACTTCAATATCACCGATGTTGCTCTCAGCATCCCATGGTCCACGTCAGGATCAACGAACACGAAACGAACACGAACCCCGCAGGTCAGGCCTGCCATGATGCACCACGATTTTACCATCACACCTGAGGCACCGGTGAATCGGACGGCTGAGAAGATCCTTAGAACGATGCATTGAGCGATCGTAAATCTTATAAACACTGTTAATCCCGCGCAGAGGGATAATAAGGGTTTAAATAGATATTTACATCTCCAAGGCGATCAGAGGCTAAGGATAAGATTTAAAATATGTCAGCAAGGGCGACTCAAAACAATTGAATGCATCGTTGCTATGGCAAGATTTATAACATTTATGACGGATCGAAGCGGTGAGAAGATTGTAAATAGAAACTTGAACCGTATGTGTATAAAGAGGATAAAAACGATCCTTGGCGGGCCAATCAGAAGCCTTGAACAGGCGGACGATTTTAAATCGTTGCAACAATATAGGAGGTGTTCCTAGGAAGGATGACACAGCATCGCAGATTTATAGAAAGATTTAAAATTCATCCCCGCATCGATGACCACAAAAGATCCTTTCGGATCTATTCAAAATCAATAGAGCTGGTGGGTTTAAAGTCTTTGTTACCATCTTCCGTACCCGTCCACTGTAAAAGTGATTCAAAACCTTTTATTATCTCGAGTGCCCGGTAATATTTTTCAAGATACATAAAATCTTCCGCAGGATCTTTCTAACAATCTCCCCGCGTGTCCGATTTGCCGGTGCCTCAGGTGTCAATAGCTTCGTAGAGGTGCTCTTTCTTCTCCCTTTTGTTGTGCTGACGTACGCTCATGAACCATAGTCCGGTGCTCCATGGCAGCCCAATAGCGAGGCCCAGGCCCTACAAAACAAAGGGTTTAACGGCAACAGTACGTCCTCATACAAACCTCCTTCCATCCCGAGTGCTCACCATATACAAACATGTTAGGCTGGTCATCCAGACAACGGCTAGCAGACTCCGCACGTATGTGAGGCAGAAGCGTGTCCTTGGGAGACTTTCCGGAATATGTGGTACGCTCATTGTCCATCTACCTTCGCCACGATTCATAGCTTGACCGTCACCCATCGTCATGCGTAGTGCGGCAGCGCCTACGTAGCATCCCACTCCTCGACCTTCGGCCAATGCTGGCGGGTGCATCGCGGATTCACCGGCACTGCGCCGCCCCGCAAGTGCAGACAGCGCAAGCGCAATGCAAGAGCGAAGGTGAACTTACACGCATTCGAGCTGGGAGGGAAAGCGTCGACAGCAAGTGTAGAAGACGGGGAGAAGAGCATAGGAAAGGGGCTCCGGAAGCAGGCCAGAGTGTGTATAGCCCCGTCAACATGAGCATGAACGCACCTTCTTTGGATTTTCGTCAAACACGCGCTCGCGGGCGTTTCACACAGTGATCGACGCGAACATGGCCAACCACGCAGAGAACGAGTTGAAACCCCTTTTCGAGTTGAACGAGGACAGCAAGTTGTTCATGTTCGGTATGATGAATATAGGGGTGAATCTCGGCAGGCCCAGGCTGAGGTTCTCGCCACTAAAAAGTCGCGATTACTAGAGCAGAATAATTTCATATTACATACCTGGGGCTCAACGGCCCCAGGAGCAGCTATTGTTTAGTTTACACATAGTATACAGTGCAGTGCGCTACACATCATTCAAAGTTTACGCCCGTTGCAACCTTCCACATCGCCGCCGCCGCTCTCGTCGAATGCAACTGCTTTTTGTCTGCATTGAAGGCATCTAACTTCCTGTTGGCCTCGGCCGCGTCAGATGCGGAAACTCCCTCTAGTTTGTTGCCTTTGGCCGAAAATAACTCGATCAGCCTCCTCGTCATGGCCTCCGTAAGCTCGGGATGGCCCTGAAGAGTCAAAATACGGATCTGCTTCTCCTCAGATTCATCGTAGAACACGACAGAGCCCTCGTTCCCGCAATCCGGGGTGCGGCCCCAGCAGTAGTGCTTGAACATGCGTTGCTTTTTAGTCATCTCATCCCTGACTTCGTCGAGAGCCCTACGCAAGGGCTCCGCCATCTCGTAGTGGAACATCTGGATGTTCTGTGATTTGAAACGTTCGTAAGTAAAAATAAGACGAAAAGAGCGAGGCAGACGTACGAGTTGATCTCCACCGGGGAAGATATGCTTGAACTTATCATCGAGAGCAACGGACGTCGGGCCAATTTCAGGCTGAGTGCTAGGCGTGATCTTGGTGTCATAGAGGACATGACTGAGAAGCTGGTGCCCAAAGCATATACCTAGCCATACCGCTCGTCAGACAAGCAAAGTTAACGCGAAGAAAACGAACCGATAAACTTGATATGGTGGGATTGGATTGCAGTCACGGTCAACCAGAAGGCAAGGGCCTTCATCCAGAAAAGGGTGCCTTCGGGGTCTTTCTGAACAAGGTCATTTACGCTGTTCGCTGTACATTCCGCGTTAGACATTTGTTCAAGCATATCAAGATATCGTCTTACATGATCCTCCGACAACGATACAGTCAATCTTCTCCGCTGCGACGTGCGGCCAGACATCATGACCGTGGCTGTTCTGCCTGTACTTGGTCGCATCAAAGCCCTTGAAGTAGAACGCGCCGTTGCTGCACATTTCCCAGCCGTTGGTCGTGTCTCCGCCTGGAGCCGGGTGAGCGGCAGAAGGCTCGTCCTTGACATATCCAGTGAACACATCACGGAAGAGATGAACGACGTCGCCGAACTCTTTCACAAAATCTGGCTTAGTTTGGTCGCAGTTGACGACAAGGATGCGAGGAGCAGGAGTGGGAGCGGGAGCTGTGATGGCCATTGAGAGTGATGGGATTGGTTTAGCGAGGAGGAAAGAGCTGAGTGGAGATGCTGCAGAAGGAGACGCAAAGGCGGGGGTTTATATACAAGTCTGAGCAGACAACGTCACGGGGAATGGTGAGGACGAGTCGAGGTTGGGCTAGAATTGGGGCAAGCCTGATCGATGATCAACCGGCTCTGAGCAGGCTCCGGTGCAATAGTAAAAGGTCGTCCTCCCAGGCTGCCAGGATTCTTCAATGGTATGGGTATTCCAACGCATCTAGTGGTGACACAGGTTGACCTGCTGTTGCATTACGCTGACCGACACTTGATCAGCGCTGCGCAGAATCTGCAGTGTAAGTCCACACTAACGGACCCATGAATGTGGTGTTGACAGACGCCGTTATCGGCTAAAACCCGGAAGCGATCTTCACTCTGCAAAGTATGTAGATTGATTCCAAGCCTCAAGGCATTTGAATCGATCAGACACGAAGAATGCAGAATAGGATGAATGCCATACCTAGTGGACACCCACGACGTCAAGTTTGTATGCAATGCGCACGTTGATTGTTTTCACCGACGCATGCGTAAGTGACAGGAGACTTACTGCGATTGCTATGGAAGAACCGAAAGATAAAGGCACTGTATATATACGGCCATATCAGTGCAGGTAGATCCTTTCGTTATGAATCGTCGCATTCCGATTATGCTCGTTTCAAGCGTTCGTAGGAATGTCACCAGTCGGGATGGAGTACCGATCATGATGGAATTCAGTCGCCGGGGCTCGAGATCGCGCAAAGACGTCGCCCTCGTGGAAACAGGACGCAACCGGTTGCAGGCAAGCTAACTAGAGGCTCAGGAGAGTTGACTTTCACTTACGAGTAGTGTATTCGAGAATTCTGAGGCTACGCGTATGTCGTTTAGAGGGATGAAGTGGCTGAACGTGATGAACGGAGGCAATTAATGCTTTGTTTGCTCGGATTTGCCGCCTGCCCCCGATTGCAATCTGAAGTCCACACCGCCCTCTCCTTGGGTTCTCCGAGACCTCCGGTGCCCAGGTATGTTTGATTTCTCGAAGGTCACTTGAATGTCTATCAGACCTGATGCGCTCAACAAGTCATCGTCATCGTTCCTGGACTCAAACTCGAGTGGGGTGCGCGAATGTGAAGCCCTCTGCGAACAAGTCGCTAGCGGAGACTCCCACTTGCGATCTTTACTCTGAGCTGCAAGCTCGCGCATACATGATGCTATGTGAAATCGAAACAACTCAACTGGACGGTCGGCTTGCTGGGATCTTCTTTATTTCGACGGTGAAGCTATGTACATCCACTGGTGAGTTGCCCTATCTCTTGTCCCTTGCTCCTTGCTTGCTCCATACTACGGAGGGTCCACCTAATCTCGGTCCATTCGGTCCGTCAATGCAAATGTTTTGTTTGCGCAAGTTTGCCGTGGCCTCGCCCTTAACCCCGTCCTACACCAGCGCTCTCTTTCTTCAGGTCCTCAACAACCTCCGGTGGCCAGGTATGTCTGGTTTCTCGTATGTATCTCCACTGCCCATCCATAAAACACTCTTCCAACAGGTCATCGTTAACCCTACTGGATCCCCATGCGAGTGTCATGCAGTATCTGCATTGCGCTCGTCGATCAGGTCATGCGCAGAGACTCCACAGCGGTTTCTCATGCCAGTGATCTTCAGACGTTTCGTGGGTCCGAGTTCAAAGCTCGCACTGTCGAATCGATACGACGAACGTGGACAAGCTACAGACGGACCTTCACTGGTTCGACAGTGAGCTATCTACTAGTAGGTCGCCCAGTGGTCGTTTCTCCCGAGATGATTGCTGACCAATGCGTCTCCGTCAGAGTTGATAAGCACGAATAGGCTAGAATAGCTTTCTTGTCCGCATCGCCTTCGCGTTGTGGACTCGACCTTCTGAGGAGGTGACCCCTCCCGGATTGATTCGCGCGTCATACGGAGAAATCCGTTTTATTACAAATCAAATAACCCAGGACATCCACATACCCACCGGATACGACATGTTGAGCCTTCGAGCCACTTGTCATGATCCTCGTGGAAGCATTGCATCTACTATGTTCAAGTCTCCACATGCAATGAATCTAATATTCTGCGTTCAATGCTTTTGGATGTGAAGGGAATCATGACGACTTGTAAGCGTGAGCCTGAAACCCTCATACTTGAGGCGGTGAGATGAAAGGTATACCCCCGAATTCATCCACCTCTACACGCCATGTAGCTTGCACAACGCCAGCCCCAGTTCCTGTCCACATAGCATGACATTCTGCAACAGACGGTAGGTAGACTAATTACCATGTACTGTAAGTGCTAAAGCTACGAAGCACGAAAGTCGGAGACGCGGCGCGGCGCGTCTCGCGTAGCTTGCTCTTGTTCTCATCTCTCATCATCCCCCATCATCCCCCTCGAAGCGTCAAGATTATCAGCGCCCTTGTCGTCATTCCATGGTCCACGTCAGAATTAATGAGCGCGAAACCAATCCGAACCAGCACATCAACTTCATCTCCGTCCTATCGGTCGGAAATGCGGACTCGGAGAGCGAGGCACGGACGCTAATGCGCGCGCTCGCTGCGCAGGTCAGACCCGTCATGAAGCAGCACGGATTTACTGTCAATAGCTTCGAAGAGGTGTGCTTTCCTCTCTCGATTATACCGCTATGTACTGATGTATGCTATTTGGCTGTTGGCTTTGGTAGTACGAGTACAACAAGGTGTTCGCGGGACGTAACTGGAATGCTGGGGAGAATGTGGGTAAGTCTTGTGTTCTTCTGCTCGCACTAGGTCTTTTCAAACCTTCCCATAGAGATCGTCCTTCGCACCGCCCATGGCTCCTTCGCGCCATTGTCGTATCTCATGAGCACACTATGCCACGAGGTGAGCATTTAAATCTCCACCTTGGCCCTTCAGCTGACGCACACTCGTAAAGTAGCTCGCTCATATAAAGGTGAGCATGCCTTTCGACTCAAGGTGGAATCGGTCGTCTCATATTGAACGTGGGGTCTAGCACATGAACCACAGTCCTGCGTTCCACGCCCTATGGAGACAGCTCAATAGCGAAGTGCGGGCCTTGCAGAATAGGGGGTATTTCGGCGACGGTAAGTCTACACACAACCCTCTTCCACCTCGCGTTGCTCAACTCACATATCATATTCACCTGTCAGGCTACTGGTCATCCGGGCAAAGACTAGCAGACTCCGCAAGAGTATCAGGCGAAGGCGTCTCCTCGGGAGACTTTCCTGAATACGTGGTACGCTCATTTCTCCGCCCTTCTCCACCACAGATCTCAGCTTGACCATCGCCCATCGCCATGTGCAGTGCGGCGGCGCGCACACAAAGTCCCGGTCCTCGACCCTCCGTCGGCGCCGACGAGCGCCCCGCGGCTTCGCCGGTCCTTCAGTGCACACGGGCGCGCAGACGGAGCGCAAGCGCAAGGCAGGAGCGCGGGTCACCTCGCGCGCGTTCGAGGCGGGTGGGCAGGCGCTCAATGAAGGCGCTGAAGGAGAGGAGAAGAGCGCGGGGACGGGGTTCAGGAAACAGGCCGGCAGGTGCGCGCCCTTGTTCATTGTCCCTCTTGAAAACAAGTATTGAGATATCATCTTTCGGATTTCCAGCAAACGCGCCAGAGAAGAACGCGCGCTCGCCGCCGAGCGTCGTCTGCAAGCTCTGCACGCAGGCCCATCCAGAAAGATCGACGTGAGCATGACGGACGAGGATGCCGAGAACGACATGGAGCTGGTACCCGAGACGGACGAGGACAGGAAGCAGTTCATGCTCGATACGATGGGTGCCGGGGAGGATCTCGGCGCGCTCAAGTTCTCGCTGGACGACTACTTCCGGCCGAGTAGGGGATCCGTCAAAACAGAGCCCTTATCTAGTAGAGGCGGCGAGTGCGATAGCGCACCCGCGAAGAAGCGTCAAAGAACCTCGAACGCTGACCCTGGGAGGGACGATGAAGTCAAGCCCTCGAGAACCCAGCTCGATCTAGCTGACGCGATATCAAGAAACAGCAGTTCTGCGAGGGTCAAGTCGGAAGAAGAGGAACTGGTCCGGATAGCCAGTACAAATCCGAAGACGAGCTCGACTCAGCGGGAGCGTAACCCGCCTTGGGCATGCAACATCTGCACGCTGTGAGTAGCCTTTGTTTCCCGTCTTCAGACTTTACCTTCTGACATCCGTCCAGAGAAAACAACCCAGGCCACCTAGCATGTTCAGTGTGCGGCACGCCAAAGGGCGAGACGACATGGGCGGGCAGCGACCACACATAATATTATGGGGAACAGAGTAAAACAGCGAATGCGAATTTGCGATATGGTAACACATGGGTATCAAACAAGGATCGAAAACAGCGAAAGAACGAAAACTAGAGTCCATTACACGATGCCCCGCTCACTAAGGAAGGAGCACTTTATCGTAAAATGTAATTTTAGTATCGAATATCAAGACAGTCCGAGGATATATACGCGCGTAACTTATGTCCAAAAAGTGTCCACTGTACAAAACAAACATATGCTGCGTCAACAACACCTAGACCCCAAGGTGTAAATCGTACACTCGCTCGAGCCTCGGACGTCGAATGCTAAGCGCCCACAGGTCTCGGTCACGGCTCATCACAACACAGCCGCCCCTGCAACAACAACCGCGAGCACCGACACCGCGCAGGACACAACCACTCCCACGTCGACCGCACGCGCACGGCCTGCCGCGCCGCTCCACCCCGGCGGGCGGCCGAGCGGGCCCGTCGGCTGCGAGACCGCGTACGTCGACGTGACGACGTCGCCCGCCGAATTGGTCACGACGAGCGTATACTCCTCGGGGACCATCCTGAGCGCGGTCGCGTTCACGAGCTCGGTGCCCACCACGGGGCTGTACGTGCGCGTCGCGAGGCCCGCGCTCGGGATCTGCCCGAGCACGGCGGGCACGGATGTGTTGAACAGGTAGGGTGGGGCTGTCGGCGTCGGCGTCGCCAGGAGCGAGTTGGGGAGCGTCGCGGCGATGGTGGCGGATGCAGAGGAGAAGAAGGATTGAAGGGCGGGGTAGGGCTCGACGGTGGTGGTGGAGGCGTTGGTGCGCGGGTAGAGGCCGATCATGGGCGGCTCTTTGGTGTCGATGCCGAGGCTGAAGATGGAGTAGACGGTGCGGAGGAAGGGCGTGCCTGCCGTGGGTGTAAGCTGCGAATCGGAGATGTGGTGGCGGGAGGGACTTACCAAGTTTCCAGTCGATGCCCGTGGAGTCGGGGGAGGAGGCCATCGGCCAGGTGAGGCACATGGTAGGATTCGTTGATACAGGGCCGATCAGGTAGTCTGAGGGCTGTAGGATGAACTGGTCTTCGGAGCTGAGCGTGGGAGGTCAGCACAGGTCATTCCGACGGCGGTGAGCCTACTCACCCAAAGCTGAAGGACATGATAGCCGACGAATCGCATGGGACTGCCCACTGGCCACCTGGGGAAACGCTTAGATGTGACAGCTCAACAACTTAGGAGCCTGCTCACTTTCATCCACAAGCCTACTAGATGGGAACTTGGACATAATTTGCTCGACCTTTATACAAGATTTAGCCAAGTAAGAATATAAGGGTAGTATGCAGCACTTACGTCTTGCCAAGGTCCGTAAATCCCGGAGTTTCCACTGCCAGAACATCCGTTGCATGAGTAACAAGGCTCGTGAACAGCTGCGCACACATACACATCAAGGAGCGCGATAGACGAGTTCTCGGTGGGCCCGGGATACGTCGGAACAGGCGTAATGCCCGAGCCATTCACCTGTGTTGCATCAAGACCATCACCAACAACACCGCGTGGCAATATACTCACCGCAACCTCCGTCATGTGAATCGCCCAGTAGACATACCCAGACGTGTTGAACTGGTTCTGATAAGGCGAGAACGGGACGACCTCATTCCACACGATATCGCTCGTGTTCGTCACGACGGACGAATCAATGGCACCTGCGCACAACACGACGCTTAGCACGGGGCTAATCTAAAACCTTCCGACGGATACACATACCAACGGCCAACGTCCCGGTCGCATTGCGCGTGAGGCTCAGCCCGAACACAGGATAGTCAACGATCCCCTGCTCGGCCAGACTCGAGAACCACGGCACACCGGTACCTGAATTGGAACGAGGAGAAACAACGCGACACGCACGCACGCACGCAACCCAGTCAGCTGACGGTCTCCGCGGCGGCGCAACGCAACGATGAAAAGTACATACCGTCCGCGACGGCGTTGCTGATCTGTGAGAGTCTGGGAAACCCCATGCCCATGACACCGCTCATCTGGTCGTCCAGCGTCAAATTCGACTGCGAGACGAGGCCTGTGTGCGAGGTCAGCTGGTCAGCCAAGCTCATTGTTTTCGCCGTTTGGACGGCCTCGCGGTCAATGGGTGGGTGGGTTGTGTGCTCACCAAATGCCTGTTTGGGAACGGTGACGTTCGCAACCTGGACCGACTCGTATGCGACAAACCCCGATGCGCCTAGACCGCGACCGTTGTGTCAGAAGGACTAAAGAGAGGAAGTGATGCAGCGAGGAAGGAAACGCACCGGTGCCATCGGCAAAGTGGGTGGAATACTGGGTGTTGTTGTCGTTGTACGGCGAGAACGTCGAGCTCTCGTATCCAAGGGGGTAGCGCGGGAGCGAGCTGCACTGCGAGTCCGTGCAGGCAGAGGAGACGAGCCAGAGGTCGGAGGAGCCGGTATCGAGCGCGACGCGGAAGGTGATTTGCCCCGTCTGGAGGACGACGTAGTACGACCTGACCACGGCTCTCGTGTTAGGACCTGAAGCAGGGTGCGTAAGCTAAGCACTCACGATCCATCGTCCGAGAGCGTGAGCGGGGTGAGGCCGTAGCTGTTGGGCGTCGGGTTCCCTGCAGGCGTCACGTTGGCTTCTTGGCCTTGCGCGACGCTGTCTGCGATCGTGGGCAGTTGTCTGAGGAAAAGCGGTGGCCCAGTGTTTCTCCGTGCGAGTGGTACTTCATCTCTCCGGAGTGCAGCCTGGCCGAGGGTGGCAAGGGAGAGGGAGAGGATTCCGAGGAAGAGGAGACAATTGGGTGACCACATGGCGGATCTCAGACTTGTCCTATCCTGTCTTGTCTCGAGAGGGGAGGACGGCTATGAGGGCGTCGACATAGGAATAAGGAAAGGAAAGGAAAGGAGGGCAACAGGAGTGGTTATAATAAGAAAAGCAAGTGGGAAACGAATTTCAACAATCTAGTGAAATCAGAGAGGCGCGGTAACCTGAATGGCACGGATCCTGACACCGTCGCAGTCCCTTCTGCCCTCGGCTCTCTCAGCGTGGAGACGCGCTCAGACCCCCATGGCAATCCCATCATAAACTCCTATCGACCGCCTAACACTCATCGTAGCCGCTGGCCACAGACAGCCCCACTTTTATGAAGAAGCAACAAGTTCACCGTCAGTTGACGTGTCTTTACTCAACCACATATCCCAGGATATTCGCTAGAATGTCTGCGAGGGTGAATAACTCAGTCTTCAGTCAACGCCCCACATCCAACTCACAGCATCCTCGGGCTCAACTCCCCGGCGGTCTTGTGAGAGTGGAGCCTCAGAAAAAGAAATCGATTCGACTCTATATAGACATACGTAGCGGAACAACTGATCAATAAAGAAAATGAACAGACTATACCGACCGAGGTGGCTTTCAGTTGACACAAGCATAACTACATCGATGATCGAGGGCGAGGGCGAGGAAGGGAGGGAGGAATAATACATCCAGGGGAGGAGAAAAAACATGTAGTCAGAGGGGTGAAAAAGCCGAACCAAAGAAAAATGTAACGCCTGTACAAAAGAAGGTGAACACAGTAACAGAAGAAGTAGAACATATAAGAAACACGAAGAGAAAACGTAGGAGAAAATAATAAATCCAGCCTATAAACGAGTGAGTGGACGACGGGATAGTAAGTCCGTCTGCGCGATAAACGCGCAAGGATAAAATCGTGGAGTGGTATCACCGAATGAGGAATAGAAACAGAAGAATCGCGAGCTTCAGCGAGTGTAACAGTGGAGGTCATCATGCACAGGGGAAACACCAGGGAAAAACTCGGGAAAGAGAAGCGATGCATATAACGATAATGGATGCGTGCAAGTGCGGAGGGGGTCGTCGTGTCGCTGACGTGCAGGAAGGCGTAGCGAGCGAGCGATCACCGCTTCGCGAACACCTTTTTGAGGAGCGCGAGCACCTTGGGCACGTTGAGCTGGACATACTCCAGGTCCAAGAGGTGCTTGTTGTCCTTTTGCTATAAAAAATTATGAGCACGCAACGCATAAACCACGAGCACGACATTACACCGCACCTTCTCGAGGAGATCATCAATTTTGAGATCCATCTCCAGAATAGCCTTTTCCCGCCCCTTGTAGTGCAGCGATATGATAAACGTGCCCGGCGTCGGAGACATGATGTTGAAATAAATATTCGGACGTCTTCGCACAGAAACCCAAATCAGCCTCCGAATACCCCTAGCAGAATTCCACGAGGAAACTCACCGGTTATCTGGAACATTACTCTCAACAATAATCCCCTCCTTCTCCAGCTGCGCATGCGTGAACCGATACGGCCCCAACACAACCGACTTGCTCGACTTGCGCTCCTTCCCGCCAACCGTAACAACACCCACGCCCGTCGTCCCGCCTTTATCCTTCGACGCCGTCAACCGCACGTTCTGCAGATACGCCTTGTACTGCTCCAGCTGCGCCCTTAGATAGTTGTTGTGGTCGCAGATCGTCTTATACACCGCCTCGAGCGACTTCGTCTCCAACACCACCTTCTCCCGCAGATTGCCCAGGTGCGCAAGCTCCGCCGCCACCTCCTCCTGCATCAGCTTGTACCCCTCCGCCGTGTCCATCACCTTCTGCTCCTCCAGCTCGCGCAGCATCTCCTTCACCTTGATCCCCTTCTTCACCAGCATCGCGTCCTTGGTCGTCGCAGCCCGCTCCGCCAGCGCCGTGAAGTCGAACGGCCGCTTCTCCGCGGCGTGCGGTATCGACCGGATGAGCTGCACGAGAATCGCTTTCGTCTCCATATACAACAGGTCGCCGGGCGAGATGCTGTCCATGAAGGCGCTTTGGATGTCTTGCACCGGCGTCTCCCACCGGCTGTACAGGTTCAGTTCAACCGTCCGGTTCTCTTTGCGGGGGACTTGTGGAGGCGCGGGGCCAAGTTCGTCAGTGAGGATGCGTAGGTGTTGCTTGTCGTTGGGTGACTGAAAATTTTCATGAGGGAAATCCAACTACACATATTTTCGACTACTCACGAGCGTCTCAATATGCTGCAAAATCAGGGAATGCGTGTTATACAACTCGTTCATGGTGATATGTATCGTGAGGTCCTTTTTGGATAGCGCCATATACTGGTCCATCTAATAGCATCTTCGTTGAGAAACATGCGAGAGAAAATTATGGAACAGGTCGACTCACCTCCAGTGTTTCGTAGAAATCTCCAACTTCACAAAGGTTATTCAAAAATTGGTTGATGCGAGCCTTGTTATTATCCACAAAGGGATTGAGCGTAGCCATGTAAGCTTCCTTAGCGTATGAAGGCTTATTGGCCAAATTTTGCAACATCTTGGCGATCTACGGAATAAGCAAAGTTAGTACAACAGCACGAATAACCGTCCATAGACGCACCAAAGTAAGAGTCCGCCGAGGATGCTTGGCGGGTACACCCTCCACGAGCATATAAGCTTGCGGGGTGACGATGGCAGGGTTGATGAACCGAAGGAAGAAGAAACCGCCAATAAGCGAGCATATAGCATAATCCGTCGCCTCGGGGTACTTCCGCTATTACACCCAAATATTCAGAGTTGAGCAAGGGATAGAGGGCAGAGCCCTGATGGCCACTCACACGCGTCAGACTCCTGATCTGCTTACATATCCACCGAATTCCGTACGGCACGCTCTCCATGCTCTCGATGATCGTCACGAGGAAGCTGTTCGCGATCTCCATGAGCATCGTCAGCCGAGGCGCGATGATGGCCTGCACGTCGGCGTTCTCGGCGGCGACCTCGGGGGGCACGCCCCGGGGGAGATTCGGCGGCAACGAGCCCGTTTCCTCTTCTATCTGGTTGATCATCTGCTCGTACACCTATTTTTTTTCAAACAAAAATAGGAGTGCAACGTTAGCATTTCCCATGGACCCGTTGCTGGCAACGCAAAAAAAGGTGATAGGGGGAAAGGGAAGGGCGCAACGCGCAACGCGCAACGCGCAAAAACGAAAATAACAACCCACCTTCACGGGGTTGATCTCGAGATTGAGGTCCTTGTGCTCGATGAGGCTGTTGATGCGCTCCGCGAGGACGCTCTTGAGGTAGCTCTGGCCGGGCCCGCGGCGGGTGTAGGTCGTCATCATGCGCGACACCGGCGTGTTCGCGCGCAGGAGCGAGCCGAACTCGGTCGCGGTCTCGAACTGCGCCGAGAGCACGGACTGGAACATGGTGAGCAGGAGGTGCTCCTCGCGGCTCTCGTACTGGTTCCCGTAGAGCGTGAACATGACCGTCTGCAGGAGTGTGTCGATCTCGGAAAGGCTGACGAGGCGACAGAGGGCGGCGATGTGCCGCGGCTCGGACTGGAGGAGGAAGAAGAGGTTGGAGTATTGTTGCAGTTTGCGGCTGTCGGGGTAGTGGCCCTCGGTTGGGTCGACTTCTTCGAGGGTGCGCTCGACTTCGCGTTGCTGTGTTACGATAGCGCCGTGAAATTCACCGAAATAAAAGAGTTGGGTATGATAACGCACCTCGTCAGCAGCCATACGGTTCTGGATCAACAGGGCTATCCGAGAGTCGAGGTATCGGACATCCCTCTCGAGAACGAAGTTCTTCTTAGATTGTGCGGAAATCTTGCTCTTGAGGTCTCTGAGCCTCTTCTGGGCTGCATGCGCAAGGAAGGATCACAGATGAGCAAGCTTGGATAAACAGCGCGCAAAAGCAAACGGACCTCGAGCCAAGTCGTCCTCCACCTCGACATCCTGCTCGGTGACCATGCTGAAGAGGTGGTTGACGGAGTAGCGGTTCGTGTTCCTGTTCGTGAGGCGCCTTGAGCCAGGCGAGGTGGGGCTGTCGACGAAGGCCATGATGGGGAAGCGGAGCGAGGAAGGACTAATAGGAGGGAATGGGAACGGATATCAATGGGCTCTGCGTCAGCCACAGTTTGTTCGTCGCCACCTGTGCTGTTGGATGATGATGGGGAGGCTGATGGGGTCTTTGGCAGCACCAGTGCAGCTAGACGATGAGGACGGGGCGGGGAGGAAAAGGAGGAGGACGTTGACTGTGGATGAGGACTAAGGAGGGGAAGGGTCGGTCGTCCCGTATGGGGGCAGAGAGGCGAGGGGGCTCACTTGGAAACAACAAACAGCGCTTCGGCGCCTATTCATATCAAGTGGCGCTGCTTTCTCACTCTCCACAACCCATCCCTCTCCCCACCATTTCACCGTCTTTTTCTCTCTATCATCCAACTATGACCTGCAGACAGGCCTGTCACTCAGCTCTTGTTCGTCGGCTTCGGTCTCGGGACGAAACAGCTCTTTGTTGACACTGCGACTGACATCGTCGCGCTGACACAGTGAAGCCTTGCGCCCTCTGTTGTCTTGGCGCAACGCTCCCACCCATTCCTCTTACAAACACTCCGTGTCCAAGGATGTCGCAGGATTTCACAGGCCCAAGTTTTTTTTTTTTTTGCATTTTTGACTCGACCTGGTGCGCCTGGGGAACAAGGCCCACAAGACACTGGATGACGTGCCTATTCACCCCAACAAAGTCTAGCCCATTCCCTCACTCAGGACCCTTCATTGCGTAGCCACTACCCCGCGCAATTTTTGGAGGCCGGTCTAGCCCACCGTGCTATCTCTGACCCCCTCTTTCTAATCACAAGCGCCTTCACTGAGACGCTGAGGGCAAGAGGCCGATCACTCGTAAAGACACGATGCGGACCAAACAGTACTCACCTACTCCTCCCTTTGGCCTTCATTCTGCGATTAATGTCATGCTATCGTTGCTGGAACCTAACTTTGTCTCTTGCCCAACTCCTGCCTGCTGGTTGCATCAAGCTAGCTCTCTCTAAACAAGACTAGACTACTCTCGCACTCCAATTCATTCAACGCGAACTCAACCAGCTCTTCGCAAAAACCCCATGAGTGCCCCCAGCCGGGATGCGGGGCATCATCCCGACATGATACGTCCAAGGTAATTACGCAATTAATCAAAAATGCCTCATCATGACCTTCTTTCAGGGTTAGGTTAGTGATCCGGGCTTCCGAGGACGAGTGGACGAAGATCGCTCTCTGACGCCATGCGCTTCCCCGAACGAGACGGGGGACCCGACTGCCATCCTTACGATCGTCTGCTCAAGTGCCAAGATAACAATCGCTGATTGGATTTTGAACATGACGAGGGGCTCGGTATCAAATGCGTGCGAAGGATGTAAATGTATGCATGTGGGCGTATACAATTATACGATTGGGCGCTCCGTCTCTCAATCTGAAGCTGATCACAAGCGCCGGATGATGTGGCCGCTATCAAATCCGGTCCTAAGTTTACGGTGAGTTCGTTGCATGCGCTGGCTAGACGGAGCTCATTGCACTCACACAGTGGCGTGGCCGCATGTTCAGCCACTATTTCGAATGCTGGCGTCCGTGCGTTGAGCTGGCACTTGCCTGCGTGCCGCTAGCGACGGGTGGAGTGACATGGGCGATACTCTGACCTTGCTGGGTAAATGCCTCGATATTACGCGCTAGTCCTATCAATGAATGACATTTGCGCTCACCGACGTCTGCAGTGATCCGTGCTGTCAGCAAAGAGCATAGCGGTATCGGCTTGGTCAAATCACTCACAGATGGCTGTTGGGTATAGGGTGGGTTTGACGGCTGATGAGCCTTAGCATCTTCCATGTGTCCCATCTTGTGCGTGTTTAGGAGCGAGTGGGTGGTAGGAAGAAGCAAAGACTCCTAGGGCCCAATACGAGTTGCTCGCGCTGATTAAATACGCCTCGAAAGCTAGGTCGCCGATTAAGCAGGCGCAAAGGGGTCATCACGCTACCACCACGGTGAGCAAAGGTGCTCGCTCGCAACAGGCCATTCTTATCCCAGGCAACGGTCTACTGATACCGGCGGCGGCGTTCGCTCCGCGGTCGCCAGCCGTACTGATACGCAAGACGCGGCGGCAGTCCCGTTGCCTGTGTCGCTCCGCCGCACGGTCGCCGATATGGCCCTCGAGTCCGGATTTGAACGTTGTACGAGGCAAGAAGTTAAAGTGTTGTGTACCGTGACCGTGCGCATGCCTGATGCTCCAAAAACATCTATAGCTCAAGGACTTCGCGTTCCCAGCTAGTCCTTCTTTATCTATCTGAAAGAGGGTGTTAAGCTTGGTTTTGGGTTAACGGTGTCGTAATGAAAGGTAGGGTTCATCTGTGCGCCGTACCTATTTCTCAGTCGAGGCAAAGTCGAGTCTGAGTTAGGTTGCCTTTGCGTCAAGTACTATGAAATTGATTTGCCATGACGGCAACTACGAGCAAGAGGCCGACACTAAGCTACCTTTGCTATCTGGCTCACACAAGGTTTGTGTGCTTCAAATACTGTGCGGCGTCCTGGTCCATTTTGAGCGACGAAAGGCACGCATGAGAGACAAGGGGAAACTCAATAGGGGCAATGCCAAAATAGACGTGAAATGACAATGACATAACTCGGACGCGTCCCGGTTGCGGGAGCAGAGCTGTGCCCCGAGAAACGCGCTCCCCTCTGCCAACCATCGAGTCGCCTGTCCCCTGCTATATCTGTCCCTCCCTGATCATCGTTGCCCATACAGCCTCATAACGTTCTTAGCGCCGGTCTATAAGCAGAAGCAGCAGAATCACAGGAAAACGATCAAGCACTCTCCTAACCTTAATCCCGGCCCCCTTGCGAACTGACCACAACTTACCCATTTAAAGTCAACACACCGACAAGCTCGGCGCATACAACGACGATCACCATGCCCAACCAACTGACCATCCCGTTCAAGAAGACGTACACGACCGTGCCAGTCAGAGACGCAGCTGCTGCCTACATCAGAGAGCACACCGACGACCATCCTGACGCGTTCCGATGGGACATCGATCAGTGGCACGCCCTCCGCAACGACGCTATCAACTTCACCGTCCATGTCGATCGAGTGCACGTTTTAATAAAGTAAGCTTTGCACTGCCTCAGTCCGTACCATCGCCCATACTCCACAGATACCACGCCCAGCTCGTCTTCATCCTCACGAAACTGCCTTCGGACGTGCGTTGTCTCGCGTTTGAACTTTCTTGCGCGTCCTGACAACCGCTGCAGATAAATCTGGAGATTCAATACACATGCGCATTTCAACCAAGCGCCCTGCCAATATCGCTCAAGAGCGTGACGTTTGAACGAGCCGCCATCGTCTTCAACTTGGCGGCCTTGTACTCCCAGCTCGCCTTTGCCGAGGACCGCAGCAACAAAGACGGCCTTAAGCGAGCCGCGAACTACTACCAGGTAGGCGCCAGGCGGAGCGCCGAGCGGTGCTGACTTACTCATATCCTAGCAAGCAGCCGGTGCCTTTTCGTACTTGGCAAGCTCGGCACTTCCGAAGCTGGAGGTCCCGCCAGGATCCGAAGATGTTCCCCTTGATCTCACGGAGAAGGCCGCCAGATCGCTGGAGCTCCTCATGCTCGCCCAGGCGCAGGAGTGCATATGGCAACGCGCTGTCTCCGGTGCGCTCTTCCCCCCGACTGACTCGCCTTGACGTGCTGTGGGACGGCACGACGCTCACAGCCTTCCGAAAATGAAACCCCTTTTCCAATAGACAACTTCAAGAACGGCGTGATCGCCAAGCTCGCGGCCAAGGTCTCGGCGCTCTACGCCTCGTCCTTGGAGGCGCTCCAGTCTGCACCTGCGGACGCACAATCGATCTTTCCATACGTACGTCGTCTCTCCCACCCCGCCTCCGGAATATCGTGGTGCCATGCAGACCATAAGAGCAGGGATGGTTGCGACATCTGGACGCGAAGCGGTGTCACTTCTCGGCCGCCGCGCAGTACAGGAAGAGCGTCGACGAGCTCGAGGGCAACCGGTCAGTCCGGCGTCTATCCCGACGACATCGGCGTGCTAGCCCGGTGCTAAGACCTTTGCCCCTAGATATGGCTCTGAGATAGCGAGGCTGATACGCTCGCGTGAGGAAGCCAAGAAAGCGACCAGTGCAGTGAGCTCGGGGGGCGTTGCCCCGCAAGTCCTTCAGGACGCCAAGGTGTGCCCCATGTTTCGCGATCGAGTGTGGATACATCGTCCTCAAAAATGCGCTTATATAGTCGCTGCTGGACGTCGTGCAGAAGGGCATTACGCGCGCCGAACGCGACAACGATCTTATCTATCATCAGGACGTACCAGCTTTTTCAGCTCTCCCCGCTATTCAAGAAGTGTCTATGGTTCAAAGCTCGAACATTGCTGGTTTATCAGACCCAAAGAACGCCGTGCCGGCGGACTCGGTTCTGTTCGGGAGGATGGCTGGATATGCCGCTCGCGAAGCTATCAGTAAGTCTACTGTATCTTCTGACGATACCGTACTGATAGCCTTTGCCAGATATATATGATCATAACAAGGAAAGCTTCGTCAATGAGCACATAGTAGAGGTTGCGCAGGAGTTGACTGCTGAATCAGAGAGGTGCGTGCCACGTCCTTCTCGTTTCCCAACCTTGTCTGACGAGAATCAAACAGAGTGCTACACTCACTAAACCTGCCCTCGGCGCTAGAGGCTCTGGAAAAGCCTATGGGGCTTCCTCCCAGTCTACTGAAGAAAGCAGAAGAAGTTCGAACGGAGCAAGGGCCAGAGCGCATCGATGCTGCCATCGAGAGCATCCAGACGCTATCGCACAATGCCATGTCGGTTCTCGACGAAGTAAGCTGGCGTCTCACGCTGGAGAGTCGCATGGCGCTGACGTTCACACAGGCCATGGATATCCTGGACAGCGAAGCGTCCGAAGACGAGGCTATCCGCAAGGAGACGCCGATCGACCGGCTGCCTTCGCACGAGGCGAACCAAGAACTGGTGGCGAAGCAGCAACGGTATCGGACCATTCTTAACCAGGCCAACGATAGCGACGAGGTCGTGCGCCAGAAGTGGGAGCAGTGGGAAGACCACATTCTCCGTTTGACTTGGGACGAGGTGCGCCGCGCCCTTACGCTCTTTCTGCCGCTTTCTGCCGCTGTTGGCTTTACTCACGCCACTCGAACGTCACCAGGAGACGCTCGAAGCGTCCGTGCCGTCCTCGACGGGCAGCCTCTCCACGCGCTCGCAGGGCACGCAGGTGCACGCGCGCCGGCTCCGCGCGCTCCTCGAGTCGCTCGACGACGTCATACGCACGCGGCAGGACCTCGTCGCGCGCGCGCAGCGGCTCGCTGAGGCGGACGATGTGCGCCCCGCGGTGATGCGCGCGGCGGACGCGCTCGACAGCGCGGACGAGGCGCAGCCGGCGGTGTTCCAGGACGTGCTGGACCGCGAGCTGATGAAGTACGATAAGTTTATACAGGGCGTCGAGGCGGGGCGCGGGAGGCAGGAGGAGATTCTGGAGTCGATCAAGGTTTGTTCTGTTCTTTCGTTACGCGTTGTGAATTATCGTTAAACTGTGCTGTCTTGGCAGGCTACGAACGAGGCGTTCCTGCAGTCGAGAAAGTCCGATGTGTCAGTGAAAGAGCGCGAAGAGTCGCTGCAGTATCTCGATTTTGCATACCACAAGTATCGTGAGATTTCGCAGAATCTGGACGAAGGCATCAAGGTAAGGACCGTCTTGCAGCCGACGCTTACATCCTACTGATGCGCTACTTTGTAGTTCTACAACGGTCTTTTGGATATCCTCATGCGGTTCAAGGAGGCGTGCAAGGCCTGGTCGAGCGCCCGGAGCCAAGAAGCACGGTATGTGCAATCGCCACGATAGTATGCTGCATCCATACGGCTGACGGAGGCTCCTTTTAGATCCTACTCCCGACCGCTGTCTCCGGCATCGACCCGGGATAGCTCGAGTCCCGGGCCGTCAGAGCATGTCAAGCGCTCGCCGACGAAGCGGAAAGGTTTGGGCCTGCCGTCGCTCTCCTCCGGCGATTGGGAGTCGGACGGTGTGTTTTCCGAGCCTGCGCAGCATTAATATTGGTATCAGGATGGTGTACATGTTGATCTAAATTATACTGTGACAGATGTGTGCTAAATATAATTGTTGTGGGCTTGGAAGCATGCTCTATGTATGTCAAGTGCGTTTTCGCTTTGAACGCCGAGGCGACGCCTGGCCACGCTGGGGCTGTCCTTGTCGCAGTTTCTCGGCTATTTGCATCTGGAAGTTGACGTCGTAGTCGACGCATTTCATACACCAGACATAGATGCGCTGCGAGAAACATCAGTGATGCACTGCATTTTAGGGAAGACTCAGCGCACTTGTTCACCAACGTCGTAGCTTCTACGTATCTCTTCTCTCGTCGCTTGGTATTTATTCCGCGAGCCGATGGCTTGGGCAAGCTCATCTTCCAACGGCTCCCTGTGCTCCTGCTTCTGGTAGTGAATCCGGACGCGGACCTCTTTAGCGCGGTCGTGATGGAAAGCATAGTTGATCCACGTTTGTTTGAACTAAAACCAGAACTAAGTGCCCGTTCACCTGGCATACGATTTGAAACCCGAATTCGCGACGCACCCCTTCCGACTGCGCCAGCCACTCCTCCTTGCTCAACTGCGGCACGAGCACAAGGACGTACTGCCCAATGTACTGCCACGCCTTCGGGCGCAGCCCCACGATGATCCTCAGCGTCCGCTCGCGCTCGGATATGCGCGTGAGCGCGAAAAAGAGGCCGGGCGCGCCGGGGCGCCACGGCGCGTGCGGGTTATGCGTCAGGTTCGGGTACGCGAAGTCGTTCATGCCGTGCTTCGCGAGCCAGGCGGGCGCGATGCGCGGGAAGGTCGAGAACGCGTCGCCGCCGAATGTTCGGGAGAGGAATTCGCGCGTCGCGGTGGTGTCGAGGGTTGCGGTGTCGAGGTCGACGGGGTGCGAGTGGTGGTGGATGTGGGTGAGGCGGCTTTGGACGACTTCTTCGGTGGCCATCGTTTCCTTTTTGATGACGACTTCGGGTGTATCCTGCAGAAGGAGTTAAACTACGGGTAAGCCGGAATTGTAGGCATGGATCCCGGAGACATGAACTTGCGTTCAAAGCTTTGCAGTCGAGAATGTGGCGGTCGTTCTCGGCATCCTCGACCTTGACTTTGTCTTCGATCTCATAAAACTTGATTCTCTTTTCAGGTTCTTCGGCTTTGATCGTGTCTTCATGGTTCTCGACCTTGAAAGTCCCTTCAGAGTCTAGGTCCGACTCCGTGTCCTCGACTTTGACCGAAGAGCTGCCTTCTTCGCGTTTTACCTCGCTGCAAGGGCCTCTATCTTCTCTCTTCATTGTGTCGCCCGAGTGGTAATCCCCAGCCTCCACGGCGTGATCAAAGTCCTTTCCCCCCATCTTCTCAGCATTTTCAGTCTTCACCTGGACTTCGGTAGCCTCGGGTTTCACCAGGACCACGTCGCTCGTTTCCTCGCGCTTGAAAGCATCATCCGGGAAGGGCCCTGTTTGGGCATTTACGTTCTTGCTATCCACGATGTCCCGTTTTATTGCAGCCGGGATCGTCTTCGAAGGCTTCGGAGAGATGGTCAGTGAGGTAGAGTCATCATACTCTTCTTTCAAACGCGCGCGTTTGGCTGGAGGGTGCCCGGCCGTGTCATCCCAGCAAAGGTGACAGGGAGTATAGTAAAAGATACAAAAGTATGTGCGTAACTACGCTGATTCCGAACCACTATGGGTTAAACTACGGACTATGGATCGTCCGGACTACAAGATACATCACAAAAACTAGGGAGATATTGTACACGGAAAACATGTATTAACTTACAGTACAATGACCATAATGCATATCACCGAAGTACAGGTCCAACTTTCATTACGGAAGACCTCGAAGTTTCACATTTTGAGCCCAGTCACGATACAGCATTATAGAGTGAGGCTGATATTATCGTGCACGGTAGAGTAAGGCTGATACGATCGAGCACGATAGAAGGGCTGCGAAATTACATGGCATTACACGCAAAGCTCAGGTCTATAATGATACTCAAGTCACACAATGCATGATCAAGACGACAATATTCTATTAGAATTGATGGTACCTTGTATAGTACAGGTCAAAGCATCAAAATACACGGTGTAGACATGGTCGAGTACACAAGTCAGCATACAAGAATTGGAAATGTGAGGAGAAGGTGATAATTAGGAGAGTGTCGCATACTTTAGATACACATAGAAAGAATACAATTAATGGAATGCCAAAAACGAGGACCACGGCTACTCACCTTTATACTCTGCTCCGAGATCCCGGCTCTGCCGGCGTCGACGCTGCGGTAATCTTTGCGGGAACCTTCAACAGCGGCTTCTCCTTTTCCGGTGCCTGCTTTGCAGTTGAGGTCAGGGACTCGAGTCTTTGAGCCATCACGCGAGGCGAGAGCAGAACTACAAGCTTTCTGGGGCTTGGAGTCGTGTGGAGGGGTGGACGAACTTGACGCTGATAACTGAGGGGATGTATAAGCAACGCCGGTATAGGATGAATGGGCAGGAGATTCAGCAGTAAACTGATAAGAAAACAGAGAGGACGTACAACTTGAGCTACATGCTCTGCAAAGACGTTCTGGTACACTGGTCACCGCGCTCATTGGGCGCTCAAGCTCATTGCCCTAGGAATCATTAGTCTCGGTAGCCATATTCTGTATTGGTTTATGAGAATGAATCAGTGATAGCCTAATAAAATAATGGACGACTCACAACACAGATGGACTCTTCATTCAAAGAGTCCTCGGTACGACGAAGTGGAACGGGGGGAACAAGAGAGGTTTCTTCGGGCGCATCACAGACTCTGTGATGTTAAGAGGCATCTTGCCTCGGTGGCGCACGCACGGACCTCTTGCTGGACTCGGCCAAAGGAATTCAAAGGGTGCTTCTTTCCGGACGCGATCGAGCTTTGAAGCTTGAATATTTGAATATGCTTCCCTTGTGTCACACCAACTTCACTCTCACTAGCCTAAAGAGGGTGTTTCGGAAACGCTTTAGGCAAACGACGATCAGTATCCTCGGTGTTTTGACTCCTGCGGCTGCGCTAAAAATGGTACGCCACTGTTGTGTGCCTAAACGGTGTAACACTGCACATTTTTGAGGTATTCGACGATCAGCGCTTGGCATTCTCGCCGCTTGCTTCTGTGTTGGTGCTACAAATGTACCTGTTGATCGCCACTCGCCTGAAATAACAACATATCATATGTTTTGGACACATAACGGTCGGTGTCTAATTATTAACCAAGTACTTACTTCTTTGTTATATTACTTGCTACTGAAGCCTAAGAACGGCTCCAAAAACAGTATCGATTTAATGCTCGCTTAATGTAAAGAGCGCTCGCGGCACCTTATTTTGGCTGAGGAACAACAAGCTCACACACATCACTTTATGTTAACAGTACTGACAGTTAGAATTCAATCCGGGCCCTCTGACTGCTTCTGTTGGTTCGTTTGTCGGAATTTGATAGAACACCACTTTGCAGTGGTTCGGGAGGTTTGGGAGAAGAGAAGACGGACAGAGAAGCATAAGAGAAGGCATGAAGCTTCAGAGAAGCTGGAGAAGCAGATCTCTATAATGCTATAGGTGACTAACTTGACAAGACTCTATAATATATGAAATTATACCGTGCAAAATCACTGGGCGTCTACATTGAATACGACTCTTTGGATGTCCATCTATAGTTGACTATAATACATGGCATTCATACGGTGCGTGTCTATAATTCTCTGTCGGACCGAGCACTATAATATAGTGCCCGAGTCCACCCTCATAATGTTCCCTTTCTCACGGTGAACCTCTATCGTAGCCCATAGTGACGATCGTAAGTACGCTCACACCATAATACTTATAATTTTTCCCCTCTTTCTGTGATGTACAGGTATGTCGTCAGTCATGCACAAAGGATATTCTTCACTGTTATTGACGTCAATAACTACTAACAATTCTCTCTACACCCAACAGAATGACATAGTGACCAATGGCAGTGATAAATTCAAAAAAAAAAGGACGATCCATAGTCTAAAGCGCGACGCGACGTGTGTGGCTGTCGCGTCGCTTAGTAAGTTCCCGCCCCGCGTTTTGCCCGCACAAGCGGCGCGGACCTACTACAGTCACGTACAAGCTTGAATTTGAGGTAGGTTTAATGGAGATCGAGAATTGGTGAATGATCATCTTGTATCGCATACTTGGGCGGCGGTGTCCACTGGGGAGACTAGCTTAGCCAACTTGTGCGATGGCTAGGTGAAGGCTCCGAGTCCATTCGGTTGATCCCGAGTATTCAATATTCATCCTCGACATACCATAGGGGCTTTAGCCCCTATACATACTTTGTGCGGCTCATATTTCGCTCAAATCACAGACCCACTACGTCTTGGGCCACCTTTTCGTGGTATACGTATAATTATATAAAATCAAGCGCTGAACATGATGGTCGAAAACGGAGCAGAAGATCTCGTATCGTGACCTCTCCTAATCATTGAGGTGTTTGCAGCACGTTTAGTATGAAGAACTAGATGGGTAATGAATAAGGAGTGCAGGACACGTCCGGGCCTTCAGCACGAGGTCTTCAGTAGTAGGTCTTAGCTCTTTTCTCCAAGAGAGAACGCACGTTAAGGTCAATACAGGGCTCTAGTAAATGGCTTTAGCATCTGCAACCTTCCCGACAAAGAATTTTTCCTTACATGATGCGCATCTGCCTCGATGAGCACAATCAAAACAGTCAAGGCTAGAGCGATGATCATCACAGATAGTGGTATGTCGGCGATGATTTATTCAGTGCGCTCTTCAGCTTACTGTGCCAGAAAGGTAGCCGAATTGTAACTTACCAACCATCATTGAGTAGTAGATTAAACCTAGGCCATTAGTTAACCCTCTTATCCAAAATCTTCTATGGACGGAGGAAGCATCGTTACCTTCGATCACAATGACCTTCAGAATACCCGAGAGACTTCGAGTTTCCTTGGCTATACAACGAAGAAATAAGCACGAATTGGCTGAGCTGGCTGCAGCATATGCTAATGATGGTGCCTCACAAGCTAGAATGGCTTTCTTTAGTAGTGGAATTACGCATGCTATTTTGAACGGTGTCATGAGTCAGGAGGAAAGAACACCACGAAAACATACATCTTACTCGTATTTGCAGCCAAGAGGATTGGCGGTCCCAGCGTCTGCCAAATAGGTTCGGCCATTTCAAGGAAACAGCCTTCGATATCAAAGATTCTGAAGACTGAAGGTAAAACGTCGGAGGTGAGTGGGTGATTGTATTTATCTGGGGTGCCGGTGCATCACGATGGATACTTACTACTACTAGTTCTGAGGGACGCTAGCGTGAAGAAGATGCTAGCCCCCGCGAAGGCGAGGTATATCCCTACCAAAGCTGATCCGGCACGAGCACTTCTACCGTATATAGCCCATGTGCGTATGAAGAGGGTAACTTTATAACGACACTCAGACCCCCATATCTAAACGATATAGCAACAAAAAACTTACTCTCTGATATTGCGATAGAAATGGTATTCATATCTGCTCCCCGCCCATACGATAGTGACGATGATGAGGGGAGAATTCAACTTAATAACAATTTTGCTACTTACAAATAACGGCTTTCACGACCTGCGTATCACAAGCAATTCCAGACTCAAAGACTACTGTAAAAAACTTCGGTCTGATCTACTTTCTGAGAACAGAGTGCCACTCACTATACCGCAAGTCAAATGCTGTCTGAAAGAAGACTGTATACCTCGTCCAGATATATAGGACCTTCACAAAGGACCAGGGTGAATACCATATATGCTGAACTTCCATGTCGAGTGTCCTCAGACATTCGTAGACCTTTAGTCGTACGATTGAGTTATATATCCTGACTCGAATGAAATGGAGTATAATGACCAGTATCGTTGCTCCAGTCACTATGTCAAACCTGTTAGCAAGAACCAGTCATGATTATTGCAGTTAGTAAGTCACCTGTTAAGTACTAGTTGCGGTCGTATTATAAGAACACTTAAACCTGCATGACAGAGAACGCATACCTTTGATGAAAGTGAATCGTGGACGGTGGAGCTGAGGTCCGGTTCCGACATGCTCAGAGGAAATTCGACGGAGGAAGCGACTGATGAAAGGTCATCGACCACCACTTGCGAAGCATTAAGTATTGGGAATTTTTACATGCTGTGCATTCCCATCAACGATGTACGGACTATGCCTCTGCCATCAAAGGACTGTTCGGATCGCACGCGGAGCTGATGTGGCCTTGAGCGAATCATAAGATTCTCCTAGTTCGCTTGTGCTCAAAATTCATAGCTTGATAGAGCTTGATGCAGCCATGTGCACGAAGCCCTTGCATTATGGCACCCGGACGCCGCAATGTAGGATCTATCAGCCAACTATGAGCATCAGTCGCGCATCACAAACTCACTTGCACCCTTTCTTGCTAACAGAAGACACTCACTCGGAGCAGATAATAGTGTCAGAGGCCAATGAAGGTGTTGAAAGCTTTTTGATAGGCGGGAAATAACTCCTGAGTCAGCCAGCTCCTGTAATATGAGGTTGAGAAGCTAGCACTCGATCAGGACCGCTGTGTCGCTTGTCAACTGATGCTCAAGGGGTGAGATGAACGCTCAATGTAAGTAATGCGCATGCCCTTTCTGGGACGTAGGGCACACGTTGCGCAACCACGAGAGGCATTTCAATCAAGTCGCCATGTGTTTGCTGTGTTGAAACCGCCTGTGAATTGATTAAGGTTGGTGATTATCGAAGAATAGACTTGAATCCAATTAAGCACAGCTGGAGCTGACGAGATATGAACTGACAACGTGTGTTAATATTCTACTCAATAATAACCACTTTAGGATCATTCTTCGGCACGACGTGAATTTCCTCAATGTCGGAATCCGCGTCAGGTAAGCGTGGAGGTCGCCTGACACGTTTCGAACGGCGCAGATCCCCAGCCTGTTCAACCGTATGACCGACGACGTCCTTGACGGCCGGGTCACCCTCCTCCAGTTCGTCCTCCTCTGGTGATCCAGAATCATTACTGCGTCTGCGCTTGCGTCCTTTGACGGGGGTATTCGAGGTGTTAGTAGGACGTGCTTTCTTCATTGCGCGAGCGCCTTGCCCGCGCTCAGTTCGAGGGCGAGGCACCCACGTAGCAAAGTTGTCGACGACTTTTCGTTGGAACGCCTCGTCGTACCCAACGCACTTCATGCAATAGATATAGATTTGCTGCGCCATAGCCAATAAGTCATAATTTTTATTCAGGTTGAAGGAGATTCAGAAGAGACGAACCTCTTCGCCTCTCGCAAACGCAGAAGAAATGTCCTCGGCTGTAAGTCCTTTGAAGTCGTTATCCGTATCCCATGCATTCTTGATTTCCTGGTGTTCTGGTTCTCTTTCTAGCTGTTTGCGCAATGTGACGCGACACCGTATGTAACGCCCATACGGCCCACGTTGAATGTTGCTCACCCATGTATGCTTTACCTACACCCCAGTAAGCGGGTACGCCTTCGCGATACAAGGGGAGACTTACTATAGGTTTCTGTTCCAGCCATTCTCGCGCAGTGAGAGGCTCAGCCGGCGTCATCGTGTACTGACCCATATACAACCACTGAGATGGCGCCATGCGCACAATGACGCGCAGGACTCCCCACGACCCCTTGCCATGTGGCCCATGGGGGTCAGACGCAAGTTCGTACCAGAGCCCTGGCGCACCAGCAATCTGCGGCGCATGTGGCTCCCAGTCGAGTAGCGTGTACATAAAGTCGTCGTACCCATGGCGCTCGAGGTTGCGCTTTGAGATCGTGGGAAACGTGCTCTGGCACGAGCCGCCAAAGAGGTGGGAGTAAAACTCGCGCGGCGCCACCAGCGAGGTGAAGATGGGGTCATCCGGCACGCCAGGATAAAGTTCCATACCGACTTTCGCTATACGGTTGTAGACGCTATCGGTCGAGAGTTGTCGTTCTTCTTTGATTTTCACCGGAAAGTTTGGCTGAGGGTCAAGCCGCCTACGTCAGTGGGTAAACACGAAGCGGAGTAGGTGGAAACAGCATACGTTGCGAAGTCTTTGCACAGTAGCTTCCTGGGCGGGCAACAGCGGTTGACGCCGACCATAGAGAGACTCCGGTGTAGGGACTACAACTTCAACGGCCGCGCGTGTTCTCTTTCGTCGACGTGGAACACGGACTGGCGCCGGAGTGGTGTTTTCCATTAAGTCAATTACAGGGCAATGATCTTCTCGTTTGACGCTCGTGGGCTGGCTATTCTCCATGCTAAGGTTCCCGTCCGCGTTTTCCAGAAACTCATCCAGCTGAGTCACGGTAATGTCGGCGTGAGTCTCATTTGGCGGATCGAGTTCGGATGTGTGAGAGGCATTTGGTGCAAAGTCTTCTACCTTCACGTCTTCCGGACCAATATACGGTTCAGCTGTATCGACCGGAATTGGAAGCAAGGTTATACTATCTTCAACTTGCGAAAGCAACGTCTGCGAGTCCTCCACGTGGCTTGGCGGCACACCACTTTTCTGGTCAGTGGCGTCTGCAGGAACTTCGGGCGCGTCGAAGGCGGTGCGTTCCACAGGCTTGTAATCTTCTGGCTCCGGAGTTGGGTCAAATATGCCATACAGGTTCTTAGACGGCATGGGCCGGTGCTGAATGAACACCAGGAATCAGACTCGCAGTACCGAACGGACGGCTTCAAGTTGTCGCGTCCCTTGTGTACTCACGGAAGTAGCCATCCTCGTGTCAATAACTCTTCCAACGGAGCCCTTCCGAGTACTCAAAGCTGTACTTTCGAGAACGAATGTCTTCCTGTGAGAGCTGCTGGTAACCGTTGCCTAGTTGTCCAAGACTCCAAGTCAACGAAGTTGCGACGGGATGTTAACGGACGCGTCCAGAAACGTTAACGCGGAGCCTTTCCACGTGGGGTAGGTATTCGGAAGACGGAAACGTCGGACCGCGTGCCCACGGCGCGTCAACAGCATACGTGGTCGACCGCGACACACTCTCATCTTCCCTCCGCGTCTCCCTATCCCGGTCTTCACCTCCATTCATCGGCCAACCCTCCTTTTGGTGCCGGAACGGCCCACCCAGACCCAACATGCCGGCTCTTTCCTCGCTCCTTTTCCTCTCGGTCCTGTTTCTCGCTGCCCTCGTCTCCGCAGCTGACTTGTACAAAGCACTCGAATGTATGCTTCTTACTCGCTCATTGGCTGAACTACGCTGATGCAATTTCCTCGATGGGCCGCTTCTTGGATGACCTACCACTAGTATCCCGGCAAGCAACCGAGCAGGATATACGCTCCGCATACAAGCGCCTGAGTAAAAAGTATCATCCGGATAAGAACAAGGAGGCGGGGGCAGAGGATAAGTTCGTGGACATTGCTCATGGTGAGTCGAGATCCGATCCTTTGAACATGTAACACTGACATGTCACGACAAACCTTTAGCATATGAGGTACTTTCCGACAAGACGGTACGTCATGAACTATCCGTCCATCCTACCGCGGCGTCCCTGACGTGTCTGCTATGCTAGAAACGTCAAATATACGATCGCCATGGAGAAGAAGGTCTCAAAGCACATGAAGGCGGTCAGACCCACTTCCAGAACCCCTTCGATATGTTCTCGAGCTTCTTTGGTGGCGGTTGTGAGTGTTTAGCTTCACGTCTTGGTCTTCTAGAGTAATGTCTGATCACGCGACCTCCTTTCCCAGTCGCTCAGCAACAACAGACACGCAGGGGACCCACGGCCGTGATGGACTTCGAGGTTTCTCTGGCTGATATGTGCGCACCTGATTCACTGCCTTGTCCGACCTGCCTAAACTAACTTCGCACAATCAGGTACAAGGGTGCAAGCGTCGACGTAAGCACTGGACTTGTCAAGTCGTCTATCTTGCGTTTATCTCATCTGACGCATCTCGCTATAGTTTATGTTAAAAAAGAACATCCTTTGCGATCACTGTCGTGGGTCTGGTGCGGCCTCGTCGGACGACGTGCACACCTGCTCTGGCTGCGGTGGGACGGGCCTCAAATTGTCGAAGCAACAAATCTTCCCGGGCATGTACGCACAGACGCAAAGCACGTGTAATGAATGTGGCGGTCGCGGTACTGTCATCGCTAAGCCCTGCCCACACTGCTCTGGGCAGAAGGTCGTCGAGCACACCGCGCACCTCGTACTTGAGGTTGAGCGGGGAATGCCCGAAGGCTACGAGGTCGTCTTCGAGGGAGAAAGCGACGAGAGTCCAGATTGGGAGGCCGGTGACATTATCCTACGAGTGAAGAGCTTGAAGGAGAAGGGCGGCTGGAGACGCAAGGAGTCGAGTCTGTACTGGAAGGAGATAATCGGCGTGGATGAGGTGAGTGTTTCTTATTTACTATCTTGGCTGTTGTATCTGATACACATTGGTCCGTGTCAAGGCGCTCCTCGGCTTCGAGCGGAACCTGACGCACCTTGACGGACATATTGTTGAACTCAAGCGGCGCGGAGTCACGCAACCGGGCTTCGTGCAGACGATTGCTGGCGAGGGCATGCCACAACATGGGCGCGGAACGTTCGGCGACCTCTTCATTGAGTACAGCGTTGTCCTCCCTACCGAACTCGGAGAGAGTACGAAGCGGAGTACGTGACAACGTTTTTCAGTTTTGTTTTAATTCCTGGAGTACTGACTGGCATATTGACAGAACTCGCTGAGGCGTTCTATGGGAGTGCGAACGGGCATGACGAGCTATAGGCAACAGCCTCTATAGAGTTTGGCACATAGAGCTACAGTATTGTTGCGTGGACTACTAATTTAATCGTGCTGTAGACCTTTGGATAACTATATTCTCAACAGGGCTTGGCCCTGTTGACTCTCAGCTATCCGTGTGGTCGAGGTCCGCCAATGCTGTCGATCATCCAGGAGCCGATGTCGCCGACAGCTGTCCTTCGGCGTTTCCAACCTTCCTTCTGAAAGACAGATCCGCCTCGTCTGCCTGGGGAAGGTGGCCTCAGCATGCATTGCATAAATGTATACAAATTTGAAGTTCGGCACTAATACAGCCCCTATAGCTCAATATGACTACTCCAAGGTTTCCCCTGTTCCTCTTCCGTCGCCTTCTGAAATTCAGGCGTGACTTGATGTCAGGGAACATCAAGAGACTCGCGGCGGGGACAAATTCTGGGTGGCTTGTCTTCCGTCATTCATGGCACAAGAGGGGCACATTACCTTGGCAAGTCGATCATCGGTCGTCAAATGCACGACGCTAGCTGACCGTTAACTCAGACGCAACATTTGGACGCGCTTTGTGATGCTTGCAGACCGTGTCACATATTATCAAAGACGGCGCCTCTATTTACTGCTTACCCCGCCACTGTATCCACGAAGAACAATGCACTCGTGTTGCAAATTGCGAAGACTAGAGGCAACGCAAAGGTTCGAGTACTTGGCGCCGCTGACCATCTGACCAGATCCGACCCAAAGAAGTCTTCCAGGGGCAACTCCAGCCTCCTCGAGAGCCCAAAGAGTCGATAGGCAGCGCACGGCAAGGATTTTTCGGTAGCGAATTGGTATTTGGTGGAGTAAAGAAGCTATTCCGAAAACATCACAGAATCAAAATAAGAATAACACCAGAGTCGGCACTTGGTCCAAGTTCGAAGCGCCCTGCAATACGGCCCTACTTCAGAATGGACCCCGTTTTCGCGGCTTTTTTTGTGCTCGAAGAAACCTGTGGACCTGCCGCCGGTGGAACGGTAATATTTTAATAGTGCCGTTCATGGCATCGCATATATAGGGGCAGCGCTAGCTGCCGCGTCACTGGGTTCGTAATGGCATGCATATAACGTCGTCGCGTCCTCTCTGGCTCGTATTCCCGACCTTCCTCGGCGTCCCATTGATATGGAACCCAATGGACTATCGCTCGACAAAGCGGCGATTCTGAGTGGCGCATTGGAGAGCATATTATACGGTAAGTGCATGACGTCTCCTGTCGGTGTTCTCTGCTCACATATGCGCTATCTTCTCAAGGATTTTCGCTGCTCTTGTTCGGCATCACTTTATGGGTGCTCTTTCGCAAGGACAATCCTAAATGGATATTTGCTTACAAACTCGGCGTTGCTTGTGCTTTTATGGGTCTCAGTACTGCCGTGCGTGTCTCCTCAAGGGGCCCTGCGGATAAATCGGCAGAACACTTATAACTCACTGTTTATCTAGTTCAGGATCGTGGATATGATACGTCACATCGAAGGACTAGTTAATCAGCACGATACGTATCCGGGCGGGCCGAATGCTTTCTTCGCGGACAGGGGACAATGGACTTTCGCGGTTAAGAATATCCTGTATTTGTGCCAGACGCTCGTGGGGGACAGTGTCGTGGTGCGTGGAACCACCATCCAGTACGATTGTCTTCCTAGACCTTGATTCTGTCAGATCTTCCGATGTTATGTCGCATGGCAGTCGTGGAAGGTCGTCGCGCTGCCCATTGTCCTCTGGTTTGGGGTAGCGGGTGAGTTATATCTCAACAATATAGCCCAAACCTCGGGTTAATTGACGTACCCGTGCCGTAGTGGCGGGTACAGGGTGCATACACACCCTTATGACTGATAACACCAGTAAAGACAACATCTTTGCGCCTGAGACAGGGGCGTGGATCACGCCGTTTATCGTTTCAAGTCTTGTTTGCAATCTGTTTAGCACAAGTACGTCTGTTTTCTGCATGACCGGAATCGTTGTCGCTGTTCTGCTAAACTATCGTCTTCGGAACTCTGCGCAGCTTTGCTGGTCTACCGTCTATGGAGTATCGGGCGCCAGACGACGCGATTGACGCGACAGAACTCGCCGGGATTTCGCCCTCACTCACGGACGGGTCACCTCGTGCGTATCTTCGCGGATGCGGGACTGCTGTACTCGTTTACTCTGCTCTGCCTCCTCGTGACTTTCGTCACGCAGAACAGGGGTATGTATGTTGTGCTCGCAATAGTGCGTGATTGAGTCATTTCTCAACAGACTTAACTGACAAGGGGACGCTCACTGTAGATCATGCCGATCATATCTATCACGTTCTACATGGTTATCATACGCATCGAAACACGCACAGAGATCGTAACTGTGGGCCAGAGTATAAGAGGCTTTTTTGGAAACGAAGTGGCGAGTCTGCCAGTGTCGGTTGGGCATAGGCGGGGCGGTAGTGAGTGCGAGGAAGACCCTTGGAAACAGGAGTTTGCCGGGCGGCCGCCATACTCGATACAGATGTTGCAGGATTTCAGGAAGGAGTACTGCGCTGAGTCAAGATAGACCGTGCCGATGGTGGGCTCCTTTATTCCACGTAAAGTACTAAAACGCCCTTGGACATTGCTAATAACGTTGTAGCATTTATCTAGGAGAGACGCTTATCATATATGTTCGGTAGAGTCTTGCAAGTTTGCAAAGCCTTGAGGCTGGTTTGAGGTCTTTCCTAGTGACGTCATTTGTCCATGATCTCAATCAGCGTCCAACATTAATGTCACAAACGTCAAAGTTGCACTGTCAACACCTACCGCATCCCGACAGTAGCAGATTGTTTGACTACATTACTTACTGTATTTCCACTCGACGTCCACTCACGGTCAGAGCTCTATGAATGGCGAGGCCTTCCAGATGACTGACCGTACACCCCCTTTCTTGCCAGCTGTGCTGAACAATCAGTGACATTAACGGTTACGAAACTCTCAAGATGGAAGAGGCCAACAAGATCATGCCGCCTTTCAACCGCGACAAGATGCCTCAGTTCACTCGGATGCCAAACCCGGCCTTCACCTGGGGTCAGCGCGCGGATGCGACCGAGATGGTCATGATTGGCTTGAAATAGAGAAAGACGAGTGGACGGCCATTGACTCCAAGAAGGAAGATCCACAGTAAGTATTTGCGACGCATCCTCGGTAGATATCAGATGGACCGTTGAGCTTATATTCGGTGCTACCTAGACGGATGTACAAGATCATGATTGGTGGTGTCTGCCCGAGGCCAATCGCATTCATCTCCACGCGCGACGAGAATGGGGTGGACAACATCTCACCGTACAGGTGAGCCTCTCTAAGCCTTGGCGCGTGCTGCAGCCCCTATATCCTACTTTTTCCAGCTGGTTCAACTTGCATGATGAGCATTTGGCCGTGTTGAGATATAGGCAAATAAAATGATATCGACTCCTGTGCAGTGCACCTTCAATCCACCAACGATTGTGTTCACGGCCGTCAAGTCTGGAGATCGGTTGAAAGACACTGGCATTAACGTACATAACTCTAAGCGGCTTCACCGTAAATATTGTCTCGGAGCCGTTCCTTGAGCAGGTGAACGCGAGCGCAGTCGATGCTCCCTTTGGCTTCTCCGAGTGGGAGCTGTGCCGGCTCATCAAAGCGCCAACGGTGTGGGCCGACGCACCACGTGTTAAGGAAAGCGCGTTCAGCATGGAGTGCGAGGTACGCTCCTATCTCTGCCCTGATTTCACTGTAGCCGCTCACTGCTCTTGGCGCAGCTCTATAAAGAAATCGAGATCATTCATCCTACCACCAAGAAACATACTGCAACGACGTATATGGCGCTCGTAAAGCACGTCCATGTCCGGAACGACATGTGGAACGAACGAGGCAACATCGAGCTCACGCGCCTGAGGCCCGTCAGCCGCTCAGGTGACATATCCTTTACGCGCACCGGCGATGGGCTGCGTGTTCTTCGGCCGCAGTCGGCCAAGGAGGAAGGTAACGTGCGAACGTTTATGCAGAAGCTGAAGGAAGAGGGTGGCGTCGATGTTAGCGAGCACGGCAGGACGGAGGTTCATGGGACCGGCGGGCACATGACGGGCTGGGAGCATACAGAAGGCGGTCCATGCGAGCAACGGCCGTGCTGAGAGCGAATGGGAGTTAAGGATTGGATAGCAGGAGGAGGATAACACCAAATTACCTGTACAGTGAATGTAGAGCCGTTAACCGTCTTCGCGAACGGATCCTCGATCATACATCAAACAAGAAACTTTTATGTCTATCGCATTCTGAAACTTGACTACAGTACATGTGACGCTTCCACAAGGACATGATGAGGCTTATAGGGATGCTCACACATATCCTCCGGGTATATGCTCTGGGGTATTTGATTTGAAGTAAAGCGGATTATTCCGTACAGCGCGAACCGGTCAGGGGAGGTGCCCCTCACCAGGGCAATGTCAAGTAGGCGCAAAGCCCATTCGTGCTCAACCCTAAGTTCGAAGCATAGTCAGGAATCAATAGGGAGGAGCAAGGGACAATAGCCTGAGATAAGGCAACTCACCAGTGGACGTACATAGCTTCACCGCCGAATCAGAGAAGATCCTAGGAAACCGACTATCCAGTTGAGTTATTTCGATTTGACCTCGCACTATGCGCAAGATTGAAGCTCGGAGTCATCATCAGGAAAATGACACCTGTATTTGCCGAAATGAAATGACTTTTCTACCCTTAGCGAGCATTTTTGGGCCGCGCCGAATACGATCGAAAGTAGAAGATGCGACTATCACAGCTAAGTCTAGTTAAGTCTGGCAAAGCCGACTCAATCGCACCACCCTCGAGTAAAGTCAAGTAAATGCGAATGTATTTGCGCGTAAATTACAACAAAGTCCGTAAAGCCTAATATGTGTATCATGCTAGTTCGAACGCGTGATGGTCAACAAACCGGTTGACGTAGTATCCGTCGAAGCTATCTAATGAGTCGTGACAGGTCATACCTTCGGGAATGGTGTCTTTCCCAAATACAGGAAGAAGATGACAGCCCCTCACCATTGTGTCAACGTCAACGACAGCAATGTGTCGTGAGCCGTCCTTTCTATACTGGGGCTGGACGATATACATCCCCGTAAGCTCATCGCGCTCGTCTGAGTAATATCCATACCAGTGCACGACCGCACATTCGTACGTCTTCCCCTGGAGGCTGAACTTGAAGAACGCGAGAACGCGAGCGACGTCCATCGAGAATATTCCAGGAAGAGATTCGTTTGTGAGCAAGAACGCGCAGTCGTAACGAGGAGCTTCGTTTCGCCATGACGGCGTTGCACGAATGCGTTCACGCTTGAGCCCACCCGTTCCGCAGTTGTCGCTGGGAGCTCGGAACGTCGAAACTGCAGAGTTGACCACAGTCACCTTGAAGGGTGCGCGTGGGCATTCTTCGATTGGAATGTGGATGTTATATTTGAGTCGGGGATCGTTCCCGTGGAGAGTAGAGAAGAGGAACCGGCGGGTCTCCTCAATGATGGAAGGCGCGCTGACTTCTTGGGCCAGATCGAGTAGAGTTCGAGCGCGTTTTCGGGCTAAGATTGTTGGTCAGCAAGGGACGTTGCTATATGAGCAAAGGCGCGCACCTCGGCTTTTCGCCAGCTTAACCTCGGCCTCAAGTTCCCTCCCATCAACCCTACCAACAGTCTTGATCCGCCGCGAGCCGTTGAGCTCCTGTTCGTCGGTGGGATCGGACTCTAGTGAGCGGGAGCGGGGCTCGCGATTGCGGAGATTGTTAGGATGGGAGTCAGCCTCGAGGCCTTCGGCGGGAAAGTCTTGTAGTAGCTCATCGACTAATTGACACATCATTAAGAGGAGGTGATGAGCAAAGACGAGTATCACATACGTTCGTCCAATATAGCCAGTTCCTCTTCAAATCCATCCCCGGAAAGCATCCCCCGAGCGTCAAAGTCGACGCGACATGCGACAAGCTTGTCGAGCCGAGAATTGGTGGTAAGCATCTGGCCAAGGGCATTAAACCGACTCGACCGGCGCCAGGGTTCCTTCACAGCTGCAATATGTTTGGACTCCGTGATTGAGGAGCAGAGGCCATTCGGTGCGCCGAACCGTTGTATGAGATACCGGTAGTGAACCAAGGAGTGTTGGCGAGGGAGGGAGAGTGTCATGCTGACGCCAGAGGTAACAAAGATCTTGCGATATCGATGGAAGCGTGCGAGGGCGTCGTCCATCGCCTTGAAGTCGTTCTCCGTGATGACGTTGCGTCGGACATAATAGCAAAATTCGAGAAACGCGCGGAACGCGCGGACCATGTCTGGGGGAACATGATTCTCGATGGCGGGAAGGTAAACCTTTGGGCAATTAATTATTAATTGTCTAGCATAAACGAGGCGAGCAAGCTCACCTTCATCAGGGCCTTGGAGTCGTCCCCGGTCCATTGCTTAAATCCTCTTCCTTGGGGAAATCGCCGTAGGCCCGCAAAGGGGGCAGCAACAGAGATCCTGTCATTGCCGTGAGTCCAATGCGAAGTTCGAGGACCAGAGAACTCACCGTCGATCGATGTCGTCTAGAATCTGGGCCGCTCGTGATTTCCCGTGAGTTTTCTCCAGGTACTGTTCGATCCAGTCGACGAGATGATCCTTGAAGGTGCCTTTGATGAGCTGGTGGAGGATATCGGGCGCGATGAGGTCGTGTATGTCTGCTCGGGGGAAATCGTTTGTGAAGGGCTGTGGTCGTAGTTAGGGTGAAAGATGAGAGAAGAGTTTTTTGATGCACGCACCACGACATCGGCAATCAGCCCATACTCATCCCAGAGTACCCCTGGCGGAAGCTCTTGAACGAGCGTCTCGTTATGGTGCCGGCTTCGTTGCATGCATTCGGTGTCGAGGTCGTCTGGGAAGGCCAAGCATCTGCAAAAACATAAGTTGGAGGGAGCACGCGTAAGACAACAAGAACATACCGTGAGCACCATCCCTGAACAATGCCTGCAAGCAGAACCTGTTCGGGGTAATCGGCAATGTATGGCCCGAGACCATACAGCACTCGACGGTGATACCCGTCTCCGAATCGAACGACCTCGGGCTTCGTCATATAGGGCTTCAGGGACTGGAGGATTGCGGCGAGGGAGGCGTGGAACAACTGGCGGCGGAACTTGCGGAAATTTGGGTCAGCAGAGAACGCCTTGGTCGCTAGAGGAGAATTAGATACAGGCAGCTAGATTAGCAGAAGACCACGTACTTTTTGGGATTGCGAGAAAGCCGATAAGTACGACTGCGTTCCGGCGAGCGCGCCGTGTGTTGTTGTGGACATTACCAATGGAAAGATACAGTGGGTAATACTCGGTCAAACCGGTCGCAACGGAGACTGTTGTCTTGTCACTTCCGAGGATGACCGGCACAAAAGTGGAGCCGTGCGTTTCTGGGTCTTCAGAGATCTTGGTCTGAATTTTGTCGCGTTAGAACATGAGTAGTAGAAGACTTTAGTATAGTACTCACTGCTTGCTCCCAAGCCCAGTCACCCGAGAATAAATTCTCGTACTGACGAACACCATCCTTGTCGTAGTCGCGGTAAGGGGAGAAGTCGATCTCGTCCTTGAAGTCGGGGCGGGCCAGAATGTTCTTGACGACCTGATGCGGGTCGCGAAACCACACGTCGTACCCGGCGGACATCCATGGTGGGGCGTTGCGAACGGGTTTTGGGCCGTTGTAGGTGACAGAGAAAGTTTGCCAAGGGACTTCTCCAAGCGTTGAAGCGTCGATGGTGTCGTAGACTTGTTTATGGCTGAGGAAGGGAGGGTTGTCGTGGTGCTTTACGAGGGACAAAGCCCACAGTCGACAGAGGATGTTGATGTGTCGAGCTGACATCTGGACGTCCCGAAACACAAAGTCGGCTGTCTCAAATGCCAGCCGCGACTCGAAGGGGCTCCAGTCGTCGGGTTGTTGATGGGCTGGAGTATCAGGTGGGGTTTGGGTGGGGTACCGGGCGGGAGGAACTCGCCATTCGAGTTGCACTTTTGACCTTGTGGATAGCATCAGTATGAGGTAGATGAATGGTCTGGATAACATACCGGTGATGAACTTATGAAAAAACCTTGTTAACCGCCCGACTTCAACAGCCGCTCCAATGGTAGGGTCATCTTCATTGTTGCTGTTGCCTTGGCCGTTGCTGGGAGTCTCCGGCATGTCTTCATTGTCATCGGGGAATTGAGGTGATGAGGGGAAGTATGGCGAATGGAGGGAGAAAGCAGGAGGTGAAGGGGAACAGCTAGGATGGGCGTGCGGAAGAAGAGGACTAGGAGGAGCTGGCAGGTGGTGGTAGAAGTCCTGGATGTCGCCGGTGTGTTGGCTCCTGAAGTGTTGGGTAAGGCCAGCTGTATTGGAACAGATGCGATCACAGCCTTCGGCCGGGCATGTGTAACGTCGGTCGAGGATCTTAGCCTTTGAGGACTTAGACTTGGATGTGCGGTACGATTTTGAAGGCATGTTGGACGGACGGTGTGTCGCGGGCTGGTGGTTGAGATTGGGAGACGTTATTACGCAATGACTGCGGTTCATTTCTCTAGGGCTTAGTGCATGTTCAACCAAAACGCCGTTGAGGGCAATTTCAGCCACTTACGTGTCCACTTGCCCTGGTTCGACTTTCAACCACCACCTTGTCCCTCGACAAATGTCCTCCCAGAACAAGCACGCCCCTGCTGTGCCGCCCTCAGACCGGATGCTTCGTGTCCGCACCACCAAACCAGCTAGCCCCATTCCCAGTGACGCCACGAAGGCCGCTTCCGCACCCAGGAAGCGTCTCTCAAAGGCTGAGCACGACGCTCAGAAGGATGCGGATGAGGCTCGCGCAGCCTTGGGCATTCGGCGCCTTGCCATAGTCGAGAACGAAGAGCAACAACGCCAGAAGGCAGCGTCGAAGCCGAAGGTAATGCCAAAGAAGGCTCCGGTATCTGTGAAGAAGGTGTCGTCAGTTCAAGCAGACGTCAAGGCTTCAAAGCCCACATCCTCTAAGTCAGCTCCGCCCTCGTCTGCTGCCAAGAAAGGTTCTCCGGGTCAGTGACATAACACAGTTCATGTCAACGGCGACGACTGACCAACATTCAACAGCTGCAGTGCCGGAGACAAGGGTGACCAGGAAGGAGAGGGCGGTGACGCGCAAAGAAGTTGGCAACCTTTGTCAAGATCTCGACGTTGTCGGCACCTCGGACGTCTCGGCCACATTGAATGCGTCGGGCCAGCAACTTGCCACAAAAGGCAAGGCCGGTGACGCCACTGACGCGTGAGTCTTTTGCTTCTGTTCCATCATGATGCTCCAACTTTCCGAACTCACCCTCTACTACCGCGACCTCGCCATCTCTTACGCCAGTCCCCCACCCACCCGAGTTCAATTCCTCAAGCAGGTGGTCAAGTGGTCCAAGGGTGTTGCCCAAGATAGCCAGAGCACCTCAACCTCAACTTCCATCTCGACCTCCTTCACCGGCCAAAAGTCTTCAAGTTCCGGAGCAACATCTGTTCGCACGAACATCAGCAAGCCTGCGCCCGCACCCAAGCCCAAGCCCAAGCCCAAGCTCGCGAAGAAGGCGTTGGTCAACCCCAATCAGGAGCAAGAAGACGTCTCTTCGGGTGTCGGCGTTCACACCGAAGACGATGTCAATGACGTAGCAAGGGAGCGGGAGGCTATAGCCAAAGCAGTGGATCAGGTAGACTGTGGTTTTTTCGAATATTTTTTCAGCGGACTGACATCTCTAAATCTCTAGCCCCTCGTCTCAATCGCATTCCCCGAGCCGGCCCCTGAGCCCCAGAGCCTCAAACGGAAGGCAAGTACCCTTGACGTGGTTGAGGACTCGGAGCCCAACACCACCTCCGGGCTTGATGAAGCAGTGAGTATTCGTTTATTGGCCTCATGGACCGTCAAGTGACCCTGGTCCCGTAGTTCTGGGACAGTCTTGGCTGTACCGGCGAGTACTTCCATGAGGCCCAGGTGGTGTACTCTCCCACCTTCACTGGCCCTGCTTATCTCGCAGACGTGGACCAAGAGGGCGGCGAAGGACGTGAAGATAATGAAGTCGAAGAATGGGATCCGGAGGCTGGCGAAGAGATGGAAGACATCGAGGAAGGCGAGGGTGGTGGCGAGGAAGAGGCTGGGGCTGAGGAAGAGGCTGAGGAAGGTGAGGCCGAGGAGGAGGACGTGGATAGCCAGATGGCTGAGGTTGATGCCGAAGGCATCGACAACGATGCCGCACCAGGCGAGGAGGAGGGTGAGGCCCCTGCCGATCGCACCACCGCACAGGTATGGACCAATCATTCAGATAATCTGCTCTAACACTACTTTCAGATGAATGCTGCGGTTTCCGCCTCCTCCGAGCGTGTCATCAAGCGCCGTCGGACAACCGCCCCAGCCAACACCGATCAAAACGCACAAGAGTCTGGCAACTCGACCAAGCGTCGAGTTTGGGTGCTCTCTGACCTCCCCCCCGGTGCTCGTGACAAACAGCGCTGGGGGAACGAGTTCCTTCCCACCATCGTCGACCACGTTGGCGGCAAGGACGCAGCCTGGAATATCCCCGATGCCGATCTCATGGATGCCATCGTCAAGGCCTGGCGTGTGGTTTATAGCAAGCCTCTCCCGCGGACGGAGACCATCAACGGAGCAGTCTTTGGCTTGGTATGTATCTTATTCACGCTCAAGGGCTAATTGTAGTAACTGATATTTTTCACTAGACAAAGAAGAAGTTGAACGAATGGCGAAGTGCGTTCGGATCCACCGCCATCGCCGCCCTCGTTGCTGCCCTCGCCCAACAGGGCAAGTGGACCTATGACCTCCAGAAGGACTTTGTGAATGAGCAGCTTCAGGGAGAACAGTTCCTCAACGACAGCAAGACCAGCGAGGGCAAGCCCTGCGGTATGTTGAAAGGGGAGTTTTTCCAGCTCGTTTTCGCCAGCCACCAGATCGCCATCCAAGGTCGTGCTCACGTACCGGACTTCATCCCGACCAGGACCGACGTCCAGGGCAACCCACTCCACACCCCCTTTGCGGCATCCGTTCTCTCTGCCGCCGCCGTAAGTGGTTAACACTCCCCGTAACATGTCATTTACACTGGTCATAGTGCTACCGCGCCCTCATGCTCATCCGCGACGCCAGCTTTGGCGACATCACCAATGCTCTTGGCGCCATTGACAAGGGCGTTACGATGACCGTCTCCGGCGTTGTCAGAGCCAAGAAAGCCTTTGATACCGTCAAGAAGAAGGAAAAGGCGGAGCTTGCCAAGAAGACGCACGAGGGGGAGGAGAAGGCGAAGGATGGCGATGGAGACGATGTGGAGGAAGAACGTGACGAGGAGCCTGAAGAGCCTGAGGAATCTGGTGATGCCGATTCGGAGGCATCCTCTATCCTTCCGTTCTCGAAGGATCATAACGAGGAATCGACGTTCAACTACTCCTTCCTCATCAACCGGTGCCCGAATGAGCGGATTGTCGAGGCGCTGGCGATGGCGACCAAGTACACCGCGCCCCCCGCAGGCTCAAGAACTCGGCTGCCATCAGTCAGTCCTCGCACTTCGAGCCTCAGCTTGACGAGCGCGCGTACCGTGATATCATTCGTGAGTATCACTAGTATCTTCCACTTCTATTAGCTCTGACGGCCTTCCTTCAGTTTAATCTCTTTTTGCGCCGGTGTTGGCGTGCTCGGCTCTTCTTCGTTCTCGGGGCTTTATATCGGCTCGTGCTTTCTTTCTCGTTATCATCTCGCAATCGAACGGCGTGTGCGCCTGTCTCCGTTACGCATATCACAACCTAATGACGCATTTTTCGTATCTGTACCTAGTACTCTGCTAGCATTAGATTGCATTATTCGATGTATTAGATGCCGGTCGTCAATACATTCACGTTGATTTCTAATGCGCATAAAACTGAGTAAAGACAAGTTAATACATCAGCTGGTGCCTCGAGCGACTCGAGCTAATGCCAACTCATTAGCACGGTCGGGGACCCTACTTATCCGTCGAGGTGTATTAAGTTGCATTTACGATCGCTTAATCTCGGTTAATACAGGTTAATGCACGTGTCAAAATCCTGATGATATCGTCTAAAGATCGCTAGCGCGAGATTGTCCCACGCGGAGTCTCCGCTACATAGTGCAATACACAGCGGGAATAGCCCGATAAGTTCTCGGGACTTATGGTGGAAATATTGAAGACGTATTTTAACTTTGTTTTGCAGGAAAAGCGAGACTTATTTGGTACTTAGCGGGGAGATATTCTGATTAAATTATCTTTTATAACCAAATTGGCCGTGTCAAGTGTAAATCGCCAAAATTTATTCAAAATGTGTCCCTGGTAAGTTCCAGAATAAGTCTCGCTGTCCTGGCAAAATTTCTTTAAATTGCATCCACAATATTTCCACAATAAATTCTGAGAACTTATTGGGTTACTCCCCCTGTGAATAGCGACTTGTCCCTAGAGGTCTTCGCATTCGCGCGCCCCACTCGTGTTCGAGTCCAATAACGATATCGATGACTTGTTGAGCGCATTAGATCTGATTGGAATCTATGTGACATATGAGAAATCTGACATACCTGGGCACCGGAGGTGAGAACCTGAGGAGAGAGAGATGCGGTTAGGACGGGGGGTGGCGCCAAACCCGCGCAAATAAAGCATCACAAGGGCGCGCCCGTCCTCGCCCGTCTCCGTCGTCGCGCTCCCCTTCATTATCAAATCAACGCACGCGGTTTGCTCCTCTCATGTCTGTCGAACACACTTGGACTACTCGCGAAACTCACTAACATGTGTCTGCCTCTCTTGCACCTCTAAGTAGATTACCTGCAATCTGTTGCCTATTAATCTGTCTTCACGCCGCGTAGGGTGCTCCGGTCGAAGAAAGTGAAATTGATTCCATCGCTATCATATCGACTAGCAGAATGCTTATCTGATGGTTTGCAGTTGAAAGTAACCGAGCAATGTCGCGGAGCGACGATCATACCGAAGGCTCCACTAATAAGGATGCATACAGTGCCTTTGTCTTTCGTTTCTTCCATCGCATTAATGTCTCTTATGTCAACTGCGCACATCGGTGAAAAGAATGGCCGTGGTGCGTCGCATTTGAAACTGACGTCAGTGAATGTATATCTAGGAGGCATGCCATGCCAATGTGAATGCCTCGAGGCGAGGCTAGATTCGTTCTCCACAGCTGAAAGAAGGTAGTTCGCTTCCAGGTATTAGCCAACGGCGGCGTCTGTCATGTCAAGCAACATCGTACTCATGGGTCCACTCACATGGGCCTCCATTACGATTTCTAATCAGGTGTCAGTCGATGGAACACAAGAAATTGATGAAAGGCCACTCGCACACTCGGCCAAGAAGTTTTCCGGTAAGTACTGGTTATGCTCTTCGAGCGATGCAATACAGGTAGAAACATTGGGCCAGGGTTGGAACGCTCATGCATTTGAAAAATCCTGACAGCCTGGGAGGCTTCCTTTTACTTTTGCACCGGAGCCTACTCAGACCCGACTGATCACGATCAGTCTCCAGCTTTGAGCCACAATATTCCTTCTTGCCCAAAGCCAGACCCATGATCTTCACCATTCTCTATGACGGTGCCTGTTCAGAAATCTATATAAAACCCTCCTTTCGCGCTTCCTCTGCGGCACCACTACCAGCTCTTCGCTCCTCGTATCACCAATATCATCTCACTCAATGGCCATTGTAGCCCCCGCACCCGCTCGTGTTCCTCACATCCTCGCTGTCAACTGTGATCAAACCAAAGAGGAGTTCGTGAAGGCGTTCAACGATGTCCCTACCCTCTTCCGCAACCTGTTCACAGGGTATCTCAGTAACGATAACGAGCCTTCTTCTGCCCGCCCGACTCCAGAAGAAGAGAAGGACCATGGCTGGGAGTTGTGCTGCGACGGCACGTTTTACTTCAAAGGCTTCGATGTAACGAAATACACCAGGGGCGCTATGGGCGTCTGGCCGAACGTCCAAAAGGAGCCTATCGACTGTATCATTGTGGGAGGATCATCTAAGGCAGTCTTAATGCGCTTAAGTAGATCATTAACGCATAATTTACAGCGAACAGCGTGAACGATATTTACAAGAAAGACCCCGAAAACACCCTTTACTGGCTGAAGGCCCTTGGCTTCTGGTTGACTGCGACTGCGATTATGCAGAAGCATATCAAGTTTATCGGCGCGTTTTCTTCAAATTGACTTGCGTATGTCTGACGGGGGTATGGCTAGGCATATGCTTCGGGCATCAGATTCTCAGTCGTGTCCTCTACGACTCCGAGATCACGCCTAGCACGACGCCTGAAATTGGTCCGACACCTATTGGTCTCAATGATAAGCTCAAGCATATCTTCCCCGGTGAAGATCAGCTCATACGTTGGCCTCGCTCTTTCTGTCCTTGTTTTTACTTACGAGCGTGTCAAACCACAGAACATCCAGATGTTCCACTACGAGATGGCGGAGCCCTTGCTTAGGGTCCTCGACGAAGCCAGGGAGGATATGAGTAAAAAGCAACGCATGTTCAAGTACCACTTATGGGGTGCAACTAAGGGTTGTGGAAACGAGGGCTCTGTCGTGTTCTATGATGAATCTGACGACAAGGAGAACACGAAGCAGATCCGTATTTTGACTTTCCAGGGTCATCCCGAGCTTACGCACGCCATGGTGAGGTGCCTGATCAAGTTATTTTCGGCCGAAGGCAACGATAAGGAGGCAGTTTCCAAGGAAGAGGCGGCCGATGCCTACAGTAAGTTAGACAAGTTCGAGGAGGATAAAGCGACGGTGCATTGGAAGAGTGCGGCGGGGGCGATGTGGAAGGTCGCGACGGGTACAAACTTTGAATGATGTGTATAGTACTGTCTGAATGCTGTATCTTGTATGTCGACCAAGCAATAGTTGTTCTTGGTATCAAAGGCATTCCGGCACGTAGTAAAAATGATTTCGTTCTGCTAATCACACTCTTCGGTGGCGAAGTTTTGGGCACGCCGAGATCCTCTCCGATGTTCATCGCACTGGTCATGAACTGCTTCCTGCCTTTCTCCGACTCAGGCAAGAGCTTCATATTTTTCACTGAGTCGTTGATCATGCTCACCTCGGTCACTCTGTAAGGGTAAGTTTACAGAGCTTGATATAAGCAAGTCACTTTATACGAGGATATGTCAGCCGAGGCATTCTAAGAAGCGTCAGAGCCGAGGGCGTTCACCTCATGGCACAACGTGTTGTTGAGATACGAGATTGGTGCAAAGGGGCCTCTGACATGGGCTATGTGGAGGACAACGCCTATAAGAGCCTTATTCGTTGACAGTCCCGGTGCTAGCGGAAAGGCGCGAGGCTTTCCCGCAGTTCTCCAGAATATTCCAGTTATATGCTGCGAACACCTTGCTGTACCTGTACTGTAAAATCCAACAACCAATAGCGTACGTCAGTCCGTAGTGGCAGTATTCGACCAAGAGGTCACGTACTTCTTCAAAGCCGTTGACGATAAACCCGTGTTGCTTCATGACGGGTTTGACCTCAGACGCAGCGAGCGAGCGCAGGTGCCGCCACGCGTAGTTCTCTGAGTCCGTGTTGCCGGTCGGGAGAACGGAGATGAAGCTGATGTACGGGTTCGGGTAGGTTTCGCGCCCGCTGGTTCTGGCGTGGACCATCAAACGCTGGCGATGGTGCTAACAGTCTTAAAAGCTTAAGGAAAAGATAGCGGTGAAGAAAAAACAAGTTCCGCGAGACGTGTCGCGTCGTGCTGCTCTAATCTTCTCGGTACACGGTCGAGTCTATCTACTGTCCGTTGTTGGTCCGTTGCATGGGCTGTGTAGGTTATGCCACAGTGTGCAGGCCACATGGTGTACGGAGGTGGATGAAACTTTCTGGAAACCCTTCTAAATATGAGGGTTTCAGAGAAATTCAGACTCCCAAGTCGGCACGCTGTCCGTCACATCCCTAGTCAAACGGAAAAACCTTATATTCATCGCGTGCTGAAACTTGACTACAGTGTACGCGGTACTTTCAAAAGGGTTACGCGCGGCTTCTGGGGATGCTCGCGGGTCATATCCTTCGGATATGTGGATGTCCTGGGTTATTTAATTTGTGGTAACACGGATCTCTCCGTACAGCACGCGAATCAATCTGAGAGGGGTCACCTCGCCGGAAGGTCGAGCCCGCTATGCCTGCAATGCTAGGCGATGCGGACAAGAAAGCCAAAGTAGCTTATTGCGCTTATTAACAACTCTGAGGACGGTGGATTGGTCACTAGTTGCTCGGGGGTGCAGGACTAAGTTACAAGGTGACTTACCAGTGGAGATAGCCTCGCCGTCGAATCAGTGATGATGTCGGTATCTAGCTTGTCCACTTTCGTTGATTCGATCCGACATTGCAGGATGCGCCGAGGTGCGAGCTCGGTGTCGTATCGTGTGGAAACCACAGGCAAAGAGAGACCGTCGCGGCATCTCTGCTCGTGATTTAAGTGACCCGACGAAAGTTATGCAGTTGTGCACGACAATCGCGGTGAGGTCCAGTAGTGTTGACGATGACCTGTTGTAAACACGCCGTTACGGGGGGCCATTTGAGCTACAGCTGACAGATAAGACGTACCTGGCCACCGGAGGTGAGGACCTGAAGAAAGAGAGTGCGAGAGTGGGGGAGGGTTAGGGCGGGGGCATGGCAAACTTGTGCAAACAAAGTCATCATTTGCGCGCGCGGCGCGCTCGTCCGCGTCAACTTCGGCCACCTCTATTCTCAGCGCAATGGTCATGCGCATCCGTCTTCCCTCAGAAAATTACCTGTATTTTCTCCCACATTCCAGTCACACGTCGCGAACACCTTGTTGTACTCGTAGTGCTGCCCAAGCCCATAGACAAACAGCGTCGTTCAGCACATACTATTAGAATTTAAGGGAGAATAAGGAGCACTTCTTCAAGACTATTGCCAGTGATGATAGAGCCATGCTGCTTCATGACATGCTTGTCCTGCGCAGCGAGCATGTACACAATCGAGACTGCGCCTAGGGAAACCGTGCTCCGTGAGTTTCCGCGCCTCACTCTCCGAGTTTGCACAGAGATGAAGTTAACGTGCTAGTTTGGGTTGGCTTCGCACTCGTTGGTTCTAACGTGGTCCATGGTATGCTGATAACGACGTTGGTAATCTTGGAACTTTAAGTAGGATGTCGTGGTGGGACATGAGAAAAAGAGTGAACTACGCGAGACGCGGCGCGTCTCGCATCTTCGTGCCGCCCTTAGTCTTAATAGCCCCATATCAACGAGTCTATCTACTGTCCTTCGCGGAATATGATGTTATGTGGAGGGGAATTGGATTGGCTGTTGTGTAAGCTGGATGTCGTGTAGAGGTGAATGAATCTGAGGAACGCCTTCCCTCTCGCGAGCGTAGGGGAGGGCATCACACTTATTCTTCCTCACAAGCCGCTATGCCTCCTCTCACAACCCAGCTCATCAATCGCAAAAAGCTTATATTCATTGCATGCTGGAACTTGACTACAGTATATGCAACGGTTTCACGAGAATCGCAAGTGGCACGAAAGCTCACATGTCCTGGGTTATTTGATTTGTAGAAAAACGGAATTTCTCCGTATGAGGCGCGAATCAATCCGGGAGGGGTGACCTCCTCAGAAAGCCGAGTCCACGATACGAAGGCGATGCGGACAAGAAAGCTATTCTAGCCTATTCGTGCTTATCAGTCTGATAAAGACGCATTGGTCAGCGATCATCTCGGAGGAACGACTACAAGGCGACTTACCAGTGGATAGCTCACCGTCGAACCAGTGAAGGTCCGTCTGTAGCTTGTCCACTTTCTTCGTCGATTCGACGGCGCGAGCTTTGCAACTCGGTGTCAAAACGTCTCAGAATCACAGGCAAGAGAGATCGATGCGATGTCTCTGCTCGTGATGTGTATGTCGAAAGCTATGCAGAATGCTGCATGGCAGTCGTGTGGATCCAGTGGGGTTATCGATGACCTGTTGATAGAGTGTCAATTGGATAAACATCGAAGATAGATACCAGATACCAGACGTACCTGGCCACCGGAGGTGAGGGGACCTGAAGAAAGAGAGCGCAGGAGCGGGACAGGGTTAGGGCGAGGGCATGGCAAACTTGTGCAAACAAAGCGTTGGCGCCCGCGTCAGTCATTGCGCACGTCAACTCCAAGTAGCCACCTCTACTTATTCTCAGCATGCGCGTACATCTTCCCTCAGAAACACGACTACTCGCAAGAGATATGTATTCGCGTATGGTTATTCAAAGTTTCCTTTGATGATTCCTCAAACCTCGAGCTATGGAGCGTTGCCGCTACAAGACCTAGCCACGTACGCAATGTCAAAGCACAAGAGCACCGTCGTTAGGGTGCGCTAAGGCCTTCGGCCGCAAGTTAGACAAAAGGCGAGCTCGTGCGTTGCCTCCCAAACTTCCCTTTCATGGAAATTTACAGCAAATCCAGTAACTTTTCAAACTGGAGTCCGAAAGCAATCCGGAGGCATTGCCATTGCTCTTGCCTCCCCCGGTAATTCTGTCACTCGATTGCTTTTCAACCCCGCCGCGTATGGCTTTTCTACTCTCAAGCAATCGAATGGCAGGTACGGTCTGTGGGCGCTTCCTATAGACGGTAATTCCTGGAGGCGGGTTGAAAACCAATCCACCGCCAATGCTACGCTCGACGTTGACCATGGACTGGGTATAAAGAGAGGGAGGTGGGCGCCAGAGCCCACCAGCACCCACCTTCCGAGCTCTGTCTTTAGCGACTCTTCTATCGTCCTACCCTCAGCCTTCAATCCAGCCGAACGCCCCTACTCGATCTGCCAGCCTTCGTTCCCATCATCGCCTATACAACCTCCCCTGCCTCATCCAATCTCGAGCCTACCACGCAATGGTCTTCCACTCTGCCAACGCTAAGAAAGCGGTACGTTCACACTATCATGCATATCACAGCGAGCTTCATACTGATGGCTACGTAGACCAAAGTCATCAAGGGTAACAAATGCCCCACGTGCGGCGCGAACGTGTCTCGCGCTACAGATCTTTCGCGCCATATGTTGATCCATTCGCCTCACCGTCGTGAGATGATGCACCAGTGTCCCTGGAAGGGTTGCGGATACGCGACGCTCCAGAAGGCCAACCTCAATACACACATCAACACCAAACAGTAAGTCTACGTTTGCTCTCTGGGGCGTCCGCGATAGCTAACGACGTCCTACAGCACGCATGCTAAGAGGTTCCCTTGCCAAGTCTGCCCTAAGACCTTCAACGACCAGTCGGCGGCCATCCGCCACCGCAGGGGCATCCACAACATGGACACTCGTGCATTCCGTCGGTTCTGCGCGATGAAGGACAGCGACTCGGGCTACGAGTCTGATTCGCCCTCGCGTACCCCCAAGCTGGAGCTCGACATGTCCGAACTTCTCACATTCGACGCGCCTTCTGAGCCTCAGAGCGCCCCCGTCGACGTTAGCATCGACACGTTCGCCGTTCAGACTCACGTCAAAGCCGGAACCTCCGCTACTCCTGAGGTCTACGCCCCCGGCCCGACGACTACAGTCCACCCGACCGATCTCGCGATGCTCGATGCGTTCTGGTCTCAGGATGGGCAGACCAGTTCGGATGTATATTGCTTCAACGCCCCAGCGCCCACTCCTATGACTCCCAGGAGCGCGGTGCTCCCCATGCCCGAGAGCTACCTGCCATCGTCGCTCGACACGACTAGTGGCTATGTCTACGGCAACAACGACTTCATCAACACCCAGTATTCCGATGTATCTTACGCTACTCAGGCCCAGAGCTCGTCGTACGGATATGGCAACGCCTTCGACAACAACGCGTTCGACTACTCTGCTCCATCATACGCCTTCACTCAGTCGCAGCAGCCTCAGCAACCGCAGTTCGACTTCAACTTCGGCGTCCCTGCACCAGCATCGACGGCGGTGCCCGAGGGCAACTACGACTTCGATTCGCAGGACCTCGAGTACTACCTTACCCTCGAGTACCTTCGTCAGCAGCAGCAGCCGGAACAGTGGCCTATCTGCTAAATTTACCCTTTCTATTATCTAATTTCATCTGTTAGCATTGTTCACGCTTCTGCTCGGGCTCTTGGATTCCCGTTCTACCATACCTTGGCATATCACACTACATTTCTCCGACAGTTTCTGCATTCCACGACGCATGTAACATTATGTCTTCACTTATTCCGTACACCTTATCCACACATCTGCCTCTCATATTGCCTCAGCACGTGTTCCCCGTTTACGTACTGTAATGCCTTCCATAATGTCGCTGTTGTACCAGCTGCTCCGTGACAATGATCTACAATCAATATGGATCGACTTTTAGACAAGGCGCTTAATCAATGAGTCGAACACCGAGACCCTTGAGGACACTAGGATTGGTTTCACGCCCTCATGACCTTCCATTTCGCATCGTTAACACCAGCTGCGCGAGAGACTGGAATGGATGGTTTAGGAGATACGCTAGCCGTACTATCACTAGCATCGATGAACAGGAGAGGTTTCTAAAGACATATTTGTAAGGTTTATTTAATAAGCCTTTTTGGCGTGGTGCCTGTCATCTCCGTTCTTAAGCTTAATCTCGCTTAATTACCACGATGCTATAAGTTGATAAAATATAATGTTGTGACAATGCTACATGATAATTTACATGGTTATAATCCTAAGATTGTAAAGAGATCCTGATGACCCAGAAGACTAGAGACGCGGGTTGCACCTCTGAGGTGACCACGGTAATACATGAAGGGTATCTTAGTGACGCCAGCACCTGAAATAGGTTCAGTACCGGCCAATCTACTAAGCTGAACGACAATACTCACAAGATCTCGTAATTGTCCCTGATAACGTGCTCTCTGTCTCCGAACGCGACATGACATCCACCCTACACACAGTCACGCACAAATGAGAAGGCGACACACAACATACATTAAATTCAGATACTCACCAGATGCTCGCCAGCCTTGCCAGGCACATGAACTCCTCCGGGCTCGACGCGCGCCACAGCATGACACAGCTTCTGCCCGCCGCTCTCGCACCCGCCCTCAACGGGCCTGCAGCCCGGCGGGACGCGCCCGTGGCTCGTGCGCACGAGCTCCATCGCGTTCGCGTCGTACGGCAGCAGATCGTACCTCCCCATATGCGCGATCTCGCGCCCAGCGTACGGGACGCGGCACGCGTACTGCGCGCCGAGGTGCGGCGCAATCTTGCACGGGTGCACGGAGCCGTCGTCGAGGATCGCCGAGCCAAAGTACACGGGCGCGCCGCCGGCGTCCTCGCACGGGGCCTGGCCGGCCTGGTCGGGGCCGGGGAAGTAGGACTGGGGCCCGAGGCCGATGCGCCGCCCCGAGCCGATGCCCGAGAACGGGGAGGCGTTGCGGGGCGAAGGGGAGACGTGCATGTCGTGGGTGGGCATGCTCATGGGCGTGACGGTTTCCGGCTGGGGGATTGGGGGCGAGTAGGTGCTACTGTCTGGGGGCGAGTAGGTGCTGCTGTTGTAGGGTGCACGGGTCGGGTATCCGCTGCAGCTGGTAGACTGCGGGCGAGAAGCGTACATGATAGGAGGAGGCGGGTAGGCGTCGAACGAGGACGATCGGGGGAGCTGGGGCATGTCAGGCGACATGGATGGGGGATATCTGCCTGGTGCCGATTGATTGTGAGACATCGGGGATGACATGAGCGGCGGGGGAGAACTGCTAAGCTGAGGAGGGACAGGGGGAACGTAGAAGCCACCCACGCCAGAGGACTGGGGGTAGGGCTTGCCAAAGTTGTAGGGTGCTTCGTGGTTGTACATGGTCGTTGGATCGAGGGCTCTGCTGGTAGAATGTGGGTTTCTGTCTGGCAGGACTGCTCTTGGTAGCCCCGGCTTATATACGATAGCTGACCGCCGCGATCCTAAGAAGCGCCGCCCCCTGGCCTGGAATGAGGTCTGCAACTGGGCTGGTCTGATCCAAGATTCCAGGGCTGTGCGCAGTCCCAAACAGAACGCATTGCAAGATAGGAATGCGCCAACCGGGTGTAGGGCTCGGGGTATGAACTGAACACTGTACGCACCTGACGCCTAATGTTAAAACGTTCGTAAATGAACAATCATGAATCCAAGAGTCTGGATAGTCTTCACGACGTTGGAGGTCGGGGATCAGAAGCACTCCACTTCCATGCTCGGTCGCCGGAAACAGAACTATCTGGGATCGTCGCGAGCCCAGAATAGCGCAGATTGGACTAGGCGGGCGCTTCTCGATCGGTGGCTGACCACCTGGAGGGTGACAATGTGAAGGGTAATGCGATTGTGAATACAAACGTAGTGGCGTGTTCATTACACAGATGTCCGTATTTATATGACTCATCCAATATCGATATCATGCCTGCAACAGCCAGCGTCAACAGACACAAGGCGGGGGAATGGGCGCAGCGTACCAGGTAGTTGTACGACTTTCGATCGTCGCACCGCTCCAAATACTCTCGCTACCCCCCAATCAGCATCCAGAACGGGCCTTACGAGAACCAAGCTCACATCTATCAGACCCTCTATTCGCTTCTTGATGTTCTGCGGATTCGGCTGAAAGCGCACCGACAGCTGCCGCGTCACCTCATTCACCAGCTCGTTATGTGTCATGTGTTTCCGGTCCTTCATCACCCGCACGATGCACGCCTCCGTCTGGTGCGCCCGCTCCTCGTCGATCCGGCCCCTCGTCTCCTTGCGCTCCTCGTTCGTCTCCACACGCGCAGACACCGTGCTGATCTTGATCCGCTGCATGGGCGACGAGAACTCCACGTTGAATGAGAACGAGTCCGACGCGTGCACGTCCCGGCTCGGCGGGTGTTTCTTCAGGATCTTGTACTTTGCGCACGCGAGCGACTGCAAGTGCCGCTGCAGCTCGACTTCGGGTATCAACGTTGCTGCCTTGATCTCCTGTATGGCCATAATCCATCAGCAAAGGCCCATATGAGCAAAACAACACAAACCTCGTAAGTCAAGAACTCATTCTCGCCCAATTTCTCAAACAGGAGAAGAATGACCAGTGCAAACGTCGACACGTTCAAATCGTGCTTCCTGTTCCTGAACTGAACCCGCACGTCCGCGTTCCCAAGCGTAGGCTGCCACGTCAGCCGCCGCCCCGAGTGACGCGAAAAGTAGAACTGCTCAAAGGACTTGCACGCCCGCGTCAGATCATCCGGGAACACACAACTAGCCGCTGAATACGACATCGGCCAGAAGGTAGAGGTCATCACTGTCACCGAGATCTCCACGTCCGGCGGCTAATCAACAAGGGCGCCTATTAGCATCCGAAAGCGTGCCGCATATCGACAGAACGAACGCACCGTACTAGTCTCCAGGTACTTGCGATACGCCTGCATCGTATCCGTCGATATTTTCATATCCTGGAACATACCCTCGAGCTTCTGCGTAAACTGATAACCGCACTCGACCTTGAGCTTCGCAAGCATGCCCCGCTCGGCATCATCCGACACTGAGCGGCCGAGCAACAGACGCTTGGCCAAGTGACTCTTGTAATACCGCTCAAACGCGTCCTTCTCGGTGATATACCGGAAGACGGTGATAGTCTTGTCCAGCACGATGTCCACCTCCGTGTCCGTTTTCTGTGATAACTCAAGTTAGCTGGTGTCGATAACATAGGAGGGAAGAGCCGCATACACCCTTCAGGCCCTTTTTCAGATTATCGTCGATGAACAACGAGATGAACTCGGATGCCTTCTCGTTCAGATTGATAAAGTCCTCAAAAGCCTAAAAGACGCGCATTCGTTAGAACTTCTCAACGCGCAGCAGCGAACGCACCTCGTTTAGCGTGCCCTCAATCTCGCGGTTGCCGTCAAACGACTGCTTCCAGAGATAATCGAACTTGTCTTTGAGATCCAACACATCCTGCACCCATTTCAGCGCCATCGAGAGCATCTGCGACCCAGCCGGCGCCTCGCGGGCCTTGCCCTTGCCCTTGCCCTTCGCAGCGTCCTCGACGTCCGCGTCGTCGTCGGCGGCAGCCGCTGCAGCCTGCATCGCGTCGGCGGCAGCCGCTGCAGCCTGCATCGCGTCGGCGCTGGTCGATGCCTGATTGATCTCCCGCCCGCGCCGCAGAATGGAGTCCTTGAGCGCGCGGCGCAGCGTGGGCAGCCCGGGCGGGACCATGGTGAAGAGGCGGTAGAGCCGGCTGAGGTCGTCGAGCCTGTTCAGGTCGATCAGCGTGTCGAGGCCCGAGTTGGGCATCGTGAGCACGGCGACGAGGTTCGGCGTGAGCAGGTGGTTTTGGAGGATCTGTTGGAGCGGTGCGGCGGTCTGTGCGGAGAGGTAGTGGTGCGTGCGTGCTTGTTCGGAGTCGAAGCGCGATTCGGCCTTCACCACCACCACCACCACCACCACCACCAGGCGAGAGATGTCAATGGGTAGTTCGGAGAGATGGGAGGACGACGCACCCGGCGGAGGTACTCCGGCGCATCGCACGTCTCGAGCAGCGTCTTGCCCTCCTCGGCATAGAACCGCTCGCTCGCGCGGAGCACCGCGGGCTCCAGATCGCGCTTGTACACCGTGCGCCCGTCGCGGTCCGCGCGCAGCTGCAGCAGCACGTCGACGCACTCGCGCACGGCCGAGCGGTTGATCGGGAACCCGTCGCGCTCGATGCGGATGAGGCTGAGCACCGCGTCGACGACGTGCGCCTGTATTGGCGGGCGGATGATGTGCTTCAGGAAGAGGTCGAGCCCCGCGTCCCAGATCTCGGGCACGTTGTTCGCCTTCGTGTACACGCGGTCCTGTGGTCCCGCACGCAGTCAGTGCGCGGCGGCGGCGGCGGCGGCGGCGACGCAGCCGGTGCACGAGGGATGGTGATGACGCACGCACCATGTACTTGAGAATATCCCTCAACTTCGACATATTACTCGTATGATCGTCCCACACCTTCCTCATCGCCTTCAACAACTGCTCCCCCTCCTGACTCTGCTGCGTCGTATCCCCCGCGCCCATCCCCGCCACAGCCCCCGCCCCCGCCGCGCCGCCCCCCACACCCACCCCGCGCGCCTGCGGAAACGCCGGGAAAATCTCCGTCCTCGCCAGCCGCTCCACATTCTCCGCAACGAGCTCGCACACACCGCGGTACAGCATCTCGCCGTGCTTGTGCAGCACCATATTGTACCCGAACCGGTGGTTCTCCTCGAACGAGAGCCGCGACGCGTTGTGGTTGTGGATCTCGCGGATGTTCGCCGAGAGCTGCGCCCAGGTGTCGTCCATCGACACCTCCGACACATGCTGTCGCGCAGCCGGCCACGTCGAGTGGAGTCAGAGCGTGCAAGAAGCGCATGAGGCGGTGGAGAGTCACCTTCTTGGGTGGTTTCTGCGGAACAGACGGGTTAGCATAAGGACCTCCCAGTACCTATAACTCGTATGGGCTTCCTCACGATTTTGGTTTTAGTGGTACGTCGTGCTGTGCTATACGCTCAGACAAGATCGCTTTTGGTCTTGGAAAGTCGGGCATACCTGTCGCCATCGTAGCTTGATCGTGTAGGAAGTCGGAATCTCGGATGCAACGCGTCAAGTCGATCCGTCCAATGGCAGGCACACACAACGCTCCTATTACGTGTATTTACTCTTGTTGAATTCAGAAGCTCTTGGTAAACACCTGTCAACATCCTACACTTGTCGTAAATATATTCATTGGGGGACAGCCGGCTCACTCCCTGACTTCAAGAGCAACACGACAACACTACTGATACATCCTATCTGACATAAACTACAGCTTACCTAATTACAGTGCAGATTGCGAGTACAGGGAGAAAAGAAAAAAAGTCCAAACGAATGCATCAAATCTCATAACAAACGTACCCCTCCCCCTCCTCCTCGCCATCGTCCACGTCCTCCCCACCCCCGCCCCACGGCCTCCTCACAAAGCTCAAATCCGAGCCAGCCAGGAACCTATCCGCCAGAGACTTAAACGACCGCCCCGACTCGGCCCACTGCCCGCCCCACCGCTCCACCTCGCCCATATACTCCTTCGCCCTCCCACGCGCGTGCTCAGAGCGCGCAAGAACCAGCTCGCTCGCATCCGCCATCCATCTTAACCCAACCTCCTTCATCTCCTTCGCGCGCCGCTGGGCGTGCGCGTTCCGGCGGTAAAAGTTATCCTTGACGTTACGCAGCTGCGCTTGGGATTTCTCCATGGCCATGTCGATGTCCAAGTCCATGTCCTCGAGTGCCGGCGCGGAAGCAACCAGCGCAGCCGAGTGCTGCAGCACCGTGCGTGCGTTGCGCGTGATGGCGCGCGTGAGTTCGTCCAACGCGTCAATGATGTCCTGCACGTCGGTCCGGCGGACCGTGAAGCCGGGCCCCGCGTCTGGGGTGCCCGAGAGGACGGGGCTGATGGCTTTGCTGAGGGCAGAAGGCACAACGGAAAGCGAGGAGGGCATGTCGGGGGCGACAGAAAGCGACTTGGGCTTGGAATCGACCGAGAGCCCAGTCGAAGCAGGGACCTCGATATCAGTGGTGGGCTTGACGCGCTGGGCCGAGGATTCGGGCCCACGGTGGCTGAGCGCTTCCCGGGAAGGTGAATGGGGATGATGGTCAAAGACCGAAAGCGCGGTGTCCTTCAGCGAGGAAAGCATGAGAGCCGTCGACGGAAGTCGTCCGGGGGGAAGGGTAGGTACCGTATGGTCCAATGCGGGGCTCAGCGACAGAGGTGGACTGGCCGAAGGCACCAGTGTCGGAGTAACTACATCCTTCGTCGAGCGCATTAAGGGGTAGCTCGAGCGTACCACAGTTCCAAGGATCATTGAAAACAAAACGAATCTGCAGGAAATTATTAGTAAAGGCGATACGTATTGAGGCGGGCCACGTACAAGATGAGCGCCGAAGAGTTCTTTGCAAGCTTGAGATAGTTAATTTCGTTTGCCCAAAGTTTGTCAAAGGCGCGGAGAACCTGCGAAGACGGCATCCTGTAAATGAAGGTTTCGTCCACAACGTCTCTGCCATTCGACATCATGAGGAAGTGAGCATCGAACGGGACATGCATCCCGTCCCACGCCTGCCTCGTGCGAAGTCGTGTCGACGATATCGCATTGAGATCGTCACCCAAAGACGTGTAGATGGGGAGGTACGACGTGTGGTGAGGAAGCACGGCGAGTTCAAAGGGCAGGGAGATTATCGCGAGCGAGGCGTGCTCGGGTGCAACGGCGTTGTAACACTGGCCAGCACAGCGGTCAGTAGAAACAGAACGAGAAACAAACAAACCCACGTCTTCGCTGCGCTTGCCGGTCTGGTCGACGACCCTGATGACGTTGGGGAACGACCCGTTGTACGTCCTCTTGCATGCATATAAGTACCGCGTGTTCCCACTCAGGCTCTCAAGGGAGGTGGAGAGTGTGACACCGGCGCCGGCGGCCGCCTGCTGCAACAACCGATCGACCAGAGCCCACTTGGACGCAGTCGAGAGACCATAGAGTACGATGTCGAAGTCGGACGAGACGGCGAATGACGGCCTCGACTGTGGGATGGGCCTCGAAATGGGCGCTGGCACTGGGACCGGCACTGGTGTCAACTCTGCTGGTGCGGGGTCTAGCACGGACTCAGAGACCTCGGGCGTGATAGGCGGGCCCGGATCTCCGGCCCGCTGCGCATCGCCGGCGTCCGAGCTTAGGCTAGAATAAGCTGGCTCGGTTGGAACGAGGGACTCGGAGCACTCGGTGTCCTGCGACATTGGCTCCTGCGACGATGGTTCCTGCGAAGACAGCTCCTGTTCGCTGAGCTCGTGTTCGTGCTCGAGCCCGCGTGCGAGCTCCTCCTGGAGTTCATGCAGCTCATTGGAGCTAGTCAAGGGGTCTGGGAAGGACAGACGGAGGTCCCGGGAAGCATGTAGGGAGCCGCTCCTGGATGCGGAAGCGCTGAGGGTGCCAACCATGCTCTGCTCCAGGCCCTCTCTGACTGCCTGCTCCTCCGCTTCGTCGATGGGTGATGTGGACTGCTCGAGGGTGGGGAAGTGTGGGCGTTCCTCGGAAGAGGAGACGCCGGCGGGCGAGGCGCTGGTGAGCGTGGTGTCGCCTTCGCCGTCGTGAGCGCCGTCGACAAAGCCCTCCCAGCCATCAACATCTGCGTCTCCGTCTCGGGATCCGTCGTAGCTGATGGAGGAGCGGCGTGACCTAGAGCGGGATGGGGCATGATCAATGGCAATCTCCCTGCCTGAGAAGATCGAGTCAGTATCAGACTCGCGGCCACTGGCTATGTCTAGCCACTCCGAGTCGGACGAGTCGTCGAGGTCTACGGCGTGCAGATTAGCATGGCGGTGGTGGTTGTCGGTGGTGTGAGGGGGGTCCTTTGAGGACTTTGACATGATGGTTGTGTGTGCCAAGGAACGAAAGGGGCAGGCCTTTTAGTACGCAAGCGCTACTAATTTGGCAGTGTTTAGGGTAAGCGAAACCTGCACTAAGCCACGTTCACACGGCCCCTTTGATACACCCAGAGACTCTTCCAACAGGGGGCTCATATGACCAGTCCATGACCAGCCTAGTCGACCTCCCCCACGACGTCCTAACGATAATCTGCCAGCACCTCTCCGCCGCAGGTCTCCTCTCCCTATCTCAGGTCTGCCCATCCGATTGTCTTCTGATCGCCGAACCTGTCCAATATTGATGGAGCCCTCCCTTGCCTATGGACATACCTGATACGCCCTTGCCCTGCGCAATGCAACACACCATCGATACACGTAGACATGTCGTGGCCTGTACAAAATAGGCTGCGATGACTATCTCTGGCACTCCCTCCTCCGCAGCATCAACCTCCCACTTGACATCTCCCCGGATACAGACCCACGCTCGCTCTCGGGCCGCGACACTAAGGCGCTCGTCGTCCGGGCGCTCAAGCTCGACCGCAACTGGCGCCGGTCGCGTCCCCAGGTCCGCAGGGTTGTCCCGCTCATTGACACGCCAGCAGACACGTTTGTCGATGAGCTGGTCTTTCTTCCTGGCTCTCAGTGGCTTGTTACCGCGCAGGTAGCTGGTGGCGTCCGTACGCGTGTCACGCTGTGGCTATTGGGGGACGTAGATAAACCTCTTGTTGTGGGATCGTATGACCTGAGAGGCCGGCCGAGGTCTTTCACTGCTTATTTGGACTCTGAGCGCAAGGTCGTTATCATCTGCGGTATTATGATGTGGGATCGGCAGTCGTTCGTATACATCTTCCTGTTTGGAAGTGGACTAGCAGCTTACGGATGCTATTGCTAGGTTCATCAAAGCACACTCTATCAACATAGATGAGTGTGATCGAGCGATCACTCCCGTCGCTACCATATACGACACTGAGGTCTCTAAACTACCCCATCTGGGTATGCTCTGTTCCGTTTCTGTTCATAAAGACACCATCGCCGCGAACTTTGTCGTCATGGGAGGCGACACCTCCAGTAGAAAGCAGACGGAAAACATACTCTTTCACAACTTCATGACCAACGCGACTCTCATCACCAAAACGCTAGTCCCTTCAGTGCGTCCCTTCTACATGTATCGCATCTAGTGGCTCACGTGAAGAAAAGTTCGCCGGATCTCACAGCCTACGTTTCACACACAGCCGCTTCATCACGGCGACACACCACGACGACTTATTCGGAGAGGTACTCGACATCTCAAAGATCGCGTCCTCGTTATCCGACGCCGCACCGTCCAAGGATGAATACCCTTTCGCTGCCCTGCAAGACAAATTGTCGCTCACGTCTTTCCTCCTCCAATCCAGCCACCACATACACATGGACTACTACCTCTCCGTCGGCACTCCTCACCCTTATCTCAACAGAGACATCCTCTGCGCTCTCGCCTTACCCTGGCCCGGCTCGTCCTACCCCGCCGCAGACCTGTACCAGCTGAACCTCCGCACCGGGGCACTCGACAGACACGAGCACTTTTCCGTCGCCAACTCCGAACACGTCATCGTCAACGACGAAGTGCACCTCGGCCCCAGCGGGCGGAGGGCCGTATGGCTATGTGGCCGCGCGGGAAACGCGACCGTGATGAAGTGGGCGTGCGGCGGCCGCGTCGACGGCGAGGAGGTGGCGGGCCGCTCGTCGCCTATGATAGACACGTCATCGGGGCTGCCGTTTCGCGTGGAAGAGTGTCATAGGCTTGCGTTTGACGAGGCGACGTGCAGGATGTGTGTAGCTACGCATAGTGGGTGTTTGTATTTGCTGGATTTTGCGTGATAGACTGAAGCGTGTATATGTCTTTGCGAGGGGGCCTCTGTTGTATGGCTCTGGGCTACCTTGCAGAAGGGCCTTACTTGAGCGAACGTATTCGGTTTAGCAGAGGCTTGCGCTGCGCTGCAGTGACCACTCGAGAGGCTTCAGGCACTATGAATATGACGAATATGTCCGAGTAGAATTTGTTTCCTTACCAGACTACTTCCAAAGCCCTCTCTCATTTCGGCGAAGAGCATCTGGCCTGCCATAGCATCCTCATTTACTCGTATCAGTAGCTGCACTCATGGTAATCTCAAACGCGCTGTAGGCTGCACGAGCAGCAGGTTCCCGTAATAGCCCCTGTAGTTTGTGTGACTCGCGGCAGACGTGAGGAAAAGTGCCGGCATCCACGTGCGGCTTGAGCTTGATTTTGTACTCCAATCGCGATCTACTCACTTCGCTCAAGAAAGCTGTTGTGTTCTGCAGCGGGAGTTCTCTGGTCAGCTGAGCTTTCTCATAAAGAAAACCACGCACGGGCCTTCTCGCTACTAGTACAAGGGCCGACGTCGCCACTGAGGACGACTGAACACCAACACCTTGCAACTTGAGGACACACCCCTAGACCCTTTCAATCCACGTCATGGATCAAGAAATACAGCGCTTCGTGCAGGCCGTCCTCATCGCATGGGAGCAGCCGTCCTCGGGGCTGCAGCACCAGGCTCTAGACTACCTCTCCAACTTTCAGGCAAACTCGAACGAGACGTGGAGGATCGCGCTGCAGGTCTTCGTGGAGGGTGGGCCGGAGGGTCGTGTGCACCCGGCCCAGGCGCGTTTCTATGCGCTCAGGATGCTGGATGGTTATTTCGATGATAGGTGCGTGTCTTCCTTCTTTCTATTAGTGTTGGCCTCTTTTCTTTTTGGTACCTTGTGCTCGGTCATATCACGACTAGCCCTCATTATCTTCTCTCCCGGACAGTACATTGGATTCACGGACATCTTGTCTGACCTATCCCCTTTCTTTGCGCATACATCAGGTTCGAACCACTAGACGAAGATTCTTTCTGCACCTTACAGCAAGCTTTTGTATCATACATTCAATCAGAATACGTTCAAGGATCTGCAGAATCTAATGCCACTTGTGAGTCATCCTGACTCTGACTCCTCCCCTTCGCCCCGCGCGCCACTCCGTCAAGGCGGCTATATGCTAACGCACATCTCTCCACTCGCGCCCAACACCAGTCCTACGCAACAAATTCTCGCATACACTCACCCTCTTCTTCCTCTGCGCATACATCGATCAATGGCCAACCTTCTTCTCCGACCTCTTCACGCTCATCTCCGCCGCCGCCGCCTCGCAGTCCTCGCAATCACAATCGCAGTTCAACCGCCACGTCTCCCTCCTGCTCTTCCACCTCATCCTCGAGATCTCGGGCGAGGTCGCCGACCAGACGATGAAGTCCGCCCGCGCGTTCACCCAGGCGCGGCACACCCGCGACGCGCGTGTCCGGGACGCCGTGCGCGAGCGCGACGCACCGAGGATCAACGAGGCGGTGCTCACGATTATCGCGGACAGCACGGAGCGGCTGTGCGTGCTCAGGCAGGCGGGTGGGGACACAGGGAAGGAGGTGGGCCAGGCGGAGGAGCTGGTGGATTGGGGTGTGCGGACGTATGGGTCGTATGTTGGTGTGTGGTGTCTGCGCTTTCGATTTCTTGTTTCCCGGTTGGCTCATGTAGCGCGGTGGGAATGGTAGGATGGATCGACATCAACCTTACCGTGACGCCAACAAGTGTCCCGCTGCTGTTCTCGCTCCTGTCGGATCCGTCGTTACCCATACGCCTCGCCACCTCCGTCAGCCTGCTCCGCGTGGTCTCCAAGGGGCTCAAAGAGCCCGAGGACAAGCTGCAGCTTATCAAGGTGCTCTCGCTGGGGCAGGTCATCGACGCGCTGGAGTCCAAGACGCGGGAACAGCAGGCCGAGCGCGGCGCGGACACGGACGAAGGCGAGGAGTCGTATCGCGAGGCGTTGGGGCGGCTGCTCAACGCGCTTGGGCTAGAGCTGCACAAGCTGACGGACGACAATCCGAAGCCGGAGGTGGCCGCGGAGGCGACGCAGCTGCTCTCGCAGATTCATCCTGTGCTTCTGCGGTTTATGGCGGACGAGTACGATGATACGTGCTCTACTGTGTTTCCGTTGCTTCAGACGATACTCGCTGGTGTATGTTTGTTTGCTTTTTCTTGTTTAGCGTGGTTCGGGCTGCTAAGGTTACGTTTTGCAGTACAAGAAGCAACAAAAAGTCTCATCAGAACCTATAGACGAATCAAAACGGTCGTTCCTGTCCGCGCTGCTGCAGGTCATCCTGCAGAAGATGAAGTGGGACGGCGAGGAAGACCCGGCCGATTTGGACGAGGATGACATTGGTGCCTTCGAGACGCTCCGAAAGGTATTGCTTTTCGGCATCCTTTTAACTATAGACGTGCATGGCTAATCTTAGCTGTCAGGATCTCCGTACATTCTTGGACTCCATCCTTACTCTGGATCAGGCGCTTGTTACGGGAGCGGTAAAGTCACTAGCTTTGAACATTCTTGGAGAGTATCAGGCTGGTATCGCCCAACCCTGGAATCAGCTCGAGCTTGGTGTATATCTCGTGTATATCTTCAACGAAATTAACAAAAGTACGTTCTTCATCGCGCATATACTCTGTTTGCTAATAGCTTTACAAGGCGGCGCGAAAGGCCGTGCCGCATACTGCCAGGGCCTGAATGTGCCGAAGGAGCAGCGCAAAGACGTCGACTACTCGAGCTTCCCGTTAACAGATCATGGCGAGATGATGCTCGCGCTGATCCAGTCCAACATCTCGGCGTACCCGCACCGAACGGTCGCGATGCAGTTCTTCGAGACTGTCGCGCGATACAGCGATTTCTTCAAGGTGCGGAAAGCGTGCATCATGCCCGCGCTAGAAGCAATGGTGGACAGCCGGTGATTTTTTTCGTTCTACGTAAATCTTGGCGCGCTCGCGCTCACTCGGGATAACAGGGGCGTGCACAGCTCGGATCGAACTGTGCGCTCGCGGGTGTACTACCTCCTGCACCGCTTCATCCGGGAGGTCAGGAACGATATCTCGCCCGACGTCGCCGTCAACCTCGTCGACGGGATCCGCGATCTGCTCGCGATCGAGGTCGAGCTCCCCGCGGACACGCCCGAAGAGGAGATGCTCGCGGAGGCGATCAAGAGCCCCGGGCTGTTCGACTCGCAGCTGTACCTCTTCGAGGCCGTCGGCACGCTGCTGTCGCTCCTTGGCAAGTCGCCCGAGCAGCAGGCGAGCATGCTGCTGGGGATCGTGACGCCGCTGCTCGAGACGTTGTCTGTGAATCTGCAGGCCGCCAAGGCGGCTGCGCAGCGGGCGCAGGGGCAGCAGGTGCAGGGGGCGGATATTGTGCCGGTGTTGAAGGTGCATCATACGATTATGGCGCTGGGGAATATTGCGAAGGGCTTTCCTGATTATCCGAACCCTGTGCCGGAGGGGTATGCGCTCCCGCCGCTGGATGTGTTCAGGGAGGTTGCGCAGGCGATTTTGGTGTCGCTGGAGGCGTTGAATGTGTACAAGGCTGTTCGGGATGCTGTGAGTGTCTTGACCTGTTTTATTGAGGATAGCCTAAGCTGATGGTGGTGGGGTGCGTGTAGACTAGATATGCGTTTGCGCGGATCATTGCTACGACGGGGTCGAACGTCATTCACTTGATACCGCCACTAATGGCGAATCTCCTCGCGCACTTTGAGCCGTCGGAGCTGGTTGACTTTATGAACTTCATCGGGCTGCTTATACATAGGCTGCAGGTTAGCCGGTCGCTTTGTGACGCTGGATAGTGCCTTGCTGATCTGGCGTCTCATTCGCAGAAAGAGCTGTTTGACGTGTTGGACCAGCTCATCGGGCCGTTAACATCGCATATTTCACAGATGCTGACGCAGCCCGTTACGGGTACGGACGATGCGCTGTCCCTGGCCGATACGAAGCGGGCATACCTTGGGCTGCTCACAAGCATTGTTTCTTCTGATTTGCATGATATCTTTATCTCGGAACGTGAGTTTCAAGTTACTATTACTCGCAACGCACCACTAAAAGCTAACAATATGTTGCGTACAGGAAACAAGAACTCACTACAGCCACTGTTGGAGACGATGCGCAATCTGGCCGAAGACATGTCGGAACCCAGCAGCCAGAAGTCGTCGTTCTCCTTCTTTGGCCGGTGCGTGCACGTGTGGTGCCGGTCCGCTAGCTCGACAGCAGAGGCGAATGGTCACACGAGTCTGCCCGGGTTTGAGCAGTTCGTGTACGAGTCGCTGATCCCGACGGCGTTTGGTGTCTTATCGGCGCCACAGCTGAACGTCAAGGATGGGCAAACTGTTACCGTAAGCACGCGTTCTAATCTTCTGTCTTTGTACATGGCCCTTACGGATGATGGCGACGTCTGCTAGCTCCTGCACGAGATCGCCAACTTCCTGCAAACAGTGTGCAAAACGCGGGACGCAGAGGCTTACGATTTCCTTGCGAACCGGTATCTTCCGTCGCAGGGCTGGCCGGCGGACATGGCGATGGAGTTTACGACCAAGATACGGGATCTGGACAACAAGGCGTGGCGCAAGTGGTTCACGGACTTTATCCGGTCGTCGCGCTCGCAAGGGGCTTCGTGACATGTGCTTCGACGGCTTGTTATGACGCGAGGGCGTTTGTCGAAGCTTTACTTTATTCATTTCTTTGCTCATGATGCTGTACCCCTTGTGCTTGCTATATCATCTGCTTTATCGCATGCGTGTTTCCCTGGCGGCTGCTTTTTGCCGCTAGTATGAGATGTGATATGTTATCGCTTTCTGGTAATCTTTAATGATGTAGCATAAATAAGTTCGCTCACGCAAGTTGAAGCTAAGCGCTGACCGTTCCCCGTGAAAGATGGAGCGCGCGACCTTGCATAGGCGTTATAATTAGCCCCTGTCTGAGAAAACAACGTTTCCGTTACGGAGGCAGTCAGGGTGAGCGTTCTCTTCAACATGAAAACAGGGCGGGGCGCTTTTCACATGGCAGTCGCTCTCGATAGCCGGTGACATGAACTGACACCGCTGTCGACGTCAGCTTCCCCATTCCCGTCGATCACCAGACCCCAGTCGACTGCGCTCCCCCATCACTTATATACCATCACTTTCTCCGTACGTCCCCCTCCTACATACGTTCTGTCTTCCAGGTTACCCCACTGTCGAGCAGTCGAGATGGGCATTAAAGATACCCTTGACACCCTCCTCACCACCGTACGCCTTCTCCTCGCCTCCTCAGACCGGCACACTCTAAGGCTAGGAACCGCCGGCCTCGCTCTCCTGGTCTTTGCGCGATATACCCTTGGTGGAAAGAAGAAGGGGTCTGGCAAGGGCAGGCTCCTTAGCGACCCACGGACCATTGCGAGGCCGCTGGAAGGAGATGGGCATGAGTTTGACGAGTGGGATTTTGTCATTGTTGGTGGGGGTGGGTGCCTTCTGCTTCTTGCTACGTTTGGCGTAAATACGCGCGAATTTCTTACGCCTCTTGTGCACAGGGACCGCTGGATGTGTGCTTGCCGCTCGACTCTCAGAGGACCCCAAGCTGCGCGTCTTGCTGATTGAGGACGGTGGAAGGTATGCAAACACTTGTTGGATGTCCCCCAGATTCGCGTTTGCTCATGTGTTTGCGCTTTTGCGACGTCTGCTCGTGAAGTGGGAAGACAGTGCTTGAGTCGAGAGTTCCGTCCGGTTACTCCAAGCTCTTCCGTTCCAAGTATGATTACCACTTCTACACCGAGCCACAGCCGCACGCGGGCAATCGCAAGACCTTCTGGCCTAGAGGTGAGCGTGCTGCATCATCTTCATCCAATCGCGCTCATATATCCTCGTAGCTCGTATGCTTGGTGGATGTATGTGTTCTCTACTGGGACCGTAACTGTCGTCGCTTATTCCGCCTATAGGCTCCTCCATTAACGCGCAGATGGCCCAATACGGTGCTCCTTCCGACTTTGACGAGTGGGCACAGATCATTGGCGACGACTCATGGTCGTGGAAGAGCTTAAACAAGTATGCATCAACGTTCAAGATGCACACTCGCGCGGTTGATTGAAACCCTCTAGGTACTTCCGCAAGTTCGAGAACTTCAAGCCAGATCCGAAATACCCGCACATCGACGCGTTGCAGAGGGGAACCAGTGGACCAGTCACTGTCGGATATCATTCGCATACGTACCCTGGCGCCCCCCTGTTTGTGCAGGCGGCAATGGCCGCTGGTATCCCGTACAGCGGAGACTTTGGTCTCGAGACCAGCCTCAAGGGAACCAACATGGTGCGTCTTTGCTGCTCGCTAAATTGCCTCTGTATGTTAGAGCTGACCACCCCCGTCAGATCTGTATGTGCCCGTCCAACTCATAAAGCGTAAGCTAACGCATGCCTCAAAGTGTCATATGTCAACTCTCGCAGTGAGCGCGTGTCTACGGAATCTGCCTACCTCACCGACGAGGTGCTCGCTCGCCCGAACCTGCGCGTGCTCACGCGCGCTCGCGTCACCAGAATCCTGTTCGACCGCGAGGTTGATGGCGCGCCGTGCGCTACCGGCGTCGAGTTTGTCCGCCTGGCGGAGCCCCGCGGCAGGAAGTGGCGGGTCAAGGCGCGCAAAGAAGTAATTCTTTCGTGAGCACCCTCCGCATGATCCACCTTCTCTCGGGGATCTCACAAAGCACCCTTGCTACTAGCGCTGGCGCCGTCCACTCCCCACAGATCCTCATGCTCTCGGGCGTTGGTCCCGCTGAGCACCTCGCGCAGCACAAGATCGCCTTGGTGCACGACCTCCCCGGCGTCGGGCAGAATCTCGTCGACCACGCGGCGTTCTATGTCCGCTTTGGCGATAAGATGAAGGCGGGGCTCTCGTTCTCGCAGCCGTACAATATCCCGACGGCGGTCAAATTCGTTGCTAGCACCGTGCAGTATCTGGTCACTGGTACAGGACGCCTCGCCACGAACGTAAGTTCCGCCTACTCCTTTCTCCTTTCTCCTTTTCTTTTCCCATCGCTGAACGCTGTGCTGCGCACCGCAATAATGACCACAGGTCGGCGAAGCCGTCGCGTTCATCCGCTCGAACGACCCCGCGCTCTTCCCCGAGAGCGAGTGGCCGGCGCCGATCGAGGACGCCAACTCGGGCCCGGAGAGCCCCGATATTGAGCTCATCCTCATTCCCGTGCCGCTGGCGCACAACAAGTACTGCACCATCAAACGCGGCTTGGAAGGGTACACAATTATCGTCACGAACCTGCGCCCGACGAGCGCGGGCTCGATCAGACTGAAGAACAGCGATCCGTTCGACGCACCTCTGATCGATCCCAAGTGCGTGTCACGTCCCCTCTGCATTTCACCGCCCAAACCACACCGCATTCTTCTCCTTACCTCATCATCGTACACTCGAGCTAACGGACTGTGAACGCACAGCTACCTCGCGACGCAGCACGACGTCGACGTGCACGTCCGCGGCGCGCGCCTCGCGTACAAGATCGCGCACACGGCGCCCCTCACGCAGATGACGGACACGGCAAACACGGACCGCATCCTCGACAATCACTTCAAGGACCTCTCCGACGCCGAGCTCGCACAGGTCGTCCGCGAGCGCGTCGAGACGCTGTACCACCCCGCGTGCACGTGCCGCATGGCGCCGCGCGAGCAGGGCGGCGTGGTTGACAAGGATATGCGGGTGTATGGGGTGAAGGGATTGAGGGTGTGCGATGCGAGTGCGTTTCCGAGGCTTGTGTCGGGGCACACGGTACGTTTCTTTGTTTCTTTCTTGTGATGGTTTGGACGACGGTTGCTGATGGATTTTGGGGTTGAAGGCTGGAGCTGTTATTGCGTCTGCGGAGAAGCTTGCGGACGAGATCAAGGCTGAGTATCGTTCGTCGAAGGCTTGAATGCGACTCTTTCCCCCGTATTTCATATGTCTTCCAAAGAAAATAGGTTATAACCCTTCTCGAATGTATTATACTGCACATTCACTAGTTTGATTCGTAGCTCGTTCCTCTTTTACACTCAGGCGTTACACAGCTAACTCGTTACACTCATCTAATACTTATCTCAAGTCTCAAACCTCACGGACTGCACCCTCCGACCACTCGCCTGAGCGTTGAGTATGGTGTTCGACAGCGGCGAATTCCAGAGTTCCCATTTCGACAGCGTTAGATGTCCCTCCCCGAACTCGTTTGGCATCGAATCGTCTAATGCTGAGTAACATGATCGGGCCCATCATGTCGAGCACAAAGGTCGGCAGCATGTAGCCCACAAATGGGCTATTGAAGTACGGTGGCTCATGTAGAGTGTGAGCAATGAAATAATGACATTTGAGGTGACGAGTGGCATCCCGCTTACCAACGTGATACTAGGTACAGGGAGAAATGTAACTGCCACCAGGGTCCATGAAAATGACGCTCTGCGAGTGAGTTGATCAGCAACAAGATCGAGTTGAGATATCGGTTCTATCTCACATGAAAAAGTAGAACACATGGTCTCGTGTCATGATGGCTATCAAGGTGCTAAAGCTCCATAGCGAGTCGCCGTGTGGCTGAAGCATATGCTTGAAAACTCGATAGAGCACCAAGGCAAGCAGGATTATGTCGTAGACGCATGTAGCAAAGTTGCTTGTGGCTATCAACGTCGAGACTGTAGTTGGAAACTCATAGTGGCAAACGGCCGGTTGTGTCGATATGGCTGAACACCAAGTGTACGCGGCCATCAGTAAGCCACACTACATGAGGAACTTAGATACTCTTACGATATGCACGTGCGGTAGCTGCGTATGGCAGGAAGGCCGCAATACCGAGCGCTTGGGCGATAAAAAAGCAGGTGGCCAGGAATATGAGTATGCCTCTAGACCTGTCGTACATGGCATACACCCTGACGCCCATCATCACTGCGATGATAAAATTTTGTAGCGCAACGTAGACGGTTGCTCGTGACGGTTGTGCTCACCGTTCAAACCGACTATTTGTGCGAACTCGAGTGGACCTTGGCCTACTATTGCAAATAGCACACCTGAAAGTGAAAGAACGTCAGGACCGAATAAATACTCGTTTCTCTCCTCTTACACCTGTGGTTTAGTCAGAAAGGATGACAGAAGATAACCTTCAAGATCAGAATATTGCTCGGGTTTACACCTAAGGTGCTTACGTCTGCAGAATGGGAAAGTAAGTAAGACGCACAGCGGATGCAATAAACTGGTATGTACAGTCGAAGATGGAATGAAGATCCAGACTGAAAGACGATAAGTCGTGAGGAGTTAAACTTGAATCTGAACAAGGCACATTCTATAATATAGACTGACATATATTGCAAAGGCTGTCAAATTATAGATTTATTAGTATCTTACAAAAGTGAAGATTCAAGACTAAAAGTGTGCATACAGGACTTCGAACAATGAGCCGTATGTGAGCTTTCGCATTCAGTCAGTTTGAGTGGTTAATTAGTACCGTGTCGCAAAGAATCACTCACGAGACCATATAGTATCATCGAACCCTTAGAGTTCCCGCTTTTCTAGATGTCATTTAGACACGAATGCAAGGGATTGTACAATAACTCTCACCCATATAAGGTCCACCTATTTCAGTGATATCGGGCGGTAAGTGACCTGAGTAAAGCGTTTCTTCAGGTAAACTTGCCTCTTGGTCTAAATTTAGGACTGATGGTTCACGTTAGTTGGTGGCGTGCACCATAGGTCTCGATGACTTACGAATCCTGTAGGGCACTAGAACCGACATTGCGACTGCAACATGTAATATGTTATAGCAGGGGAATGTGGTAACGGCGCGGATAAATACTGACAGTTGGCGTAGTTGCTGACTTGCAAATTCCATAACACTGAAGGGTCCATGTCCACAGAGAATATGTAGATACAGTGAGGTGATATGAGGGGGAAACCTGACGACTGACCATGCTCACACTTTATACTCCTAGGTCGCATCCAACGGAGGCCGCATGGCATATGTACGGAAAATTCCGCGTTCCAAGCTTCCATTCTTTGTTCATCAATGTCTTGCTAGATGTGTACTTGTTCGGGTCTCTCCATTACACCTATTCTCACCCTGTCACGAGCAAAAATACAGGCTCGTCTATTTCTCACCTTCTAGCTCAGTATCAGATCTATCACCATCGCTTGGATCACAGATATGCCCATCACTTGGACGGCAGCAAGTTTTGTGCTTTACAGCTGAGATTCATGGGTCCCATTCCTTGTACCAGTGGCATTGCTCCAAGTTTATGTCCGGACTTCCCTATGTTTTGATCGGCTCTCCTGCAAGTCTCGTAGCGTTGAAGACCAGATAGATCATATGCGAAAGGCTAGCTACAACAAAAGGCAAGAACTCTGGTTATACGAGAGCATCTTGGACAAGGTCGTTAAGACAGCGCTTATATTCAAGACAAAGATCCACACTTCCAGTACGAATACAACTACATATTTATATTCAGCGAGAACTGTACATGTTACAGACTAATTATGAACTTTCAATACGTTTGTAGCACTCCGAAATTTAATCGATCCGTAAATAGTTCAAACGGCCGTGAAGGTACTTGCAGACCTTTCACCTGTGCATTGGGAACGGCCTTCGACTACAGCGAATTGAATACCATCCATCTCCACTGTCCAGGGTTCTCCGTGTTCGGCTTGTTTGGCGTCAAAGCGTCGAATACTGAGAAACATGATCGGGCCCAACATGCAATTCCCAAAGATTGATATCGCGTTTGTGAACACGACCCATAGCAAAAAGGTCGCCTAAGTTCGTATGAGATTTAGCCGCTCTGGTCATTTACAACTCGGCACTTACCAGTGATACAGAGCGCATAGGGAAGTAAGAGATCATTTGGACTATCCAATTGAGGGACGCACTAGCAGAAACATCTGTGTTAGCTGAAAGCATGATGGCAGACGAGCATGCAACGAAGTGACTTACATAAGAAAATAAAAGACGTGATCTCTAGCCACGATGGATAGGAGAGTGTTTAAGCTCCATAGTGGACCACTGAGACCGTCTCTGAGGCTCACGATCATACTATAAACCACCATGAAAAGCAACATGACTTCGTTGGCACAAATTGCGATAGCGCTCGCAATAACAAGCCAATCAGCATAAAGGGGGAATGTGAAATAGCAGACTCCTGGTGACTCTTCCGCCACTGTCGTGAGGAAGATGCTTAGCAAGGGAGGTGGGTTGGGAACTAAGTCGAACGAACCCACGTACCAGTAACACCCATGGTGACCAATAAGACTACGGTTGCGACAATGTTGAGAGTTTGCGTAGTCGCAAAACAAGTGCCAAGAAACACTAGTACTCGCCGAGACCTGCCGTACATCGCATACACCCTCGATGTCATCATCGCTGTCAATCAAGTTAATTCATTAGTGAAATGTGCGCTATGAGGTCATGCGCTTACCACTCAGACCGAAAGTGAGAACTGCGGGCAGTATAGCCATACTCATAGAGACATTGGCCAAACCTTTACACATAATTTAGTAAGATATCAAATCTAGCATGACTGGAGCCCCTTACATCTACACAAGACGTAGTAGAAAGTTTAGCCATAACGGCGTCAGTTGTTACGCAGGAACGTCTCCAAGGAAACACCTCACGCCTGCCGTCCGTCAAGTTGTTAATTTTAAGTAGATGCCTCGTGTAGAAGGTGCGGCGCTCACGTTTTGACTGAGTTTATTGTTGCCCAGCATCGGAACTAGACGTTGACACGCTGAGATTTGAGTTGCATGGAGTTAAAACAGCGACTTACGAGATACAAAGCTACGAGGGCGTATGAGATCAGGAAGAGCCAACAAGATCTGAACGCGAACCAAGTACTCACATAGCTTGCAATATTCCGCCGTAGGTAAGCTTTTGTACGCTCCGTTAATAAAACAAGGTACACCCGTTTTTACAATACCTCACTATTCCGTATAATGTCATGGAGCTCTTCGAGTTTTTGCCCTTCTGCATAAATCGCAGAACAGGTTCGTTGGTTATGCAAGAGGTGTAGCGGTGATACTTACCCATACGAGATCAATCTTAAAGCCATCCGAGCGGGTGTATTAATGTAATCAGCTCAAAGAAACTCGAGGAACTAATCAATTGGAAGCTTACCTCTTGATCTAGGTTGAGGACTAAGAAGGGGATGTGATATTAGTTGTGAGCTACGGTACGGATGAAGGACGTGTGACTCACGGAATCTGTACACAGACAGAACTGACGTTGCAACTGGATAGGAAGGTTTAGAGGTCATACGTAGCTGAAGTCAAAGCAATCCTCACGGAGGGCGAAATCAAACGTCTGCGCAGTCTCCACTGCAATGGTGACTGAGTTGTCGGACATCGTAGTACACTGCACAGAGGGCTTGGAAGGGAGCGCTGATGTTAGGGGAAATCGGCAGCTTATCGGAGGGCCATCCCTTCAGTTTGTAATCCTTATACTTCGTATCGTCTTGAAGCTGTGTCCTCTCATGGTAAACTCGGGGGACTTTAAAACGAGGCATCGGCATGCCCTCACCAGGCTCACAGTTCTATCAACTCTGCCGCTCATACCGTTCACAAATACCCTTGTGACCACATCCAGATACTATAATGGGCATCAGCGGCGTGGACATCTGACATCTATTCGTACCTGATAGCCAAAAATAATACCCTCAGGATTCAATGGACTATGAGCGCTGAGCGTCAGTCTGACCGCTCACTGTCACTGTCAATGGGAAATGAATTAACGAGGCTTGCGCCACACAGCTTAAATGGGCGTACGCTGACGTTGAAACGTTGATTGTGGCTGTAGGTCTTTGCTGTGATCGATCGTCCTGACAGTGGGTCGCCGGTATCTCGCAGGTGCCGGTTAGCACTGATTGAGCTAACAGCGCGATTGATTTGTAGGGCTCGAAGTATAATATTAAGGATTCCACCCATTACCACTGTCAAACCCAGACCCGGGAACAATGTGCGCATGTGCTTACCAGCCAAAGATGAAGTCCTCCAGATTTCATCGAGGTCGGGCGAATTCACCTTGTAAACTTTGTTACCACAGATTACTATAAGGAAAATGTCGTGGAGACACCCATCGATGGCGACATATGATCAGTTGATGATCAAGGAAGCAGTGTTATAGGTCGGACAGTCACATCGTGGTATTCGCGCTCTGTCAGTTTAGGTGCGCAGCACAGCACTTCGGAACATTCCGAAAGCTTCGCCCTCCGAATCCGAGACAAGGTGCCCCTATCTTGCACCTCTGCTATCCTCACGGCGGTGATACTCACCAGTCCTCACCGTCTCGATTGAGCTTCCTTCGCGCCTCATGTAAACACCAATGGCCCAATGGGCTTGCTGTGGGGTGTACATGTGGCGAATGCAATCACATGATCGTGGGGCAAAATGTGGCTCACCCTCTGACAGGGTTGGAGCAAGACACAAACAAACACGGAGATATACATATAAAGTGGGTAGCTCGAACAACCGTCCCCTTTCACACACCCTTTGAACACGTTCTCTGCCAACGTTACCAAGTACTCAACTCTGTATTACCGACTCATCTACTATTCGATAAACCATGGGCGGAGGCAAAGGCGGCTCCTCTTCCTCTAGCGGAGGGTACACCTACACCGGCTCAGGCACCAACAGCCAGGTACTCTCCCTCCTTGCAGTCCTTCGACCATCGCACGTTTTATGTTTACGCACGCCATAGGGTAATCACTACTGCTCTCGCGACTACGGTGACTCTGGTTCTGGTTACCACTACTCCAACACGTAAGTTTCTCTCGGTGCTCTCGGCAAGCCGCCAGTGCTGATAGTGGTTGGCCGCCAGTGCTGATAGTGGTTGACCGTCAGCGATGGGAGCTACTACTACAGCAACCCAAACGGGTCCACGTACTATGACAGCGGTTCTGGCTACTCTCAGTACACGTCTCCCAGTGGAGACACGACCAAATCATCCGGAAAGTGATTGTAGGATATTAAACTGTATATTCATGAAGTAGCACCGGTTAGCAGAGTTTGTACTATGCAGTTGTATAACAAAGCGATGGGCACGCCCCCGAATATCATCTGGCTGCCCCTAGAACTTCAATCCGCTCCAGGACGGACACTAGGACTTGTCTTCAGGCTCACCGCCGCTCCCAGACTTCATCACGATAAAGTGGGAACTCCCTAGCCTCATGTTATCCTTATGTTTGAGCCTATCTGCTTCTTCCGTCGAAGAAACCCCAAAAAGCGCGATAGGTTACGACATCGACGGACTGAGGGGTCGGCGGAGACAAAGTACCTTCCTGTGGGGATCTTCAGATCTCAGATCAAAACGCGGGGCGCCGCTCTCATTAATTGCTTCCGAGACGCGTCGACGCGTTTCCCGAAATCAAGTCGCGTCAGAACTGCGTGCCTGCCCTCTTTACGCACGCCGCTACAAAGCTGTATGAAGATAGGGGCATTTATCACAGGACAATGCTTGAATTTCTCGTACTCGCGAATACAAGCTAGGGTTGATAGTCGCGCTCAAGGATGTGGATGCCCCCAAGGAATGCGAGGTTTCATCATCATCCCGACGAGGGTGAATGTCATAACGCATCTTTCAGGCGCAATGGCATTCCCTCAGCGCGGACGTTTCCTAGTCGCTCGCTACTATCGGGCTCACACAAGCGTGCCAAAACGCAGCCGCACGGGCATGCCACCAGACCGGTGCCAGTGGCCACATCAAAGAGACAAACAAACAAGGACCGGGCCGGAATATAAAAGGCGGCAAACATGTCGTGCTGCCTTTCTTCACCAACCACTCCCGTTAGCATCTTCCACCCATCACTACCACTCATCTCATTGGGCACACCATGGGCAGAGGCAAGGGAGGCAGTTCTAGCAACTCTTATACCTACACAGGCTCGGGAACCAACACCCAGGTACACTTCGCAGTCTCTTTGCGCCTCGTCTGTTTTATTAGGCTCACCACGGGCTTTGTGTTAACTCATATATAGGGCAACCACTACTGCTCTCGCGACTACGGCACCTCTGGCACCGGATACCACTATTCCAACTCGTACGTTCATTTTGCCTTCCCATGCTCGGAAACGACCTGACCACAATCCTATCGCAGTAACGGAAGTTACTACTACAGCAACCCTAACGGCTCGACGTACTACAACAGCGGTAGTGGATACTCGCAGTACACCTCCTCCAACGGGTACACCAACAGGTCGTACGGAAAGTGATGGTGGAGCAGGATGCATGATGTCCTATCTGCGCTGAGGATACGAAATGCATATCGTAGTCTATTAATTCTGATGCTTAATGGCGACCTTTGACAAAGTGTGACCAGATAGTCAATGAACTCGAGCACATCGGTACCCTTCATAGTCTTACTCGTGCAATGCGTTCCCATGCTTCGGAACGTACTCGAATATTCTAGGAACTTCGTGTGAGTTCTGATGCATTCTGGGATCAGCAACGCAATAACAGAGGACGCGTCCGGCTGCATGTTGCTCCCGATACGCGTCAACGCGTCTGCGTCATCCCCTCGTCGCGATTTACATAAGGCCGTGTTCCTTTTTCCTTTCTTCCTTCTCGAGTTACCAACAAATGAGCAACTTTCTTCAGTACCTCAGCTTCGGAAAGCTTGAGTCATTGATGAACGTGAACCTTGCGCATGCCAGGACGAGCAACCAACTTTATTGGAATGGGCTCTACTGGGCGCTTTTGACAAAGAGTAGGAATTGTTGGGCAATCAATTTGTAGCCGCCCTCTTTGCTGAAACCCCGCCCGACACCCTCTTCGGAACGCGGTCATACAATGATGTCGTCCAAACAATCACGCCATCAATTACAACACTCAACTATAAAACGACGAAATGATGGCATGTAGTATGTATTTTCATTTTCCCATAAAGTGTGTGTGACTGTAGCCATACAAGTCACTATCAATAGATACATGGCCTCTATGCCACTTTGGCTTGATATCTTCTAACGTCTCCTCCAACCTACGATAGCATCTCTCGGGCGGGGGATCTGTAGGAAGGGGATAAGCCTCGGGATTGGTGGTGGCAAGTGCGATGCACCACCACCGGTCGGGGTCATAGCCGTGTTGAACCGGAATCCTCAGTTTTTGCCTCGTGTCAACTTTTGCACGTAGTCCACAGAAAAACTGATGATTGGCATCCCTTTCCAAAACTCCCGGTGGCGGTGGTCCCCACTGGGCTGTGGCCTTCTGTTTCAAACAATTGTCGGATAAGGCAAAGCCCCAGAACTTGGGTAGTACACGAAGAGCTGATGAGGAGATATGATGTGTGTGAGGAATGGATATGCTGATGTTAACGTGGGACGTACGACGCCAGCGCATATTCTGCGAGATTTGTAGCGATGACTTGAAGCGGTAATAATGGCCTGGCAAGTGTGGATAGGCTGGAAGTCGTCGGCGTCCGAAGGAATGAAGTTCGAGTGCGTTAGAGGGCGTTGCAATTTATGCTCGTGAGCTCTTATACGGTCCCAAAAAGGGGCTACCTGGTGGCGAGACTCAATATACTCAGGGGATGGCAGATAATACGGAGGGGCTGGCGAGCCGAGAAGCTCCCAAGGAGTAGGGGCTCCGAAAGCACCAAAAATGGAAAAGAGGCGGCAATGCAGGAGATTTCATGTGATGCGCTCTGGCTCGCTTGGAGAGACTTACAGTTGTTTTCAAACGTTATTATTCTCGTTGACTCACTGGAGGGCTCGTCCCTGACACGTCCCACAGCACATCATGCTGTGTCGCTCGGCCTACGGCGTCTGCACCCCATACCTCGCCGCTGCCGGCGCCCTTTTTCGCATGCCGCGCATGCTCGCGCAATCCGCGTCTTGCTTACGCAGGGCAACCTGCCTCTTACTCGCACCGCAGATGCGAGTCGAGCTCTCGCCCGCGGGCGAGGGTCTCGTATCGATCCTGTCCGCCATGACGGGATTATGACGCTGTCTCGGGAAGCGTTCGTATGTCGACAACCGCGGCGCCTTGCTAATTAATCTCGGATACGACATTTCCGCTGCTGCGGCCGCTCGCTCACATTCACGCTTTGCCAGCTTCATTTTCTCGATTACCCACCCTCCTTCCCCCGGTATCTAGCACAATCTTGTGCCATGTCGATGCGCATGAATCACCGTGAACTTGAGTATCCGTGGTACAGCTACTGGATGTATCATTTGCTCGATCTCACGAACGGAAACCCTCGACTTATCATTTCACCGCAGCATCCTGTCCAGTTTTCACCAGAAGCCCTTGCAGACCTTAAAGTTGTCGCTACCAAGAAGATAGGGTTCAGACTGGCAGACTTAGCCGTTGTTAAAGTGAAACCTGAGACCGCCATACATTTTAACGCCATCACTTCAAAGTGGACTCCACGCTCCGAAGGCTCAGTTGAAGCCACGGTAGAGACAAAACGTTTCACGAAGAATGCCTTTAGCCTTGATCCTCACCTACGGGAGAAAGAGGTGCTCGATCGCATCCAGGAGGCCAAAGGCGGTGTACTAGAAAAAGCGGCGTGGGTCATCGCAGGGAATCCCTATCAGATCTCAGTCGAATGTATTGTGGCCGTGGGTCGGTTCAATCTAGCCTGCTTGTTCTTATGTTTCTTCCATTGACGCCATTTTAGGCCCGTACTGGTCATGCGCTACGATTAAACGAGAGTCAGTCCGCGCTAGGATCACTGAAATCCTCCGCGGTGAGAATTTCCTCTCCCAAAACCCGCCTTACATCCTCCTCCCGATGAATATATACACTGGTCCCCCGTGTTGCCAGTTGATGTGCATGGATCACTGGTCTATCTTGAACATATTAGAGAGGTCATATCCAGGCTTTAACGCTCTGCCAGTCCAACTCTGGTTTCTGAGTTTGGGACTAAGCACCTACTACTTATATAAATGCTCAATATTATCACTATATATTTTGACTTATGCTTCGCCTGACAGGACTGGGTCATTTCCGAACTTGTGCTCGTTCTGTTTACCTTTGCTCTACGAAGGATTTATTGATGATGGAGTACGAAGGATTTATTGACGGTGGAGTACGTGTCGGAAAGCTCGCCAATAAAATTTAACCCAAAAGTAGTGCGGAAAGATATTTGAGAAAATCGGTAAATTTCGGTGCCATTCATCCTGGCGGGGAATCATAGTATTACATTGCCGTTCTTGGACCAGCAATCACAGAGACGCGTCCAGCCGCCTGTTACTACCGAGACGCGTCAACGCGTCATTCCGTCCCCCCCCCTCGTCGCGATTTACACAAGTATTCCTTCTCCTTCCTTCCTTCCTTCCTTCCTTCTTCAATTACCAACAAATGAGCAACTTTATTCAGTACATCAGCTTCAGACAGCGAGTTAATCTGCTCCGTCGATTACAGCCAATCGAGCTTGTGCAACAATTACCCGAGTCAAATCAGTACAAACGAAAGTTACTTTACGTGCGGTTTCAACTATTTACATACGAATGTACAACAGTCCAATCAAGTCACCAATCAATACGAAGATGAAACCCAAACATAAGATTACCACCAAAACACAGCCCAAGCACCCGCCCCCAACCCTGTAAGCATGATTCCCCATCCCACCGTCCTCCTGACAACCCCGCCATTCAGCTCCCCATGGCTCGTCGACGCGAGCTGCCGGTTCTTCTCGGAGCCGCCGTTGCTCGTCGCGAGCGCGCTCGGGTCGATCGTTACCGTGTTGAGCACCTTGGTCGCCGCCGTGGTCGGGTACGTCTGCGTCGCGGTCGGCAGCGCGTCTTGCTGCGCGCTGCCTGAGTTCAGAAACACGAGCGCGGCGCCGGGTGCGGGGACGCGCACGGTGCACGTGTTCGCGTTCGTATCGCATTGTGCGGTGGAGGGAGAGGGCGCGCCTTGGAGGCGGCCGTCGGATTCGAAGAAGCCGCCGAAGGTCTGCACAAGGGAGCCCAGGTAAGATGCGGCGGAAAGGAGGGATAGATGGGATAGCGCACCTGCCCCGCCCACGTAATGTTAAACTTCTCCGCAACACTCGGCGCCACGAGGTACTTGACCATCATGCTACTCGGTACACTCCCGCCTGTTGAGATCGCAACGCTGACGTCACTCGCGCCGCTCGGGTCCGTGACGTAGTTTAGCAGCAGGACACGTGCGGGTGCGCCGTTCTCGTAGATAGCGTAAGCGGGAGTGTATATGCTGCCATTGTTCGCGTTCAGGTCGACCACCTGCGCGGAGCCCGTGTGGCCCAGCGTTTCGGCCATAACGAGCGCGGAGTAGAAGACAGAACCGATGGTCCATTGCGCGAGGCCGGAGAGGTTCCCAGGAGGCGCTTAGGGATTAAATGAGCTACGACGGACGGCATCGAGACGATGGAGATCATCCTTACGAGTAAACGGCTAACATGCACCAGTTCATGAGTGCTTCGCCTATCAGAGAGAACCTCGAAAGACTCACGTTATAATATACACCCTGCCCACCCACATGCAACAACGCTCCCGAAAAGTTCCCATACGCCATCTGCATCCCGTAGTCGAGCGCCCACAGCGATGCGCCGAAACTATGGCTCACGCCAGGGAAACCACCGCACGAGGCCGTGTTTGTCTCGAACATCAGAAACGGCTTGCCCATCTGCTGCGCGTAGGCCGTCGAGTTCAGGTAGGACGCAACGATGAGCTGGCCCGAGGTGTGATTCAGGTAGTCAGAGAACACGTCCTGTGGTACACGTGGCGAGCCGATGCCGTATTGCGCGTAGCAGTTGTTATCTGGGTAGCTATTCGAGTAGAGAGTGGTCAAATAAGCTCCAAGGGAACCAGGCGAAGACGAGAGAGGAGAGACGCACTACTCGACCGCAAGGTAACCAATTTCCGAGTCGTACGTGGAAACGAGTCCGGTGTCCCACACGGACTGCTGGGACCAGGTAGTCGATATACTGGGCACGACGAGGTTGTTCCGGAATTGTATCTGACTGTCATTGTCGATAGCGTCAATGACAATACCGACTTCATTGGTGTAGTTCTGTGGCCCATAGCCGCTGGGTCGGTTTCCGTGACTGACAATGAAAAAAACGAACATGGGTCAATAAGGGTGCCAATGCCGGGAATGGACGTGAGCGCACTCAGCGTAGAGATCTGGCTGGATACGAGGGAAATATGAGCCTGGTTAATGCGGAGGGAGCGACAATTGGACGCACCTCGTTCCCGACTTGGAAGCCCAAGAGATAGTTGTTCGGGCTTAGCACCTGCTCTCCAACTTCCGCAATGCCCAGGCGAAGATTGGACGTGTCGTTGAGAGGTATGCCTGTCGCGCATGTTCAGCACTCGTACCTCACAAGTACAGACATGCAGCACAAACCCAACCACCATCTGGCGTTGACAAGGGATGAGATGTTGCCCATAGTATAGAAGACCTCGGACGTATAGACAAGCGACGGCGTTTGTGTCTAAGAAGAATGATGTCAGAGGTATGATGACGGCGAAGGACGCCTGAGAATGCTAACAGTATCGTTCAAGATGACCTCATGCTTCTCAATCATTTTCCCGTCATCGAGGGAATCCACGAGCGACGCGGTTTCTTGCGAGTTACCGCCTATACGGATGCGAACTTCGCCAGCGCGGTCGCGGATGAGGGCCATCAAGTTGAGGAAGGGGACCTGGAGGTATTTACTGTGAGACGGAGTCAGATAAGATCGTTGAGCAACTTGGAAGGAGGTTACGAATTGGTTCCCACTGTGAAAGAGTGAGTCTGACGTTCGGTCATGCGTGGGGGCAACGCTCACAAACATAAGATATGACACTGAACTCGATCGAAAAACCCATGAACGCGCCGCTCTGGGGAATGGAGAGACCATTGACCGCAGAGGACTGTGCAGCGAGCTGGATGTTAAACTGGGTTGGTAGGCCAGTAGGAACCGGGGGTGCTTGGAGGACAGCGGGGTCGTACGCGGCCGCGCCTGTGTAGTTGCCATCCGCGCCAACTGAGATGGTGGGCTTCGCGAGAGGAACCTGGGAATAAACGGTGACGCTAGCTCTCGCGATGCATGATAGTAAGAAGACGACAAAGAGGCGCATTAGAGCGCCAAGGAGGGGAAGGGGACTCGGGGTGAGCGGGATGAGGTGGTTGTTAGTGGCAGAAAGGAATGACCGAATAGGCGATGGATGCCGTCGGAGGTTGTCATGTCAGCATCGCGTCATGCCGACGACACTTACCTTCCAGGCACATCTGTCACCACCAAACCACACCGATCGACCTCGCCGTCGGTGCCGACCCTGCCTTGCTTGGAACTTTCACGCAACTTCCACGTTAGCGTGTCTCGTGTACCAACGTCCAATTAAACACAAGGACAGCTTGAGGTTTGGACATAATCGAGTGTATGTGTACCATGTCGCGTTGACGACGCACAACTCCGGCGGCCTCGGTAGCAGTAACCGGGGAAGTTTGCTGAAGCCTCTACCGAGACTTGCACCAAGTTCAAGCTCAACAGAGGATCTCCACGCGTAACGCGAGCAAGGCTATCCTTGAACTTCTTCAGTTCTCGTATGACTCGTAGTCACCGCCTAAAGGTTGTATTTCTTGTTTGTACATGTGTCATCCAAGCCCTCGGGAATCGTCCGAGGGGATCCAAATATATCCATCACACTGTCGGGTTTGGAGGAACAACTATATGGCCTTGAACGTGCCTGTATCCCCCCGCCCATAATCTAATTGAAAGGCTATGGTCCTTGTAGATGCTACGAACATACAAACAGGGGCTAATGATCCCGTTAAGCAGTCAAATTCGATCTCCGCATCTTCTGTGGCGAGCACGCGTAACACGGTCCTATCATTTCCACAACACGTCGCCGATGATTCTCTGCCACTCGGATCCTGTCCATGTAGCTAAAGCACAGTATAGCCTAGGTGAGTCTTCATTCGTGCTCGCCTTAAGACACACCTTTTTTGCTTCTGCTGTGATCGTTTGGCAGTGCATCCAGTGCAGTTTGATATCAACATCAAAAAACAATACAATCCAAGATGAAGATGTTATGTCCAGTGCATCCAATAACGTAGTTGCTCTGATATTATCCTCCCACGATTTAATATCAGGTTAAAACCATGATCACTCCTGAGGGCAGGGGACTTGAACGAGCCCGTATAACACCCTTGGTATCTGCTCACCAATGTCTCCGACTATACTCGCGCGTTCCATTTCCCCGGGATCTTGGCTACAATGGAATGCGTATGTAAGATATTTGCTAGGTATGTGAGCTTACTGGGTTTTCGCCAGTCTCTGACTCGTTTGGCAAGTGGCTGTAACGGTCGTGACTATCTGTGACTGGTGCTTTCTGCTTCAAACCGAGCTACGATACATATGGAAGCGACTGCCTTGGTTTCTGCGGGTTGCGTACGCCGTGAGCAGATACGGGGTGCTCGTCATACTATCCCTCTTCATTATGAGTGAGTGCCTCTTACACTTGCGTCAGAAGTAGCCAGCTGAATGGCACATACTCAGTGTATATGCCTCAGAACAACTTGTCGGAACACATGGTAAGCTTAAAACATTGAACAATATGGCTCAATCTAATGTATTTTCCCACAGTGAGAACAGACTCCAGGTACTCTGGAAGTATAAAACTACTCAATGTCATACAACTAGCTGCTCCTTGTCGACGTGGGTTATAGGTGTAATGTACTTCTTGTGTGATACCACAGGGAACTGTGAGCAGGTGTACTATTATCGATGATATCACTGCTCTCTAATAGATATGGCACCAGTGTTGACAGTATTCCGCGTCCTTATGCTGTGGAATCGTGACAAAAGAGTTTTCAAGTTGCTAACTCTTGGATCAGCGTGCGCATGTTCGACAGGGTTGGCATTTTTATTTGCCACTGCAAAGCGCCTACAAGTGACTGGTAAAGTACATTACTCAGGATATCGTATTGGTTAATCGATGCGAATGCAGGCCCCGATGATGTACCATCGAACCTTGTTGGAGAGTATTATCGTAGTTGCCATATGGGCAAAGGCAGCTTCTATATCATTGGTACCTACGCTTCCGAGGTATATTCACCTTCCTCGGGAAGCGTTCCGGGAAGAAGGCTAATGTTATCCGCAGGCTCTGTTTGAGATATACGCCTTTATCCTGGTTTTGTGTAACGCTGCTTCGATTCCCCGAAGACAGGATCAGGCTCTTCACGTGATGCTGATAGATCATGGTGCCCCGTTAATGGCTGTAAGTGTATCATACATCTCAGCATTCGTTCCTAAACGAGTTACTGGATTAGGTCGTATTCGGTAAGCCGCCGAAACACTTATCTGCATCGAGCTCATTTTCAGGGTATCAGCTTTGCGGCTTTTAGATATTACCCTGTCTCCCATAGGAACGGTGCGGCGATTGTAATCATTAAAGTGTTTAACTGAACTGGATCACGACCATAGGAAACGACATTCATGTTTGGGATAATGTCTGTAACAAGAAACTTATTTCTTCAAAATACTCACCTGATGTCTTCAGGATCTCTACCCCCATTATAGCTATGCTAAACGCTCGGATAATCATCAAGATCTCTCGCTACTGCGAACACTCAGAGCAAGTTTGGATGGCAGAGGGAATCAAATCGGAGCGCGAGGTGAGAACATCCTTGCACTTTAAAATCTGAGACCAGCTGTTTGCTATAAACTAAGTATTCGAAGGATCCGTAAGCACGCACCACGGGTTTCTTGCGCTCGGGTTGTCTGCGTGAGGTCACAGCCTGATGCAGATGGTCGGGATGTTCCGGTCTACCTTAGGAGATATTGTCGCGCACATGACTTCCCCATGACTTATTTACGAGTTCGACGTTGTCACGGTGCATCATTCAAGATGTTTGTTCCTGAATTAATTTCACGAGAGAAACCATAGGCAAGGCTCGGAGGTACAACTACCCGGTGTAGGTGGATTTGACCGCTGAGCCCTCTTTACCCTTTTTTACGAATCGTGGCTCGTCTTATAATGGGATCCTATAAAACCTATCGAGAGCAATCGGCTGGCAATCGGTAGTATCCATAAATTATTAAACTTCGTCCATTTAAATATGGTACCAGTAAAAAGCTCGCGGTACAAGCTTAACACTTAACCCCTGGAAATTGGCTCTGTATGAACGTATGCTGCAGGTTACCCTAACGTTAAGATCAGTCACCCAGCGCTTACCGGTCTATCAAAAGGAGCGCGATGTAATGCTGCCAGCGGCGACGGAAGAGGTTTTAGCAGAGCAAGCCACTTGACCATGTCCGTTTTCTCACGCGATGCATCACGCCCCGAGGCTAAGCGCCACATCATTCAGCACGGCCGTTAATGTGCTTGAGTGTGCTCCGACCACGACAGAAACGCCGATACAATCTACCATGACGAGGAATCCACCAAGTAGTGTACAACTTTATATGTATTTTCACTATGTCAAACGGTTCAGCATTCACTAACTTGCTTCGCGTTCTCCTATCATCATTTTTTGCCTGTTGAAACGTTGAGGCCGAGGCTCTGCTTATCAGAACCTCTTCTGGTACCATCAAGAATGGATCCACTAGATCTGTTACACCGGAATTCCACATGGAAATCCCTTGCAGCAGTTTTGCGTACTGCCAGCTTCCTTCCGTATGGAACATGGCAGGACGATCTTGCAGTGAAATCGCTGTTATGGAAGCGCTGTTCATCAGCATCGATTGCCCGGCTTCCCCTTCCTCCCAACCCAAGATAAACACGTCCTCCTCGTGTCGCACCAACTGTATCATCAAAGCGCTGGCAAGGCATTGGCTCAAGTTCGTCAAAGGCATTAATGCATTCATGATCGCCGCAAATTGAACTGTCGGCACACGTATCCGAAACGCCGAGTGCTGAGCATCCTTGATGAAATCGTTATATATAGCCCGTGGACTCGTCAGGCTCCAAAACTCGAGAGTGAGTAGATCCCGGAAATCCCGATGCCCACTGACTATGGCTAGCTCCCCCACCTCCCTTACGCATATCATTCAGGACCCCAGCATGGTCTAGGCAGCCTTTTCGCCGTCTTTAAACATGTTACAGCGGTCTTAAAGTGCTGATTGGGGGGCGCCGCGAGTCCAATGATCGCGGATGATTGGGAGCAAAACGCATACAGCATCTGGTGACTCTCCAATGAGCTGCATTGGGAAAGGCCTACATATCACCAACCCTTGTATTATGCGCTATCGCTGGGTCAACAGACCTTTTAATTTTGGCCTATTCTTGAACCATGATCCCCTCTCCTCGGGAGACTCCTTCTGCCCATCTTGATATCGATATCAGAACAGGTTGCGCCCAGAACTGCGTAGTTCGTGCTAGTGCATCTGGTCGTACATTTATAGCTTTCCTCCCACATCTTTCTGTCAGGGTTTAAAACGCCATTACCTTGAGGTCAAGGGGTTTATAGCATCACCCACAACGGCTCACAATGTCTCTCCTTCTTGCGCGTTCTTCAACTCTGGTCGTTGGGACAGAGTGGATGGATGTTGCAAAGTACCTGATAAGTAAGTGATCCATATAGGATATCATCATACTCTCTGATTTCTTGTAAAAGCGGCTATAACTGCCATAACCATTTGTGACTCGTGCTTTCTCCTTATGACTGAGCTAAGATACATATGGGGGCGACTCCCTTGGGGTTTGCAAGTTGCATACGCACTAAGCAGATACGGGGTGCTTGTCATACTGTCCATGTTCATCCTGAGTGAGTGTTCGGTCTACCTTGCGCCGTCCAAATGTCTAAACGAAGGCTGTAAATCAGTGTTCATGCCTCAGACGGTGTTGTCGAAGCATATGGTAAGCTTAGAAACTATAGTGATGGGTTGATTGTAGAACTAAAACTAATTCTATGGCAGTGAGGACGACTTCTACCAAACCCACACTATATACCAGCTTACCACGCTCCTTCAATTAGCTGCTCCTCGGCGGTGTGGGTCGTAGCAATCGTGTACTTTGTATGCGATACTACGGGAAATCGTGAGCATGATCAGTATTTTTTATAAGTCTACTAATTTACACGGAGAACGATCCTAGTATTGACAGTATTTCGCGTTTTCATGTTGTGGAATCGCGACAGAAGAGTGTTCAAGTTACTACTTTTTGGATCGGTGTGTGTATGCCTAGTAGGGCTCGCATCCTTGCTGGCAGATGCGGAACTGCTGACGAGTGAGAATCGCTCCCCAACACCACGAATATCTGACTGATATATGTGTGGATTCCGCAGCCGACATTATGGTACCGTCACGGACTGCCAGTGAAAAGTATTATTCCACTTGCGGGTTGAGCAAGGGAAATTTCTACATCGTTGGTGTTTACGCCTCTGAGGTATGTTTTAAATCCAGTAAAATGACCCACACCCTCTCAAATTGCTAGTAGGCTGCGTTCGAGTTATATGCCTTATTCCTTGTTGTATGCAACGCAGCCGCAATTCCCCGGAGATCTGAACAAGTTCTTCGTGTGATGCTCACAAAACAGGGTGCTCCACTAATGGTGGTAAGTGTACCGTACGTCTTACTATGTAACTCCAAACGAACGGCTTGGTTAGATTGTCTTCGGTAAGCTACTAAGATGGCAACAAAAACAAAGGTCACTCGAAAGTTATCAGCATTGCGGCTTTTGGACATCACAATGGCTGTCGTGGGAGATGTGAGTTTATTATCCTTGATGAGAGCCTCATTAAAACCGAAGTCACAGAACACCACGTACATGTTTGGGATGGTGTCAGTAACCCGAAGTGCCACTCTTCGGTCATCACCACTGGCGCTAACCGGCACCTTCTGTTTTTAGGGTCTCCGCACCTGTTATATCCATGCTAAATGCTCGCATTTTAATCAAAGTGTGCCAGTACTGCGAACGATTGGAACAGACCTGGCTAGTAGAAGATATGAGTGCTCTTGATTTCGAGGTGAGTCCATTCATGTTTTCGCATACAGGGCTAGCCTGTGATACTAAATAATTGAAGGACACCTAAATGTTAAGGTTCCTTACCTCTTCCCTTCTGTTGATGTTGTAGTATGCTTTCTCTGATGTTTTGTTTTGGGTTTGGAACATATATGCAAGCCATCTTGAAGGTACTTATTCACAGTAGCTTGCTTCGAGCAGGCTCTTCTCTTCCTGTCTCAAAGCTAAGCGGCGGCGGCTGCTACATCGGTCGTCTATGTACGGACTTAAAGTTTCATCAATCTCATGGCAAGCGGAATGGTCCAATGGTCCCGTATATCTGAGCCCTTCCAGTTCCACATCACAAGCTACAGACCGGAGTATCCTCATCAAGCTCTCAGACTACACCGCTTCATGAATGGTCAGCCAATGTTCGATGAGCTCATCAGGGTGTCGATCATCAGTGAGAACGTTTGCGTTGATCTTGACGACCTCGAGCCCGAAGACATCGACACGGAAGACTCTGATTTGAACACCGATTCAGAGGATCCCGACTCGTACGACATGGATCTCGAGGTGTGTTTTGGCTCTGCAAGTTCGCCACGTCTAAGCAGCTGCGGTTTGTTGAACGTTGCGAAACGAAACTATGTCCTCCTCTGCCCAGCTGCGGGGTTCATATCACGGGAATTTTCCACAGCATTTCATCGCTCCGCAGAATTGGACGCGTATAATTGTCCGGGATTCGACGACTAGCTCCTTGGCGCGTTAGCATTCTGCAGCGAGTCGAGCGCAGAGGCTGAGGGCATCGCCTGTTCGAAGCTGGAGTATACCAACGTCAATGGGTGCACGTTTTCTCCAAGCGCCCTAAAACGCATGTGCGAGATGCGGCTGGATATTGCTCCCCCATCAAGAAGTTAGTAGTGATAGACGGGCCTGAGCTTGATGAGATTCTCCAGAACTGGTTCGAGAAACATATAGGGAGGCATTTCAAGTGCTCAGAGAAGAGGGTATGGTAGTAATGAGGTACAGCAACTTTGCATAGTCGATGTCTAGTTACTAGTTACCTCCAATATCGATGAGAGTCTGATGCAATTAGCAGGAGACTCGATCAGGCTAGTTGTCGCGATCTTTGCAATGAGCAAGTCGTTTGAACTCCGCCCACATCCGAGCTGGATGGCGACACCCCTTCTTCAGCGTTTCAGCTCCTCCAGCTTTTTTCGACAGAAACGCCGTCCACCATTCGCGTCGCTCAGCAGCTACTCAAAAACCCCTCATACGTTCCACCCACTGATTCGCACTGTTTGGGTGCATCGGATTTCTCGCGCAGGAAGAGCGTATTTATGCTTGGCTCTTGCGTACGCCCCAGTCAAAGGTGAGTCCTGTCTCTGTCAAACGGGTTCCTCTACTAAGGAGAACAGAAACTTATCGTTGGACAAGGATGTCAGCTCCCGACAGCCGTTTTCTTGTCATGGATTTGCCGCCTGAAGTTCTACTCATGGTCTTCAACTATGCAAGCCAGCCTCGGGAGATTGAAGAGGGCGAGCTCGAGAATGAAGCTTCCGAGGCGATGGTCTATCACGCGCAGCACGTTGCAGAGACTACTGCGTCGACACTTCCTTTTGTGTGTCGACGATGGCTCGACGTCGCCGCCATGGAGCCAGCTTACTGGAAGAACCTGGACATCAACATCGATGGCCCTTCATTTATCCCCACCGTCATAGAAACATTCTTCATAGCCTCCAGAGATTCTCCTATTGCAGTGACCATTGCCCCTCCTCTAGGCAGCCTATGCTCGCTCACCGCATCTCAGGAGCACGCGCGGTGGCAGTTCATCATGAATCACATGTCACCGCATCTCGGGCGGCTGACACGCCTCTGCATCACAACCTACTACCGCTCTACGACTGTCCTTATCAGCCGTTTTCTAGACGGTGCTACCCTGTGCCTCGACGAATTAAAACTTACCTCACGGCGAACGGACGACACCTCTCCGCTTCAGATTACCTCACTGAACCTTGCTTCAAGTCGCCTGAATGAACTATATGTCGACGCGGGGAGCTTTGTCGACCTGATGGACGCCAACATACAATGGCCGTCCGACGAGCCATCTGAATTAAACCTCAAAAGATATCGGCCAACTTCGCCTGCTCTCGCGCTGAGCCCGGCACGGCTCATGGCCGCCTTGCAGAAGTTCGAACAAGGTCGTTCGTGGTACCAACTCGCAATCGACGACGTCCAGTTTGACCCGCACGATCCCCCTCCCGATGATATCGCCCTCCGAGAAGTGTCGCATATTGAGCTCGTTGACCTTGATGGGCCGTTTATGCCGATGATCTGCGAGGCTGCGAGGCGGTCCTCCCGCCTTGACAGCAATATGGAGACCATGTCGATCCTCGAGCAGTTGCTATCAAGGGTGGTAGATATTTCATCCCTGGGGGCAGGTATATAAATTCTCAATTGCCACTGATTTTCGATGATGCGTTTCCTGGCTAGGAGTGAGCCGTTTCTGGAACTTTCAAAGGTGCTGACGCATCTTTGCTACGATTGCTTTCCATGCACACTTTCACTGACCATGTCTGATCTGGGATGGTCCATTTTGCCTCCGGGCCGGTCAAGCGGACATTTCAAACTCCGCATGTCCCTTTCGCCTCGCGGCGTTGAACTTGAACGTTTTCTGAAGAACAACGTTGCACTTCAGCTTCAGCTTTCATTGTAGCTTGGAAAGACTCGTAAGTCTTTGGGCCCTTTGTGACGAGCCCTCTTCCGACATGTTCGCCTAGGTTCCTGATTAACTGAAGAAGCCTGTAGCATCAAGCACTCGAACCAAACTCGAACATCTTAAAAACGCGACGGTGAGATTTCAAACTTGTTACCGGAGAACTACGAAGTTCTTATAGGAAAGTAGCATTCTTGTTCCATACTACAATGTCAACAGCTACCACCCGCGATGTACCCCCCTCTCACTCTCCTATCATGGACTTGCCAGCCGAGGTGCTACTCGAGATCTTTGATTGGACGAGCCGAGACCGGCCGGTCAGAGTGCCCAACGACGACCTCAGCACCCAATTTTCAAGTGTATACCATTTTCACGAAGCTCAAACGACGATGTCCACCATGCGAGCGCTCGCCATGGTCTGTAGACGATGGCTCGACGTCCTTGCCATGAGGCCGGAGTACTGGGAGCAGCTCAAGATCAACATCGACGGCCCTACCTTCATCCCCGCAGCCATAGAAACTTTCTTTGTAGCTTCTCGCGATAACCCTATCGAGGTCACCGTATACCCTCGCGAGTTTGAGCCGTGCACCCTCACTGCTGCCCAGGAGCGAGACCGGTGGGCGCTTATTATGCGACACATGGCGCCGCACCTTGGGCGGCTTTCCCGTCTTTCCGTCACGACCTACTTCCGCTCCACTATTGTCTTCATCAGTCAGTTCCTTGATGGAGCCACGCTTACCCTCGAGGAGCTGGAACTCAAATCGCGTCAAACGGATGATACTTCCCCTCTCCAGATATCCACTCTCCGTATGGCGGACATCGAGAGCCTCCACACCGACGCCGAGAGCTTTGTCAACCTCATGGGCGCCATAGAATGGCTGTCTGGTTCTGGCACGCTTGGAAAGATTGGCATTACCGGATACCGACCAGAGTCCCCGCTCCCCGCAGCAAGCCCAGCTCGCCTTATTGCCGCTTTGGACAAGCTCAATGGCCTGGATGTGCGTATGTATATACTCTCAATCACAAACGTCAAATTCGACCCCAACGACCTCCCTTCCGATACTCCATCACTCCGTTCCGTAGCGCTCCTCACTCTCGAAGAGCTCGAGGGTCCATTCGTACCGATCATATGTGACGCTACCAGATCAAGCGTACATTTAGAGGACATTCATGTCGAAAAGTGCGAAACCCCTACGTACAGCCCACTACCGCCTGGGAACCTCAACATTTCGGGTATACCATCTGGACCGTCGCTACTCCACTTGCTTCAAGGGTTCGAGGGAACGGATATCATTCTCTATGACTGTCAGGGGTTCGACGACTGGTTCCTTGGCGTGCTGTCGGTTCGCAACCAGACGGATGGTCGCTTTCAAGCATGCCCGAACTTGCAAAACATGGAGCTCCGAGACTATCACTTCTCTGCAAGCGCACTGCGGCGCATGTGCGAAGCGCGGTACGATAACACTCAAACGCGGATCAAGTCACTTAGCGTCTATGGCCCGAAACTCGATGATGAGTCTAACGCCTGGCTTGAGTCGCACGTCGAGGATTTCAGCTGGGAGGAAAGGGAACTGTCGGAGCTGGAAAGGCTTCGGAAGCTCCAGGAGTTGTTGTCCAGTATGGGTGGCCTGGGGAGTTTGATCCCGGCGACACAAATGTAGATACTTATAATCCCTAGGGTTATCAGATATCGGAACTCTAGTTAGGCTTTACCTCACATATGTTACTTACGGTTGAATGCATGATATTGTATAGGACGCTGGAGCCAGAGCTCGCTCGCTAACCGAAAGCGGCGCTCATGATGTTTCCAACAGCATACATCCCCCTGCGCTATCGACACCATTGTCATCGAAACAAGTGAAGTGTCCTCATGTGTAGGTACACCTGTACCGACATGCGGCATGACCGCATCGCATCTCAGCAACTGCCATCTAGTCCAAGTTACCGATCGCCCACTCTGACATCCAGGATGCAGAGGATCGAAACATGTCTGGTATAGCTTTATCCCACTTTTGCGCACAGATGTAGTTGCGTTACTATCAAACTCTGCGAAAACATGTGCAACATTAGCATTGATCTATACCCGACAGTAAGTAATGAGATGTTACGTGTAAAGAGATCCAAAGAAAGGTATCATCCAATAGTAGACATCTAAGAGTCAGAAACCAGGAATCCGACCATGCATGCGTCGAGCATGAAGTCCACATTGACCCATGCATGAGTGAGAGCTATATGGCCACTCTTAGCGTGATATTCATGAGAAAGGACGATGGCCTGCTCACCGAACAGCTTTGTCCCATCCCTACCGGCGACGCGCATGAGCTCCTTCTCTCCTCCGGGATGAAAACGCAAGTAATGCGTCATATTGTACACCTTTCCGTGTATCGCCGTCCACGCGTCGTCCTTTCGATTATGTGTCTTGAGCACGGACATCGGTATCCGCGCTAGCGTCTCTACTCCCTGATTCATGAATTGATTCGTGGAATGACGCAGACATCAGCCTTGATATTCCCAGCATGGGGAAGCACGCACACACCCTCAGGTCCTCCCCCGACGCCTTCAAGTTCGCCCAGTCCAGAGGCCCACACCCAGGCCCGAGCGCGACCTTCTCGCGCCTCGACGACTTCGTCGGAATCTTCCTCGTCTCCATCGGCGCAAGCAGCCCCGACGAGGGCGGTGCAAGCGACCGTGGCGCGGGGGCGCCCGCCTGCCGCGACGCCGTACCGGGCAAGGGGGGCGGCGGCATGAGCGACGAGTCGCTCAGGATCGCGGGCACGCCGAGCGTCTGCGGCTTGGACGAGTCTGCACGCTGGGCGCTGTTGAGCGCCGGAAACGCGGGTGGCACGTCGTCCTCGCGTTCCGTCTCGGACCCGCTGTCGCCGTCTTCGGCTTCGTCGTTCATGGATCCTGGTATTGACTGGCCCTTCGAGGTAGGGTATGATGGGGTAGTGCTTTGTGATGGAGAGGCACTGGATGCGGTGTCCAAGGTAAACCAGTTGCGCAGATACGAGCCCATGTTGAGTGGAAGTACGAGTGGAAGAAATGTAACTTGCTGTAGGCCACGACAAGGGAAAGGGGAAGCGGAACCCTGCAGTCCGCCTAAATCGGCCCGTTTGACTCAGCCGATGGGTCCTATAAAGACGCCGGCCGCCTGGGAGAGATGCCAGCGAGATGCCAGCTTCCACCTAGTCTCCCGTAGGCAGAACTTTATAGTTTACGGAAGATAGTCGTTCCTCACAATACGCTAGCAGCACACAAAAGCGAGAAAAGCGAACAATGAAGGAGGGGTTAACGAGCGCTGTGATTGGCTGAGAGCACAATTACCCTACCCGCGCTACTGCGTGTGCGCAGGGCGGGAGAGGGCGCGGGACGAGGCGGAGAGGATAGTATAAGGACTAAGTACTACTAATAAGAAGCTATTATATTTGTATGCTAGGGCGTACGCGTTGTAGTGGACGGGACGGGACAGCAAGTGATACATCACCCACTGTGGGACGCAATGGCGCCACACCTGCAGACCTTTACTGGTACCGACAGTGATTGATGCATCACGCTCGCACTGTGGCCAGAGTGGTTTGATGCATCACCCCTACTGCAGCAGGTGCTTCGAGCGATAACGGGTCGAATCCTGTGAACGGCTCGGGGGCCGAGTCACTCGTAGGCCTGTCTTGCTGAGGCCAGGAATGGCCTTCAAGATAGTCGGCGGGGCCAGCGGCTCGGCCTTGGCGACGATTATTGCGGTCCACGTATGAAGGCGGTTTACAATGTCTTCAACACGCGCCGAAGCGACGTCCTTCTCGCTCAGCATCTGCGCGTACTGCTCGCCAGTGTCCCGCAACAACTGGGCTGCCTGCTGCAGCGCTTCTGAGCTATCATTCTCAGCGATGGGTGTGTAGCGGTCGGAGCGCGAGGTTGCTGTATGCTGCGAGGACATGGTCTTTCGCAGACGCCCCCAGACCACACCGAATGAGGCCCAAAGCCCATCGTTGACGAGTGTGCTGCAGAATCCGGGGATGGCTGCCATCTCCTCTGCCGCCTTCACCGGCACGTCGGCGACGACTCGCTGGATGTGGCACCCCATGGTGACGAGCACGACGACATCGACAGTATGGGTACCGATCACGGGGCTCGTACGGGCCCAGTCCCATGCCAAGCTTAGCGGCGACAGGTGGGAAGGGACAGCGGCTTCGGCCCAGTCTTCCATGGGCGTCGAGCAGATGGTCAGTTGCAGATACGTCGTGAATGGGGACAGGCATGTGTTTGTATTGTCAAAAGAGCCATTGTCGAACGTGCCGTACTGGTGGACCCAATCCAGATGTTCAAGCAGAAGGGCGCGGTATCCGTTGTCGCCATCCTCAACGGCGGGCACGTCGCTGCTATGCGTGAACCATTTCTGAGCATTTCCAAAGAGCATTCCGGCTCTTAACGCCGCTTTCTGTGCGTGTCGATGGTGCGGCGTGTTCACAAAGCAGGTGGCGACAGCGTTGGCGATGCCGAGAACTTCTGCGGCCCCGACGAGGATGTGCAGGGCGACAGGGTTGCGGCTGTCGCGCAGTAAGTTATCTCTCATGCTGATAAGACTGGTATCGGTGCGTGTGGTGACGGCATGTTTGAGAGCTGCAACGGCGTCCGCAAGACAGGGTGCAGTGCGGATGGTGCTGATACGGCCGAGGTCAGCAACGGCGTTGGCAAACTCGCAGATGGCGGGGATAGTGGTGGTTGTGACAGACATGTCCTTGTTGCTGATAGAGACAAAAGAACAGGCGACGGAGGGAAAGACTGGGTGGTGAACTGGGGGTGTGGGATGCTAGTGATTCGAGCCATGATGACGTCATACTGTGTAGCGCTGACGCTTCGTTGGCGCGAGGGTTGCCAGGACCCCTGAAAAGCACCCGGGATGTCGATGCTGACCCCGGGTCCTAGAACCCCGGTCGAGCTCGAGGTTGTGCCCAAGGGACCCGTCCTACCACTAACATAGCCCAGAACGCCTGAAAAACCCCGGTCCAAGCTGAAATTTCGAAAAATCGCCGCCAGCGGCCAAATAAGTGCTCGCGTACGTTTTGGAGTAGTGTATCGTTCGTGTAAGCGGCGAGTCTATGCGAGCGCAAGGATATCAACGTCTACCTCCCCATCCTCGTCCAACTCCTGGACACGCTTATTTACCTCCTTCAAGAACTTCCGAATGAGCTTGACCTTGTCTGTACCCGCCAAACCATCGTAATAGTGAATGTCCCCCGGCATCAGCCTGTACGCAGCTCCTTGCCCGCGCGGTGTGAATGTGAGTCGCACCAGGAACTCACACGGGCGCAAGTGAGCAAACCGGGGGACATTGTATAAGGAGCCCGCCTCGATGAAAGCGAAGGATCCACGCGAGTCGGGCATGTAGACCTGGGCGCTCAGATACGAAACACCGGTGATGATTGATGTCATCGGGACCCAACCATGACTTGCATGCTTTCCTCCAGACCGCTGGCCCAGCTCGAGTACTATGATATAGCAACAAGCATCAGCATTACGTGCATAGTAGAAGCAACGGGAAAAGGGGCGCACCTTTGGCAAGACACACCTGGCCCTTATGGAAGATGAGGGCGAAGTTGCATTCTTTGTCGGCATGAGGGTATAGCGGTCGTTCTCTGGTGAGTTCGGCGTGTCCTACCCAGCGAGGGATGCGGCTCATTGCCACTGCCGCTTCTCGTTTTGATAGAGCCTGCAGAAATGTCGTGAGGCAACGCGCGAATGGCAAAAATGCAAGCTCACCTTTTCAGCCCGTCTCCGTGCGGCCAACTCTGCTTGAACTCTGCATTCGCCACGTTGCCAGTGGAAGGCTTACCACCGCGCCAATGGAGGTTTCTCGCGACTCCTGTTGAAATCCTAGGCTCAATTTCTTTGCTCTCAGCAATATGGCGGAGTTGCGAGAGCATATGAGCCTTCGCAGCATTGTTGGTGCATGCAGCAGTCGCTCGAGCCTCAGAGATGTCAAGCATCATTGACATACTACAACGGTATTCACAGCGCCAACGCTCACAAAAACACTAACACAAACATCCCTGACGCTAAACGCACACAATCTCGCAGCAATATAAATATTTCTGCTCACTACAAAAGCCCTCAGACGAAAATCCAGCTCCTCCTACATCAATATTTCCTTGATCTCCACCCATCTCTTCTATAGCCTGACGTTGTTTTCAATGATAACAAACTAGACTGCGCAGGCGAACCCATTCACGAATGGCCTCCTCAAGACTCACAGCACGCGTAATCATTAACACCCCAACCTCCCTGTACATCTACGGCATTGTCACGCCACATCCGAAAAACTCATTCTTCTTGCAGCAGCGCACGACTCTTCGATATCTCCGCGTCCGCTAGTATCATATAGAAATCAAAGTCGCAGGTGCGGTACCGGCACTCCTTTGGCCTGGCGGGACAACTCGGATAATCGGATACTACTTGTATACATACGGGGGCGGTCAATGCTGGTCGACGAGGAAACCAAAAAAAACCTTGTCTTCCTTCCAAGAGCGCACGCAACCACAGTGGGCTCAAGTCAACATAAAACAACACACGGGCATGCTACACCAACAATAACATCCCCAACCCAATCCATCGCAAAAACGTGGATGGAAACACAAACACGCACTCAACGTTCAACATTCATTAACCACATCCGAGGTATGTTCGACGGGTAAAAACAGACAAGCAGCAACAGACAAAACGACAAGTCAAATCAAAATGAAAAGACAAGTCAAGAGTGTAGAACAAAAACCCTAAACAAGGTAGGGGAGTCACGTATCAAAAAAGTAATCCTAATCAATCAAACTGTTCGTCCATCTCGGTCCGTAAGTAAAGAAAGTTGTCCAAAACCAAAAAGTAACCAGACATAATGCCCAAGAGTATACATTCCGAGGGAACACCGTAGTGCGTTTGTTGCTATTGCTATTGCAGATAAAGGAATGGATAGATGAAAGATCGGCTATGGGCGATTATCGCTGGCGAGAGTGGGAAGGGTGGTCGCTGTCGGCGAATTTAACAGGTGGGGAGCGTGAGGTTCTTGAAGTTTTTGCTGGAGAAAAGGGGGTCAGCGTCGTTCGTCATAAGGCGCAGTAAGATGACGATGTCAAGGCAAACAGCCGTCATCACCGAGACCAAAAATGGCGACATCAAGCGTGTAAATGGATGAGAACGCGAAACGCGTCATAAAAAGAGGCGTCCCATGGATTCCGCATTGCCCGCCATTCTCGCGTGGAGCGAGGACCCCGCTCCATGTACATCACACGTAAAAACACGCAGCCGCATCGAAGATGAACAGTGGACACGGAAGAAGAGTCGCAAAATAGCCACAGCACTGAAAGCGAAAAGAAAAACCGATACTCAAACCAAAACACTCACTTTGAATCGAACAGACCCCAATAGCCCTCGACACCGCCGTACTCGGCACCCTAGAAAATAAATGACATCAGCAACGATGTTCCAAGTATAAACACGGCACCAGGGCGGTACGCTAAAACCACCCAAGAATAGCCGCGCCAATCTTAGAGGACTAAATACACACCTGCCACGGCTGATCCATATACTGCGGACGCAAAAATAAAACATCAGAACACCATCCAGGAAACACGAGCAAGAGGAGCCGAAAAAGAGAACTGCTGCGCACCTCAAAGAAGAAATAATACGTGCCGTTCTTCGTCGCCTGGCACGCAAAGTTGTCGATGAAAATCTGCAGATTATCCACGCTCGCCGTCGACGGCCCGTCGTTCGGATTCGCGTTCAGCGTCGTGCTCGAGCCCGTCGGCCAGCCCGTCTCGCCAATGTAGAACGTCGGGTCGTTCGCGACCCCCTTGGCCTGCGCGACGTCCGTGGTCTGGAAGAAGTTCCACGTCCACCCGGCCGCGTCCTGCACGGACTGGTTCGCGAACCACGGGTGCGCGTTCGCCATCGCGTAGTCGACCGACTCGAGCACCTGGTTGTTGAAGTACGAGCCCGCGTCGGCGTTCCCGATGGGAATCTTCTTGCTGAGGCCCATGTTGTCCATCGTTGTGCGCGTGTCGTTGATGAGCGGGATGAGGATCTCTGCGGCCTGAGTGCCGATGGCGCCATTCGGGCTCTGGTCGGACGCGCTTTGAGCGGACATGTAACTGTTATTGCCAGAACCGCAAGTCAGACATACGCAAGGAGTGACGAGAAGAGAGCAACGCACTCGAGGACAAACTCGTTGCCGACGGTGATACCAGCAACGTTATCAGCTCCCCACATGTTGATAGCATCGATGATCTCCTGCTTCTGGCGGTAGTACGCCGTGTTGTTGTCGCCCACGGCAGGATAGTTGCCAAGCCAGACATTCATGTTGACGCCGGTCTTCTTGATGGCCTCGAGCTATACACGATCGTCAGCATCAAGGCACGCGACGAGTCGATCCCCGATATGAACGGAACTCACCGTAAACGAGGACTGATTGCAGTCAGAGCCATAGAGACGGATGTTCTGCACGCGGACAAGTGCTAGGTCAGCACGGGCACAACAGACCAAAGACGACCACAACCAATGAGGACGTCACGCACCGTTGTCAGCTGAGACAGCAGCTGGATATCCTCAATGACCGAGTCGATCGTGGCTCCGCAGTCGGGGAGCTGGGAGCCCAGAGGGGCGTACGCGATGCCCCAGAAGGACTGCTTGAGCGCGGAATTCTTGGGGAAGCTGGCCGCGTTGTTGACCACGTCCGAAGACGACTTCTTCTTCGACATGGAGACGCCTACACCGACACCGACGCCAATGGCAACAGCAACAACTGCGACGACGCCAATGACCTGTAATACATTCGTGCACAGAAAGGAGACAATGCATGAGCCCCTGGTGAATGGAAACGGAAAGAAAGGAGGACGCACGATCCACTTGGTACGGCTGTTGCTCTTCTCGGTCTTTTCGAGCCACTCCGAGTTGGGCGCGGCATCGAGGTCGTTGTAGTTGGTTGGAGCAGGCATGTATGGGACCGAGTCTGTTCCTCTCGTTGGGGTGGAGAACGGGTTTGAAGCAGCAGTAGGGACGGATGCCTGGGAGAGGCGGGAGGGGGGCAGGTCTGTGATGGAGTTGTAAGGAGAGTGGTGTATCCCGGAGAGGCGGTGCGGAGGCTGCTCAGCAGGTCAGCAGGGCTTTGATATAAGGGAAAGAGAGAGGTAGAAAGTTTGGAGTGGAAGCGAGCGGATGGAGCGTGGAGGGGGGTCGAGTCGGAGACGATGTATGGGAAGGTTGCCGTGCATTCCAGCCATACATATTTATATCCCACCCCTCGATTCAATACTTCTGCCCCGGCCTCGCGGCTGCCCAGTGGCTAGGCAACAACAAAGAACATATAAAACAAGAAGGCTCAACTTACAGGCACGCCCCCGGGTCCGTCAAAGTAGTCCTGAAGGTCCGAATTCGAGTTCATCGGCTCATCACGGTACGGCCTCTGAATCTCTTGCATCGAGTAATCGTGGGACATGATCGCCGTTGTCTTTTGGTCGTCGAAACGTGAGCAGGAGACGGGGATGGAGACGAGGGCAAGCAGATGACGGTTGGTGAGACAAGGGCAAGAGGGATGCGCGAGAACGAGCTAGTGGTGGTGAATCAGCTGGGCGACGTAAATGTGGGCTGTCTGGCGCTTGCTGTGAGCTTATGCTATAGCTTGCGCGTCCCGTAAACGTTCCCTGGCCTGTGCCTGCCTTGAGACAGATTCAAATGGTCAAGAAGAAAGCTCGAATTCCGTCGGACGCTCTATCCATTAATAGCTTGCTCGGCCGCGCCTCTGCTTGCCCTTATTCTTGTCTCTGTCGACCTCCCAACGACTGCCTGGAGCCTGCTGCGCAGATCATTCAATCCTTCTGATTCCACTCGTGCATGCCTGAGAAAGACCGTTTCAACGGAATCATGCAACTATCATGCAGTCCTCCGATGCACCTCGCTGCCGCCAGCGTTTCTGCACGGAGCTCAACGGCCGGAAGCAACTAGCCGAAATTGATCATCGCACGCGTCAGGTTAGACGTCAGATCACCTTCCCAAATGGGATATGTCACCGATCTTCGCGATCTTTCCTCGATATCTATCTGAAATATCTTTGTCGCGATGGCAGAAAATAGCAGCCGAGGCGGTGGTTGTCCATCATCAAGAACAGCTGCAACTGCAACACCGGTCGAGATATCGTGCATATACGATCGCCCGAACTCCTAATCAACAATAACAGGTACTGTAACATGAACGTAATGATGTATACTATATGAGCGTGAAACGGCGAATCCTGTCCGTGCGCGACTGCAATAGCCAGGCAGGTATACGACGTAAGTGAGAGGTGTATCACTACATAAACATGTACAACTTCGTGAGTGCGTACGTGCAAAGCCAAGCATCCCAAACGTTCGAACTGTGATATATAGAATAGCTAAGCTAGCGACCTTGAAAAGACGGCAATGAGAAATCTGGCATCGCATAAAAGATCTGAGCTCTGCGCAACATTACGCCCTGGGGAGGCCGAGACGAGTATAGACAGGCAAAGTTAGCAATAGCTATAGCGAGCATGTCGGAGTGGAGGAAAGCGATCGCGCGCATCGAGGGAGAATATCAAGGTACGTAGGAAGGGCTGTATCATGAAAATCAAGAACAAGAACATAAAAAATCCAAACAACATCTGTCCGTCAGCAGAGCAAGTTAATAAGACAGACACACAAACGGCCTGGGTTGTGTATTGGCACAACGCGAAAACGGTATTCTTCCACCTTCGCAAGGCGAGGCACAACAGCACCCCAGTTTCCGCGAGCACAGATTGCCCACGACACCGACTCCACTCCTGCTCTCACCACCTCCCACAATGCAGTGTTCGTCCGCGCGCCGTGGAAGGATTTCGTGGGCTCCCGAGACCGCACCGTCTACACGCTGTCCAATCCACCCTTCACCTCGCCTCTAAAGATCTCGCCTTTTCCCTCTTTCCTCCTCCCCTCGCCCTGCTAATATATCTCCTCCTGCCCTTTTCCTCTCCACTCTCTAACACCACAGAAACCAGCATCTCCCCATGACACTACACACTGAGCACGGCTACGACCCCACCTCCGGTCCATGTCCATGCCCGTGCCCAGGTGCAGGCGGATGAGGCACAGGCGCCATCCGCGGCTGCGCTGACTGCCGCTTCTGCTTCCTCAGCACCCGTGCGCGCTGCTTCTCCTCGTCGCTCCTTGGGGCGCCGACGCGGCGTTCGCTCGGCAGCGTCCGGCTGCGCGACACGCTCGCCCCGCCCGCGCTGTCGCTCCGCCCGAGCGGTGGCGTCCCGCTCTCGACGACGGGCGAGAGCCGCTCCGCCGCGGTTGCTGCCGCCGCTGGCGCGGCGAGCGGGGTGTTGTCTTCCGCTTCTGCGTCTGCGCCTTCAATATCAAGAGGAACCTGTATCAGCCCGCACGAACCACGAGGACGATAAGATATAATGCTTACCACTCCGCTCCCGATCCACCGTCGTCCTCCTCCTCGCGACCCTCTTCTTCAGCCCCCGCCCCTGCTCTTGTCCCTGTCCCTGTCCTTTCACCTGCCTCCACTCGCCCACACCCCCACGCTCCTCGTCCGAACTCGGCACAACCACAAAATCACTCTCATCCCCCGACCCCGACGCCATATGCACATGCCCAAGACCCCGCCGCTGCCCAGGCACAAACCTTCGCGGCCCGCTCCTCCCCCCGCCCGCGCCCGAGTCGCTCTGATACGCCGCCTCCTCCGCCATCCCCACGCGCGACGGCGCGCCCAGGCTCCCTGTGCCCGACGCACCGTTGTTCGCGCCAACCCCGATCCCCGGATGCGAATGGCTCGTCGCGATCTGCTGCGGCGCCGCGAGCCCGTGTCCGTGCCCGTGCAGCGCCTGCGATCCCGACCCTGGTGCAGCGGCAGAGGATGACGACGCGCCAAGCTGCAGTGCCTGCGCGCCCGCGCCGACGCCGGCGGTGTTGGTCCCCGCCGTAGGAGTTGGTGGCGGGGGAATGTCGAGCAGGAACCAATCCTGCTGCTCGATGAGGAACTCGAGCACCCGCTGTGAGAGCGCGTGCTCGTGCGGCGTGAGCTCGTGATTTGGATGTGAGATCAGTCCGGGGCGGAAGATCACTGCGAGGTCTGTTTGCGTGCCCGAGTCAGCAGGGCTCGGATTGGCACGAGAGGGAAATGCTCACTGGTGGCGTTCATAAGGTTCTTGTCGCTCTTGCGCGCGAAGACGGAGAGGAGGTCGAGGACGTAAAGAAGGAGGTATTGGTTCGCGCGGGGCATCTTCTGGATTAGCTTCTTGTAGGTCGCGATTACTTCTTCGTGGTTGCATGGTTGTTTTGCTACCCATACCAAACAAACCAAGGTAGAGTCATGTCCCGGTTAAATGTGGAGATAAACAGAACGATGTCACAATCAACATCCAAAAAGTGCGATAATCTCAACTGTGCTTACCCAGTGCATCCCGAAACTATACCCAGAAGTTAGTCGTGTGCGTATCATAACATTAGAGTTTGAATATCCAAAATCGAAACACGAGCGCGCAAGAACGTGAAAAGAAAGAGATTGTCCCATCAGGGAATAACATGAGCAATCCTCCGAAATGAAGCGGCAACTCACGTGGTGGTACAAATCATGTGGTATGACAGGCTCCTAATCGGTCGCACAGACAGAACCGGAATGTAAGTTGGGCCGAATAAGCCAAGAAAAGCGGCGCAGACGCACGGGCATCTGGGTCAGGTATCGCCTGAACACGCTCGCGACGTCGTGCGTCGTGAACTGCTCTTTCTTCCAATCGAGGTTCTTCCCGTACTGTATACACGCATACATGCACGCCCGTGGTTCATGTTCATTTGTACGTCGACGTCATAAACCCGAGCGCAGGCATTCAGATAGGCGCCGAAGCGAGAGACGCGCGGGATGAACCAAAGTTTTTAACAGGCGCAAGGTTTGACGGGATCACAATGGTCCAGTGGCACGCGTCCGGTATATGCGGCGTTTGTCCAGCACAGGTAGACGGAGACAAAAGAGCAAAAGCGTCCGGGTTCAGTTAGTTCCAAGGCGGTACGCGAAATGAAAGCGAGACGAGGCGTGTTCGGCAGCATCAGCGATAGGGCACGCGCGTCGACGAGTAAGGCGTAGCGTGAGGTGTAGTCAATGTTGTATTTGGTTTGGAGCGAGGTATGTGCCCGTTATCAGGACGAGGCGATGCGCGGGCATGGCGATAGTGGGAGTTGCGGGTCGCAAGTCGCGAGATATGACCGAGCAGCGCGAGGTGAGTGATAGGTTGTGACGTGTAGACGTTATGCGCAGTGCGAGGGAAGCAGGGTGTTGTGAAGGTGAGGCGATGATTTCAAGGCGTGAATGAAGGAGGGAGGGAGATGAAAGATTAGTGAAACGGTGACCCAGCAACAAAGCGGTGATTTACGCACTCGTGGTGGGGTCTCAAATGCCATCTGCAAGTCCCGCATACGTTTGGTCGAACCGCTCACGCGGAATGTGCCCTGTACTTCAGTAGCTGCGGAAATGCATGGACGGGCAAGTGAGGTGTATTGTGAGCCTAAGCTGGACTTGATCTAGGAAAGAGGGGGAGGGCGTACCATTCTCTTTGAGGTAGAGGCCGCTAAACACATGTCAGACGTTGTAGACGCGATGTGAGGTCAGAGATCGGGGCAGCCAGGGGAAGGGGAGGAGCAGGTGAGGAAGAAACGTACCACTTCGCGACAACAACTGGTATGTAACCCCAGACGTACAAGCTGCCGTTGGCATTCGCTGTGGATATCTGTACGCTGGCGTATCTGAGACTCTCTCTCAAAGGTTTTCCAAACACGGGGTGATCCTCGTCGTCTGAGAGTGCTATGGTAGATAGATAGGTTAGTAGTAGGCAACTGATGGCGGGTGGTGGAGCACAGGGGCGAAGAGGGGAGATGGGCGAGTGGGGGGACGGAAGAGCGAGCAGTGACATACGCTTGTGGGGATCTCTGTACTTTGCAAACTTCTGAGCATTGGTAAATTGGGTCCACCACTTGACGAGGGACGCCTTTGTGGGGGCCGATGGCGGGGGACTCTCGTTGCGAGGCATGTCGGTGCCGGAGCGGGGCGGCTGGGTGGGATGTGGTATGGGCGTAGGAGTAGATTCTGGGTCTCCTCCAGCAGCAAACTGGCTAGTGCTTCGAGCGTGGCTGCCCGGCTGTGCAGAGGCCGAGTGTGGCTGTCCGAGGGCTGGGTAGGGGACTTGTGCGTCTGTCTGTGGCTGCTGGAGGGTCGTGCGAGAGCGCCGTCTCCACGGGCGGAGGTTGGGAAGAGGGGCCAGGGGGAATCGCGTCTTGGGTGTATTCAGTTGAGGAAGAAAGGGGGAACTATCCGAATGAGAGAGAGAAGAAGGAAAAGTACAGAGCCTCGTTACACTTTTCCTTGCCCACACCGCGCCTTGTTCAGATCTCCCGACACCACCAATCTAACATGTCACAGCCACGCGGGGCCTGGGCTCCACAATAATGACATATCGTCCCCGGTCCCGGTTTCTCTCCTCCCCCCTCGTCCAATTGCTGCCCTCGACGCTCCGCTCACCCAACTCTATTAGAACCCGCGTGGTCCCGATCAAAAATAACAACCATCCTCCCGCACGACGAACTCCGTCACGAACGTCACCAGCGCGCATCTTTTGCCTCCGCATGGACGTCGACAACTATGACACCAGGTGATATTGCCGCGCTTTAGGGCACGGCAACGCCCGTCACCCCTCCCTTTAAATTGTCATCAGAACATGTAATAGATGACACCAAGTCGTACTTAAATTGCAGCTACATGGTGTTTCCAACAGCATCAAATACTTTTCAAAACTACATGAGAATAACATGCTGCAAGGGTAGTCAAGATTAGTAGAGTCACTGTCTCAAAACCGACAAACATATCTTCATATGGAACGCTGAGACAACAAAACCTTTGCGAAACCTCTTGAGTTTGACGAACATGGACCCTTTAGTGGGATTTGTAGCAAGATTGAAAACACCGAGGGATGATACACAAAACTCGATTGTAGCGCAGATAGCATTATCTTTGCGATAACATAAACGACATTGACATTGACATCGTATGAAGACAAAAAAGATGACTTGAGTGAGGAGCACACAGGGTGAAAGGAGTCGACACAGGCTACGTTCAGCAGGTGCAACAAATGGAGGAAGTGGAGAGAGAAAGTCTCAGAGGATAAGGTTGGAATGAGAGAGTGTGCGAATAGGAGGACTACCATAACCTGCTACAACGCGCCACGCTCACGATCCCTATGCGTAACGGACAAGAGCAGAGGTAGGCCAAGTTTAGGAAACGGTAACGTGACACAATCGATTTTCTCAACTCCCCGCCAAAAAGTGGAAATAAGAGCACCCCTCTAACCCTGTTACCCCTAAGGGTAACGGGAATATCCCAGTCATTGTGGAAAGGCACGTCATATGGCGCAGTAAAGCCACAGCGCTATCTTCCATTCCTCTATCTTTACAGACCAATAGGCATCAATAGGCATCAATGGCTTCGCTAACCTCGACGCCGATGACTCCAAATCATCCCTACTAAGCTACTGGTTTGGCGGTGAGCACTGCTATACGCAGCGGTTACGATCTCAGTCTTCTAATGCGGTCGGTCCAAAGACGCGCTAGACATATAAGACCAGACCATTACGCTCGTTCTCACCTCAAACTTCATGTGGAAGTTTATGGTACCCGCAGCACGAGAAAAAGCTCTATGGATTGGACTAGTAAGTTCATGTGGTTTCGTGATATCGTGATGTTCTCCATTAATAACAACTTGGCTTTCAGTTCGTTATTCTCTTCGCATGTGGCGTAACCGTCAAATTTTTTACGCCAACGGTGTCCACAATACGCTCTCCTGCTGAAAATGTCTACAAAACTGACTTCCCATGCTGGACAGGGAAGCGCAAATGGTCCGACTAAAACTGCGCGTTGGGCGTGTCCCCGCTCTCTGTGCATTGCTGCAAAGCCCCGTGTTAGCTCGTTTATTACAGGGCACGTTGGACAGGGTGCTCACCGGACGTCCCTCGCGCGCCTCGCGTCAAAGAACTGGCTCGACTTTGTCTTGAGGCCATCTCCACGAGAAGTTGTAGACCCGCCGCCAACGTCCCACTCCGCCCGAGCGCTAATTGTCGGTTTTCCACCGTCATGATAGATGTCGCTGCCTGATCCCAAGGATCCGGTGGACATCGACAAGAGTCTATAGGTGTCGTCCCCCGATTTGTTTCGCAGACGCGCGGTTGCCGCGCGGGAAGCGCCACGGAAAGTGAGCCTCATTTCTCTAAGGTGGGCTCTACCGGTAGCCGGTGGGCGATGGAAAAGAAGTGGGCAGGTGTAAGATGAGAGTATATGCCTCTGCGGATATGTGCCGAGTTACATATACGCAGCAGTTGGTGGCTGTTAAATTGTAACGCCCAGCTGAAGGGCTCAGTTGATAGTTACGACCATCTGTACGACTTTCTGGGGCTCGTCCTTTTACCCGAGCCACTAGTCGAGAACCTGTAGTTGTTTTGCGACTAAGTGTGCTGCTATCTAGCTTAGTTCAATTTTAGGCCAGGTTAGCTGTGGGAACTTGCACTGATTTGCGGAGCGGTGGGATTCGCATTCAGTTGCGACGTATTCGGAGCAAGACTCGGTGGTTTTGTACCGACGCTAAACCTGAACTATTTGACTCACAGCCTCCCTCGTTGGCGGGTGACCTCATAGGCCCATTTCCAGGGATATGTGTACTAAAGCGGATGAACTAGGTTACAACTATCGAGAGTACTAAGTCTGAACGATGCATGCCACCAACGAGCCCTTATGAACGAAAGGTCGCAACAAGCTGCTGGGCGTTTCAAGAATATGAAGCAAATGTTTTAGGTGGAATCGGTCCAAGTATTATACAGGGGCAGCGAGATAGCCATGTAGTATGGCGAAATCGTGTTCTATACAAACACCATTACAATGGTGTCTATCATATATCCCCCCTGTCGGTGCTAGAAATATTTATAAGAACGGCTCGTCGCTGGGACCAAAGAAGTGAAACTGCATAGCTTGAAAGCGTGCAACCGGTGTGTGTCCGTTCTTCGTGCATAGCAGCGATACGGGCGTCAAACACACCGGGGGGGCTCAAGGTCAACTTGGCCTTGAAACGTTTGACTACGAAGTATTTTTACCATATAGCTCAACCTATGACCAAAGACCGCCGGCACCTCGCACTCGTACTGGACTCCATTTGACGCAGTAAATCTGTCCTATTATGATTTCGTGCCGACTATATTGAAATGGAAGGCGAGTTGGCTGGTGTACTTACCCGACGGTCCACCCAAGCTTTACATCAAAGAACTGGTCCGACTCTACCTTGCGACCATTCACGAGAAATGTATCCCCGCCGAACCCATGTCAATCTATCCGAACAACCCTCTCTGAAGGTCTGATCCACGATAGATTTCGGTTCCCCTCTGCAGAAAGGGCCGGTGGACGTCAGAAGGGCCAGGTAAACATCCTTTCCAGACTCGTAGTCTCGCCTTGCAAGCGCGCGGTTCATCTGAGGGAAGAAACCCGGAAGATCTTCATTTGTCAAAGGGGCATTGATGACACCAAGATGGGACGGATAAAAGGTGAGAGTGTACTTCTGCGCGGACACGTCGTGTTTTATACCAAGTAGCCGGTGAGGCTGTTCAATGTAGCGAGTCCAAGGCAAGCTTAGTTACGGGTATCTTCATTGTTTCCGAGGTGCTCCTTCATCTGCGCCACTACTTGAGAACTTGTGGCAGCCGTGGAATGAAGGTACTCAGATGCATTATCTTATAGGTTGGTCGGCTCTCGAGCTGGTAGCCATTCCGTTGGCCAGCGAGGCGCAAAGTGTGTGCATCTAAAGTGGAACACCGGTATCGCGCCGATCGCATGCATACGCGGGCAAATACGACCTTATGGTATGCGTCTCGCCCTTTTCTGTTCATTCTTCGGATTTTTGATTCATCTTAATTCCTTTGGAGCCGGATATGAGCCGGATACCTAGAAGGAGTAGCTACAGCTCTCGATCTACACCTCGTTTTTATCCGTGTTCCTTGCCAACGTACATATGTATGTTACTGTTCTAGTTTTGCAAACATGTAAATTGCGGAGATTTCTACTTACGAACAGGTTGAATTCAGGCAATGTTGACCTTCCATACTTTCGACGAGAACGTTGCAAACAGTCATTCCAGCATTAAAGTACAAGAAATCCTATGGTATATATTTTGTGCACTGCCATGTACAGCATTTCTCAGTTGCCCTGCCATAACTTTGCCCGCAGTAACCGGCAACAGCCATATACTTTTGGTGCTGCGCTCCGGCAACCAACAGGCCAATTCAAAAAATCATTCATTAGAGGCAGAATTATGAGCCTCCAATGCATTATCTTTTTCGTCCCCACCAGCGTACAACCTTTTCTTCCGCACAACCATGCTGCTCACCCTTGGTAAAACTGACATTCGTCATGCCCACCTGCACGATGAGTCCGGGAACACAGTATACAAGATCAATACCCCCCACCTGTCGTCGCACACGACCATCCACAGGGGTCACTGGCACACCGTCGCGCGGATTGATTGGCATTGGGGTCAGTCGGCGACGTTCCACGTGGACGGACACAAGATGAAGTCGAAGCATTTTATTCGGAAGCGGGGGTGGATACACAAGTCAGTGTTCTGGTTTTCCACTTTTCGACATTTCACGCAGAACAGCCGCTTACTCTCAACTTCTATAGCACGTACACATTCTCAGGACCGGACGGTGTTCGGTACGAATGGAAGCAGAGAGGAGATACATACGAGGTAAGCTATAATTGGGTGGTGGTTTTGTGCCGCCATCGTCTCAATTTCCTTCGTGATCCTGATGTCTGTATGTTAGCTTCGCACAAAGGATGGGCACCATACCGTCGCGCTCTTTCATCCTCCACACTGGCATTTACTACGCTCGAACGAGAAGGCCTCGCTGGAAATATTTCCCGCGGGCCACCACGTCGCGGACACGATTGTCATGACATTGGTATTCATCAAACATCAAGCGGACCAAAGTCGAGGCCGGAGTCGGGATCAAAGTCGAGATCGAGATCGAGGTCGAGGTCTAGATCAAGGTCCGAGTTTAAGTATAAATTAAAGTCGATCTACAGTACTTTGCTGCTTCTTCGTCTATATCGCTCTAATACCCAGTTTTACTTAGTTCCTACGTACTCGTATTTATCCATTCTCATCATGTCACTCGATATTTTCCGACCTCTGATATAATAGATTCAACTAACTATATACATCTTACGAATACACATCATACCCATGTAATGTCACTGCACTAATACACCTAAGGCATTCGCACCTTGAATTGTGTTTCGCCCCACAAGAAAGGCCTGCACATTCACGTATGTCTTAGGTCTGCTTCGCGCTTCACATGTGCGAACGTCATAACAATGGTATCTATAATATGGTCGCCAGCAGGAAAAATCTCCAAAGCCTCCTTCTCGCTTTGACGTAGGAAATGCGTTATGGGCGGGTAATATATGGCTATGGGATCGTGCCCTTTCTTTGTACGTAGCTGCAATAGATCTCTATCAGAGGGATGACGATTCGAAGTATGAAGAGGTCTATTTTACCTCCAAGACTGATGAACCCACAACCTTCCACTCATAGACTACGCCATCTGGTGCTTTGAATGCGAATTTACTAGCGAAATAATATATGAGAAATATTCATCCATGTGTAGTAAGGACTAAAGATTTACTGCGTTGACCATCCTATTTCCTCCTGAAAGAAGTGGGCTGATTTGAGCTTGCGTCCATCAACGTGGAACGTCGTAGAGCCAATGTTAAGGTGCCAATCTATTCGTGCGACTCTGTGTTGACCTCTGTAGATGTCGCTGCCGACTTTGCACGCAAAGAGCTTGGACCGCGTCTCGAATCTGTACAATGTACGTCCGAGCTCGTCCTGAAAGAGAGCATGAAGAATTCCAGGGTCGCTGATGGTAAGCAGCATCCAGGCGCCGGTGGTTAAGAGGTGGCGTGTCGGACTGGGAGAGGCTCATGTATTGGCGGACGTACAGACTAGCGTTATATCTGTTGGTTACATGTGGCAAAGCATCGGTATCAGCAGGCCTGAAAAGTCGTCGCTAGCAGATTGACGAATCCACTGATAGTCTAATTGAGATCAAACATAGAAGACTATACTTTATTCCGACGGACTGAGCGCTCAACCGCACAGCCTGTCGCCTTGACAATCCACAAACAGACTGCATTTCTCTACATGTGACTACTAGCTGGACAGCAGTTAGTATGATAGGCTGGCCTTGTGACTGGCCAGCGCTGCTGCGTACCCGGAGGGTATTGAATCGGAGGCTATCGCGCGAGGAACGTAGGATCAGAAGATGGTTGCAAGTCTAACTACGGAGCATCCTATTGGAGCGCCATACTTACATTGCATCAGGGTTGTGACGAGTGGCCCGACACTCCGGCCAGTATCTTTTCCTCGTCTCAGCTCAGCGTGGACACTGCTGTTATCAAGCCTGTCTTGAAAGCCACACGCGACACGTCCAGCCCAGTACCTAGCTTATCTTCTGTTAACCCACAGCACTGTATTGCTTAAATGCACGCACTTGAACTCTCGGAGCCTGCAAGTGGACATGACGGATCTAGCTTCCTGTTAACGAGGAAGCAACTAGTCGAGCACTACCTGACCAGATTGAAGTTAGGCTTGGTCGTGCTAGAAAGCCCCTGTCCGTATTCATCGAAAACCTGACGTCATGGAATCTCGGACGCGAGATCCCGGATATCGAGGATAACGCGGAATCCGCATTTTCCGGCGGTCCAGCTGTCCAGCGGTCCAGCGGTCCAGCCACCCGTCCAGCCACCCGTCCAGCCGTCATTGCAGCCGTCCGCCCCGCATTTGCATCAGTCCGACCGTTCAGTTCAGATCCGCGAAATCAACGTTTCAACGTCAAACGCGAAGGCGACGAGAGGCTACGTCGAGTTCTCAGTCCTTGGCTCTCGCCCTTGACGAAGCCCTTTCATGTATTGACCCTGCACTTCAGTCCTCCACCCCATCAGTGAGCAGCAAGGGAAAGCAGTACACTGTCGAGCCCGACAACGATCTCAGCCATCCTTTTCCAGCTTCGACAGCACCACCAGCTCTCCAGTCCGTATACTCGCGCCCTCCCAGTCAGCAAGCAATCATCCTTCCATCAAGTGGATAGCCCGAGACGACTGATGCACCGCTGCTCGCGTCGCACGCAGATACCATCATTGAGTTTGTCCATAATTCCACCAGTGATAAATTTCATGACTCTAGTCTAACCAGTCCCAGCCTGGTCGAGTGCGCACGAGCGCATGACACCCTCGTGTGTCGCCAGCACCCCGGGCGCGCGCGAAGTAATGCTCTACGCACGCGCCAGCGAGCAACTCTCCCACCGACAACCACGTCCTCACAATCCCGGGTACTGATAGCAAAAAACACGTACGTTCGGGAGGCGCTGAGCCCAGTCTGGGCTCGCGTCGGTCAGACACTCCCGTTCCAGTTGCGATGGAACAGACGCTGCGCCAACCGACATCCTTTGCCAGGGCACTTGTTCTTGTTTTCGGGTGCCAGTGCGTCGCCCGCATTTTAGGACGCAGGTAGCGGGGAGCCCCAGGTTGCTCATCCCCGCACCCTGCCAGGCAAACTGTTTTTCAGTAGCTATCTCGGTGCGCGGTTACTCACCCCTGTGCCCTGCCAGTGCTTGAAGTCACCCGCCCTCCATCCCCCAGCATCGTGCCTCGATTGATCACAAACTACGTCTCAGATCGCCTTCTTGTATCACCTCGCTCACCCTGTTTTACCACCGGATTATGTGCTTGAAATACATGGATTTGTGCTTGTGCTCCCGGATCCAATCCGGTGAGCTGCGGCAGCTCTACCACCTCATAGTGTGAAAAGCCGCGCCAGCAGCGGTTTTAATTAGATATGATCTGTACGCCGAACGTGTAGGGATAGGTAGGGGCAGAATACGAGATAAGGGCAAATACGAAGGACAGGGGCTATCTATCTACTTGTGGCTGACGCGACTAGATCACAGGTTGGTGAATTTTGTGTTCCCACGCCCTTTCCCACGCCTGCGGCCAGACAGCTGGACAGCTCGCCAGACGCGGCATCCCCAAAATGCGAATTCCCCGTTAACCTGCGGATATCTTGGCAGATTGCCCGACCCGTAGATTTCAGCGGGAGGGTTTGGTTGCTTCCCCTTTGTTCATGTCTCAGCTAAACCAAAAACTGCTTGCCGAGCTGTGGGTCCACTCCAGGAGCCATCGCCAATCTTGACATTTGTGATCACGTAGTCCGCAGTCGAACATCTGCGGAATTGTCCGCCGGCCTGCTCAAACACAAACAGATCAAGTTACTATAGGTGTAGACACAATTGCTTGAATCATCGCTTATGGAGCGGTTGTGGCAAGATCTTTGGTCGCCGACCTACATGCATCTTCAGCTTTTCGCACTCACCAGCTTGGTTGAAGCTGAAGCCGATTATGGGCCTCCCAGGCGTCTCTACTCATCATCCGAAGTCAAACTGCCTACGATGATGATTCGCACCAGCAACTCCAGATGTCAGAGAAAGAAGAGAGAACGCCGCTGTCGTCTGCTTGCTTCAAGCACGCGCAGAACTACACATACAGGATAGTCTCGGAAACCACTTACTCCTCCGATGATCTACCTGAAACACAATGCTCACAACGCATGATACACCGCCTTCGTCGTCCCGCAATGTAGCAAGCGCATCGCTCTCAGGTCTCTCAACATTCTTCATCACCGCCCCCGCTGTATCCTCAGCATCTTCAGCTCTCAATTTTTTTCCCTCCCCGCTGCACACCATGCGCATCACAGTCAACAAAGAAGACGTCCGCAAAGCGACCTTCACCGACGACACCGGGCGCGTGCTCTTCCACTGTGAAACGCCCTGGAAGTTCGGCACGCGCCACACCGCGGACCACCGCGGCGGGGACGACGTAGTCGTCGGTACGATCGACTGGCGATGGCCCGAGAGCGCGACGTTCACGATTCGCGGGATGGTGGTTGAGTCGAAACGGTTTGGTTGAAGGAGAGAGGGTGGTTTCACGAGTGAGCTGCTGTGGTTCGGGTTGTCGCTATGTATATCGTCTGGAGCGTGGGTCATTTGTGGCATGTACTTAGTGCATGGACGTGGACGGGGCCTGATCAGATGTTGTACAAGTGGCATGAGAAGGACGAGGCGTTCTACGCGAGTGCGATGACTCGTTTTACTGAAGGAAGCATGTGTTCATGTGTGATGATCTTCCTTGGAATACAGCTCGACGACGCATATAAAAACACGGTCGCTATATCCCACAGGCGGAAGATCCACATCACGCACCCGGACGAGCCCGTTGTGCTCGAGGTGTTTGATGCTGGGTTGCACATGCTGGACGTAATTGTGGTTACGTTTATATCCCTAGAACAGGGTAGATGACGAAGAGGTCCCGCCACCGATTGCGGTCCCAGTAAATTGAGTCGAGTCTGGAGCTCGTCCGATGACGCGTAGAACATGATGTAGTGGAGGAAGCGAGCGGTAATGCATGGCACTAGTGTGATCTGGTATCGATTTTCACGTCACCTGAAAAATGTAAAGGTGTAAACAAATGACGAACTCATGGACATACCGTAATAATTACTCGTCTACGACCCTTGATTCTCAACGTTCCGAAGAAACAACTTTGTCTTGTGACCTCTACGATGATCGATGTTTAGGAAGGTTGACGCTCGGTGATGATCCACATGGGGCACGCGGTTGTGCCTGCGGGGACAAAGTTCGTCGTTCGACATGGGCCGACCAAATCACCGGCCTTCATAAAGCGTGAGCGTGGGTTCGCTGGAAGATTGGCCTCATTTGACGCGGGAAGCTGGTGCGCGTATGGCACAGAATACGCGAAGACATCTTGTGTCGATTATCAGTCGTGTTCATTTATACCGCTCTGAAGGTCCACGATAACCACTTTTACCCATGGATTAGCTGAGAATGACAGATGCTTATGATAGATGTTAGGCTTCTCGTAGGCGTAGCCTTCACCCTGGTTCCTGCGCAGGTACCCAATTCAAAATGAAGGTTCGAGGATAGACTCGAGCGCCCGTGTTTTCACTCACAGGCGGCGTCATGACTGCGTCAAGGGTTCTTCTCGCCGACCTGGTCTCGAGCGGATGCGTCATCGCCTCGAGCACGGTTCGAGTGATAGGCTCGTGGGACGCCCCGCGAGCGTGGTGATCTGTGAGAGCCTGGAAGAAAAGCTCTCTTCGATCCGGGCCCTGGGCGGTGCCGTTGATCAGCCATCGTGTTTGTACGAAGTCGAACGAGGTGGTGAGCTTGGGACTTGTGGTGAGAATCCGCGGAGCGTTATCTGAGAACCAAACGCGACATGCACAAGGAGGCACGCGAGACTTTGGCCTCGTATGCGTCGCAATATCCCGCTGTTGTGTGGCAAACGACGCAGGAGGTTGACAGAACGCAAATCCCCAGAAGCTTGTCTGCATCTTACACTTTTCCTTAGGCAGGCTCGTGATGCTGTCATCAGATCAGACAGAGACCGAGGTTGTTGCTTGAGAGATCTGTCATCTTCATCGGGGGTGGGATCACCGATCTTGGACGTGCTTCATTTGATTCCATCGCTTATCGAGATTTGGGGTTGCCGACAAAGACATGACATGTTCCACGCCGAGCTTATGAGCTTATTTCTTGGCCACAAATTCTTTGGTCTTTTTCGAGAAAATTGATATGTTATCTCCATAGAATATGGAACGTACGTGTGAGACGCCGTGATGGGACCGCCCAGGTCGCTGTATGGGCCGGGCTGCGGGTGGAGTGGGTGCCGAGTTGGGGGGATGCAGACACGTGGGAGGTTGAGACTCCGCTCATATGGTGCGAGATGTAGGCCATTTTAGGAGATAGGACCGGAAGATAACGGCATCGACTCTGCCTCACCATTTCCACCCTGCTGGCCCGTTTTTCTGCCCTTGTCCCTGCTGTCCCGCTGGTGGGTAACGAATTTCTGGACCAGGAAAGACCGCGAATGACCCTCTGGTTTGCTGCAGGATAAAACGTTTGTGCAGAGAAAGATAGGCCGTGTCCTCCTGGTGTTTGGGAGTCCTTGCAGGTGGTCTGGATCGAGCTGAATCTGAACGAGATTCATTCCAAGATCCGCCGCCATCGGGAGATACAAGTGAGATACAGGTCAGATGGTGTTTTGTCGATCGACGACTCTGTTTTCCTCACCTCGTCCTCCCCCTCTCAGTTTCCAGTTCCCCTCCTCCCCCTCGCTCTCGTCGCCAGGTGCGATGACGACGGCGCCCGGACAGCGCTATGCCCTCCCTCTCCACCACCACTCCGGGGGGCTCCAGCAGGTCCCCGACGTCCGCCTCCCCTCCCTCAAGGAGCTCGATTTCAAGTACCGTCCTCCACCCCCAGAAGCAGGCGTAGACAGAGAGCCACTCCAGCCCCCGCCCCAGGCCCAGCCAGACGTGCAACAGCCCTACCCGCCCTCCCACTACCAGCACTACCAGCAGCAGCAGTTGCCACCCCATGACGTGGTTCCGCAGAATGGCCCGACTCACCCCGCCACTAACCACACCTATCAACATCCGAGCCATCCAAACCATGTTCCCCAAAATTCGCACTCCCAGTATTCCTATCCGCCTCCGACGGCACCCGCGCCTGCACCCGCTCCCCAGCAGCCACCGCAGGCGTCTCCATACACGCAGCAAATTCAACGAAACCCCCACATGGCCCCACCACAGCCACAGCCCCAGCCCGCCTGGACCCAACCTCATACGCAGTCCCATCCAATCCAAGAGCCGCATAATCAGTATCACCAGCACGTTCAGCCGAATAGACCTCATCAACCATTCTCCCGCTCGACGCCCTTAATGGCCATGCAAGTAGACCCGCGTCCCTCGCCGTCCGAACCACGTAGCGCTCACAGTGCACGTTCCTTCACCGAGGATTCTGGTCGATTCAGCTATGATCCCCGCCAAGCTCAGCAACCAGAGTCGCGATCCGAGTTGCCGTCCGATTCTCGAAGCATACATTCACAGCCCGGCTACACGCAGGCGGATGCTGCTCGGATGAATCACTCGCCCGCAGATGTTCCGAAAGCGTACCACCGGCCGACTGATGTTCGAGCTTCCTCGATTTCCTTTATCGACCCGCAAGGCCGCATGTATCAGGCTCATCAGGCGCACCATCATCAAAATAGCCTCGCGAGCAGCATCGCGTCGAACGAGGCCCCCCGGGCGCCTCCTCCGCCTCCGCCATCCGCTCATGGCCACTACCATCCCCCCTCCTCCTCGCACTCTATGCATGGCACACCTAACGGCATGCAGCCCCAGTACCACTCCCCCGTCGTCCAAAACGGGTTGACTCACTATGGTGTGCGACCGCAGCCACCCACCCACCAAAACTCGTATCACTCGCCTACCGAGCAGGCGCCCGTCTATGCTTCTCCAACTTCGTACCTTCCTCCTGAAGGGGCTCAGCAGCGTGGGTACCCCAGCGCACCACCTCAGTCCTTTGCGCCACCACAGCCTGCCGACATGCGCGCGACGTACACGCCGGATTCGCGGCCAACCACGGCTGTCGAATCTCTGTCATATCCGCAGACCACGGAGCTCCGGCCCATGCTTCCGCTCTCCCGGGCGGAGCAGAACCAGAGCCACGGACAAGGCCACAGCCAGGGTCACAGCCAGAGTCAAAACCATAATCACCAGACCCCGCACCAAACGCACCAACAGGTCCATCAGACGCACCAGAGCCATCAGACGCACCAGACGCACCAAACGCACCAGCCGCAACACCAGACACACCAAGCTCACCAAGCCCAGGCATACGACACGCGCCCACCGCATGTCACCCCTCATTCACGACCCCCTTATCTCCCGCAGCCTTCGAGCACTTCGAGCATTGCTGAGGGGAGGCACCAGTACGCTACGCCCGTCGAGGCGCGACAGGAATACCATGCGCCCCCTCCACAGCTGCCGCCGCCTGAGCCACGTCAATCTGTCGTTGCACACGTCGAGCCGCCGGCGCCTCCCTTGCCCAGCCAAAGTCAAGGCCAAAGCCAGAGCCAGAGCCAGAGTCAAGGCCAGAGCCTGAATGCGAACCAGGGGGCTGAGCGTCAGGGCTATGGTGCGGGTGCGGAGGTTACGCCTCGCCCACAGGCGCCTCCGGAGGTTAATATGCGGCCTTCGCCTTTCATGAAGCCTCAGCAGCCACCACAGCAGCCCATGTCGCGTGCGCCGCCGCGTGCTCCGGTCCATAGTAGGTCTGCGGATGATACGCAGGAGGTGAAGGTGCAGAAGGTGCGGGAGAGTATTTGGAAAGAGGTGAGTGTTATTGGATTTATATGCTGTGAGTGCTTGTGCTGACGGATGCTCGTATGTGAAGATTGTCGAGCATTGCAATGCACTCTACAGTTTTGCTAATAAATATGGTGCGTGATCCCCCTCGGTCGCTCGCTTGTCCCATCCATCTACTCACCCCGCAACCACAGCACAACACCATTCCGCTACTGGCGCGCAAGTCCAGCCGACGAGGGAAGAGATGGAAGAGATGACACATCGCGCCTCGGAGGTCGTCCGTCTTCTCGAAGAGCTGCGGAGTCCTTCGCCGTCGCTACACTCTGGCAAATCGCGCAGCCTGCCCGTGCCCTTGGTGATAAGCAGCTCCTCGAGCTCGCGCATGGACGTGGACCCGCCGCAAGCAGACCGCCCGCCGAAGAGGCCCTGGGAGGACATCAACGGGGACAGTGGCACGTCCGCGTCGGACAGCAAGACGCATCTCCGGCCGCTGCGCGCGAAGACGCCCGCGTCCTCGTCGGCGGTGGCGGCGGCGGGTGAGAAGGTCGCGTCGGGTTCGGTTGGCGTCGAGCTCAACGGCGCGAAGCGCACGGCCGCGGAAAGGGATATGGAGACCATTCGCAGCAAGAGGGCGATGACGACCAGTATGGCTGCCGCGAATGGCGCGGGCAACGCGTCCGGGGCGGGCTCGGGTGGGGGTTCCAACGCGAACGCGACGAAGACGAAGTACAGGAAGCGAAGCGTGAGTTTGCTTATTCCCTACGTTCTTTTCGAGACTGCATGCAGTAGGGTGCTTATTATGTTTGCGTTCTGCTGGCATTTCAGAGGGCGACGCCGCCGGGCAAGTGCCATTCGTGCAATATCAGGGAGACGCCGGAGTGGCGCCGCGGCCCGGACGGGGCGAGGACGCTGTGCAATGCTTGCGGGCTGCGTACGTTTTATCATTGTCACGCCGCTTCTGTGGTTACTGACGTTCGCGGGATAGATTACGCGAAGCTCGTTCGCAAGCGGGACAAGGTTCTCCAAGCGGAGGGCGGCAACCCCGCTGAGGCCACAAAGATCGACATCGAGATGCTGCGCGCCTCGGCGCGTGCCGCCGAAAATGCCAGCGAGCGGCGCACGCAGCAGCAGTCGTCTGGGAGCTCCTCCAACGGAGCGCCGCCCGCTGTGACAGACACGTTCGATATCAAGTCGGGCGTGCACCAGGGTTCGTTCCAGATTGAGGGCATGGGCGTTATGGACACGTCGGGCGGCGCTCCGCAGCCTCAGCCATCTCATCCCCATCCCCAGGCTCAGGCTCAGCCACAGTCGCAACCCCAGTCTCAACCCCAGTCGCAACCTCAGCCGCAACCCCAGCCGCAGCCACAGCCGCAACCCCGACCGCAGCCACAGGCTCAGCCTCACGCGACGCCAACGCAGACAGCACGTTCGGCGAAGCCGAAGCAAATGAGCAAGCTGAATCAACAGACGAAGTTGAGTCAACAAAAGCCCCAGCAACAGCCTGCTCGGCCGCCCCCTTCCACCCAGCAGCAGCAGCAGCAGCAGCAGCAACAGGCGCCCACCTTGGCGCCTGTCAACGGCACACCGACGATGTATGCCTCCCAGCCCCATGCGTCACAGCACTCGTACTCGCATCACACCCTCTCGCCCATATCAGCGAGCTCGACCGCCCCTGCAATGACGCAGCACCAGTCGGCGCCGCCCTCGTGGATGACTAACGGCGGTGGCGGTGGCGGTGGCAACGGCGGCTCGGGCCGACCTTATGGTGCCGATCAGCTCCAGCATCAGTCCTTCGCGCGCAGCTCGCATTCTCTTGCGAACGGCGTTTCTCGTTGAGACGTGTCGGGACTCGCGCGTGCGAAGGATATGGGGCTGGGTGGTGGTCGGAAGCAGAAGTTTGTTACCTTCTTTTGCTCGGTCATGTTCGTCGTTTGGTGATATGGCTCGTTCGTTCTCGAGCCTGTCTAGTTCTTTCCACGGTGTCGTCGTTGCTCCGTCTGGTTCCAGCTGCGTTCTCGTTTCGTGCTGTTCGTCTGTACACTTTCTCTTAGTCTATCTAATCGTTTTTGGACCTTGCCTCGACCTTGCGTTGATGACTTGTAATTGACTCTTGCTCTTTTTGTTGCCCCCGTTAATCACCCTAATTCGATATTCGTACGCATATCCTTGACCCCTGCTTTCTCATTCCCTTTCTTCATGTGCTCCATAATGCTCTAGCGATTCCTCTTTTTCCGTTCTGATTGGCTACACCTTTCTTTCCTACTCGCATTCTTTCTTGTACCCGTACTCGTACCCGCACTCCCGTCTGCTCCTGGATAGCGCTGGCTGCCCCGTCTCTTCCCGTTATCCACCATCTCTCCCATTTTGCTATCGTACCCTCCGAGCCGTACAGCGCTCTTATTGGTCTTCCGCTTTCTTTTATTGCACCTGCACCCGCACTAGTTCCTACGTAGTCCCGCACCTGCATCGTCATTTTTTATAGCGTATCCCACTCTGCCTGCTTGTATCTAATTGCTCCCCTCGTAATTTGTATTTCTTTCTGTGCAGTGACGCTCAGTACGCGGGTGACGTCTGAGGCCTGAGGACGCACCATATCGTATATGAAATAAGGTAACTACGGATATTGAGGGCGATAAACTCGAGCGGGAGCGGCGAAGGACGTGGGTGGAAGGCGGGCGGGTTGTTTTTGTGTTCCCTTCTCTCTCGAATGCTCAGAAGATATTTCTCGGGCGAAGATACCTCATACAACCATCGTCTTGAAGTTCAGCAGGACATAATATTTGAGAATGGAAGTGAATCTTCTGGGCCGAGACCCGACAATTGCAAGACAGGAGGATCAATTCCGAAGGGAGAACATGTTGGAAGCCATATTCGTGACGTTCGCGTTTATCCTTGGTTGTCGTCCTGCGGAAGCTAGCAATAGTGTCGCCAGCGCAGGTGCAATCGGTGCTGTTCGTAACATCGTGAGTGCCGCTTTCGGGTAGGGAGTCAGCTCTGGTTCCAGCGTCGAGCCACTGCAAGGTTTCAACTATTTTATTACTCTTTAGTACGTAACAATAGCATGCGTTCAGCCGTAAGCAACATATATGAGGTAAAGTCTAGAGTTCCGACATCTGATAGCTCTGGGGACTATAAGTATCTACATTTGTGTCGCCGGAATCAAACTCCCCAGGCCACCCATACTGGACAACAACTCCTGGAGCTTCCGAAGCCTTTCCAGCTCCGACAGTTCCCTTTCCTCCCAGCTGAAATCCTCGACGTGCGACTCAAACCAGGCGCTAGACTCATCATCGAGTTTCGGGCCATAGACGCTAATCGACTTGATTCGAGTTTGAGTGTTATCGTACCGCGCTTCGCACTGGCACATGCGCCGCAAAGCGCTTGCAGAGAAGCGATAGTCACGCAGCTCCAAGTTTTGCAAGTTCGGGCATGCTTGAAAGCGACCATCCGTCTGGTTGCGAGCCGACAGCACGCCGAGGAACCAGTCGTCGAACCCCTGACAGTCATAGAGAATGATGTCTGTTCCTTGGAACCCTTGAAGCAAGTGGAGTAGTGACGGCCCAGATGGTATATCCGAGATGTGGAGGTTCCCGGGCGGTAGCGGGCTGTACGTAGGGGTCTCGCACTTTTTGATATGAATGTCCTCCAAGTGTACGCTTGATCTGGTAGCATCACATATGATCGGTACGAATGGACCCTCGAGCTCTTCAAGTGTGAGGAGCGCTACGGAACGTAGCGATGGAGTATCAGAAGGGAGGTCGTTGGGATCGAACTTGACGTTTGTGATTGAAAGTATATACCTAGACACGCGCAGGCCATTGAGCTTGTCCAGAGCGGCAATAAGGCGAGCTGGGCTTGCTGCGGGGAGCGGGGACTCCGGTCGGTATCGAGTAATGTCAATCTTTCCAAGCGTGCCAGAACCAGACGGCCATTCTATGGCGTCCATGAAGTTAACAAAGCTCTCGGCGTCGGTGTGGAGGCTCTCGATGTCCGGCAAACAGAGAGTGGATATCTGGAGGGGGGAATCATCCGTTTGACGCGAGTCGAGTTCCAGTTCCTCGAGGGTAAGTGTGGCCCCATCGAGAAACTGACTGATGAAGACAATGGTGGAGCGGAAGTAGGCTGTGACGGAAAGGCGGGAAAGCCGCCCAAGGTGCGGTGCCATGTGTCGCATAATAAGCGCCCACCGGTCTCGCTCCTGGGCAGCAGTGAGGGTGCACGGCTCAAACTCGCGAGGGTATACGGTGACCTCGATAGGGTTATCGCGAGAAGCTACAAAGAAAGTTTCTATGGCTGCGGGGATGAAGGTAGGGCCGTCGATGTTGATCTTGAGCTGCTCCCAATACTCCGGCCGCATGGCAAGGACGTCGAGCCATCGTCTACAGACCATGGCGAGCGCTCGCATGGTGGACATCGTCGTTTGAGCTTCGTGGAAATGGTATACGCTTTGAAAACTGGACGCTGAGGTCGTCGCCGGGCACTCTGACCGGCCGGTCTCGGCTCGTCCAATCAAAGATCTCGAGTAGCACCTCGGCCGGCAAGTCCATGATGGGAGAGTGAGAGGGGGATACATCGCGGGTGGTAGCCGTTGCCATTGTAGTATGGGACAAGAATGCTACTTTCCTATAAGAACTTCGTAGTTCCCCGGTAACAAGTTAAGTTTGAAATCTCACCGTCACGTTTTCAACTTGTGCGAGTGCTTGCGGCTGCCACTCCAGCAGATCAGGAACCTAAGCGGGTATGTTCAAAGAGAGCTTGGCACGAAGGGCTCAATGACTTACAAATCTACTCAAGCTCCTTAAGAAAGTTGAAATGCAATATTCTTCACCAGCGACTAAAGAACACGTTCAGGTTCAACGCCGCGTCGCGAACGAGACATGCGGAGTTTCAAATCTCCGCTTGACCGGCCCGAAGACTTGCATCGTGCGTGAAAAGTGATCGTAACAAAAATGCGTCAGCACCTTCAGAAACCTCGGAAATGACTCAGTCCTGATTGACGAAGCATAACTCAAAACAAGTAGTGATGATACTGAGCATTTATATACCCGCCCCCAAGTTTGAGATATCTACCACCCTCGACAGCAGCTGCTCGAGAGCCGACATCGCCTCAAAGTTTGACGACGCCCTCTCTTCCCAATCGAACACCTCGATATGACTCTCGAACCAGCTTCTTGAGTCATCGTCGAGCTTTGAACCCAAGCGTACCTTGATGTATTTGATGGGAGCATCTTCATGCCGCATCTCACACATGCGCTGCAGAGCACTCGCGGAGAACGTACAGTCGCTAACCTCGAGGCGTGACAGGTTTGGACATGTCACACTATTGTCCGCCTCGCCGCGAAGCGATAGTGCACCGAGGAACCAGTCGTCGAAGCCGTCACATTCGCTAATGTCCAGGTAAGCCACTTCTGATCCTTGCACCATGCGAAGCAAGGAGACGCTCGAGTCGATGTCCCTGATAAGAAGCTCGTAGCCGAGAAGGGGGCTGCGCGAGGGAGTACTGCATCCCCTGACGATCATGCTTTCCATTTGGGAGCTCTGCCTGATTGCATTGCAGATTAATGGTATGAAGGGACCATGAATGTCAACAAGCTCGATATATGAAACTTCGGGGAGGGATATCCCATTAGGAGGGGAGTCGTCCGGGCCAAATTGTACTTCATCAATAGCGACCTGGCGGCACGAACGCCCTTGCCCAAACTTCTGCAAGGCAGCCATGAGATGAGCCGGGCTCAGAGCGAGAGAAGCAGATATCGGATGATATCGTTTGAGGTTCAAGTCGGTAGACCCCTCTGATGGCCATTGTATGTTGGATTCCATAAGGCTGACAAAGCTTCCGGCGTCGATGTGTAGTTCATACAGGCGGCTTGAAGTGAGGTTTAGCGAGCAAATTTGAAGGGGGGAGGTGTCGTCCGTTTCATGAGAGGTAAGTCGGAAATCTTCGAGTGATAGGGTGGCACCGTCCAGAAAGCGGCTAATGATGACGGATGTCGAGCGGTAATAGGTCTCAATGCAGAGGCTGGTCAGCCGACCGAGATGCAGCGACATGTTAGCCATGATGAACTGCCACCTGGAGTGCTCCTGCGATGCAGTGAGCGAGCAGGACTTCCCCAGAGGAGGAACAATGGTGACTGAGATAGGAGAATTCCTGGAAGCGACAAAGAACGTCTCTACAATGGCAGGGATGAAAGAAGAGCCGTCGATGTTGATGTCTAGGTGCTTCCAGTAAGTCGACTCCATGGCAGCAACGTTGTGCCATCGTCGACACACAAAAGGAAGTGCGTGTGCAGTGTTCTCCGCCTCGCAACTCGCATGTACAATGGCTACTGCCTCGCCGCGGGCATCAGCTTCGAGCTCGCTCTTTTCAAATGTTCGAGGCTGGCTAGCGTGCTTGAAGATCATCAGGAGAACTTCAGGAGGTAGATCTACGATAGGTGAACGGCTGTTGGGGATCGACATTTTCTTTTCCAACGTCGGACTTTTCCTTCTCGTTAGAAGAAAACTCAGCTCAGCAGACGTGTAACTCACTGAATCAAGCTCAAGTATGTGCTCCTTCCGAGAGAGATTTGATGCGTTGAGAACGCCCGAACTGGCTGCGTGTAGGGCGCCCTATTTTTGTATGAGATTGCTGAGCAGTGCCGAGGGCAGACAGTGTTTCCTGATGATTGGCAAGAAAACCTGAAGGAGGGGCGTCGGCGCGTCGTCGTACAATGTGGGCGGAGTTCGAACGGCTTGCCCGGTTGCAAATATCGCGACTCGCCTAATTGAGTCTACTGTCAATCTCATCAAAATCTTATCAGCGCTGCTAGCTAGTAGACAGCTGCGGAGCGACTCTATCTGAGTTTTGGGATCGACATAGCGTGCCTCGTAGTACAGCTCTCGCAGTGAAGTGGTGACCATTCAATTCTAAATATTCAAGTTGAGGGCACATGAACTGTCCATCTTCCTGGGTTTGAGGCGACATAACTCCGAGAAACCAGTCGTCGAACCCTGGGTAGTTGTTGATTACGATAAGGTTACCTTCAAACCCCTGGAGCATGCGGGGTAGCGGCGGTCCCGCTGGAATCCCAGAGATGTGGAGAGGGTCTGAGAAGGCTATCCAAAGAGCGTTTTCATCTCTCAACGAAGATGTCACCTCACCCACTGTAGGATTGGCTGACCTCGCAGATCATCGGAAGAAATGGACCTTCAAGGTCTTTGAGTTTTAGGAACGACAAAGACCGGAGAGACGGAGTCTTAGGGGAGACGTCATGGGGATCAAACTTGACGCTTTCGACCGAAACGAAGTGCATCTGCTTGTCTCCCAGTGCGTCGAAATTCTTCAAGACGCCCATGAGACGAGCTGGACTTGCAGCGGGTAGAGGGGATCATTCTGGTCGGTAATGTGTGATGCAAACCTCATTGGGCCCATTGGACGATCATTCTATGTTGGCATCCATAAGGTCGATAAATCCGCATCGGCGGTGTAGAGAATGTTCATGTTAGGGCAACGGAGGGAAGAAATTTGGGGAGGAGAGATATCGCTCGTTTGCCGCGAGTTGAGGTCGAGCACGTCGATGGCCAGTGTGGCGTCATTTAGGTTCAAAACGTCCGCTTTATCGGGTTGTAGCCTTCCGCCACTTGCTATCGCCGCACATGTATCGTACTTCGAGCTTATGATTGTAGGAATTACTTACACAGCTGCGCAATGTAGCCACACTTCGGCTCCCAAAAAGTACCGTCGTCGTTCCTGCTAACAATTTGTATGCCGCGTGTGAATGGACAGGTGGAGCATCATTGATTCGGACAAGGATGGCAATGCTGCTGTGCGGTCATTCCAGCGATACATATATAGACGTTCGTAATGCTGCACACTTCAGTCGTAACGCTTTCAGTTGTCCCACAGCACCATCACCCATATGCTCCTAACTCTTCGCGAACCTGGCCTAAACCCTTCCACTTTGGTGAATGACTCTGGGAAAGAGGTCTATCAATGGAAGAGATACAAGGATATGACTACCATCCGGAAGCTCGCTGCACTCGACCAGCAATTCGGCGATGCCCCCATTTTGGCAGAGATAAATTGGGGGCTCTTGGATAGCGGAGCTCTCACAAAGATCAACTTCAATGACGAAGAAACCGATGCGAACAAGTTCATAAAGTAAGTCAAGTCAAGTAAGCTGCTGATGCCTCGATTAGACATATAGGGTTCATCATGGATTCCACAGAAACAAGGAGGTTACAGATTCGAATGGTTATACATTCCAATGGGTGAGCGAAGATCGCGGGTGGAAGGTAAGCAAACTCCCTATGTTCTTTCTTCTCGATGTTATGCTCAGAAAGCCCTTGGCTTCCCAGCTTCAAACGAAGCAGAAACCGAAGGCTGCCATTGCCTCGTTCAGCAACACGCCATGGGACCGTAGACCTGAAGCTCCTTGGGACAGACCGGAAACTACAGGAGAACTCGAAGTTTCTAGTGAAGGGGAGACCATGTTGGAGGCAGTCGTCGTAACTTTCGTGTTTACCCTGGCTTCTCACCCTGCGCGCACACCAGCCGGGACGATCGGGGGGCCCTTCAGTTTTGTATGATGATGAGGGTTGCTGGCTGTCTCACAAATTTTTGTTTGCGAATAGCGAAGACGCCTTCTATCATCACACCCATCCTATTAAGTAGATTATGATGCCACAAGCACGATACCGTAGCAGCCCATGCCGTAGGTTCTGAGGCGATGGCGTCGGACGGGCGGACTTTTGAGAGGCGACAGGTGTCGAGTCAGCGGAGAATCAGCTCGTTTGGCGAGGCCGTCGAGTGAGCTGACATCTGGCGGGACAGTAAGTAAACGGGACGCGGGTGGTCAATACAATAGTAGTGTGGCGGGGAACAGTGAAGATAAGGCGATGGCCTGGAGTGAGCTGAGCGGGCTAGGAGGAAGGAAATAAGCAGCAGATGGGCAACTAAATAATAGCATAGTAAGGGTACTTAAAGTAAGACGAGGGCATCGGGGGAGCTGACTGCGCGGGAGGGGAGGCGGATGCCTGCGTGCGGATTGATAATCTAATAGTATAGCGGGGATGGTTAAGTTAACCGATGATGTCGAGTGAGCTGACAATGTGGGAGACGGGCGGGCGGATGGTCATCAGATCAGAATGATCATCGTATGACGTAAGGCTACAAGCGGCGCGCGATACCGTCGGGTGAGCT